CCTAAATCCAGTATTTTTGGAAAAATTCCAAAAAATTACTTTATAACACTACTGCTTAAGGAAAACTAGTAAAGTTCAGAAAAAATGAACCCGATATTCGAAATCAGCAACCTTGAAAACCCCTAAATCGAGTATTTTTAGAAAAAATCGAAAAATTACTTTTTAACACTACTACTTAAGAAAAAAGTAACAATCAGAAAAAAATAACAAAATTTTTGAGATTAATAACAATAAATCCAGTCAGATGGTTCAGATGGCAGGTCTAAGCCTCTTCTTTGATTTTTCCCCGGTTCCGGAAGTGTCACTGTTCCGTCATTCCGGAAGTGTCACTATTCCGCCATTCCGGAAGTGTCCAAATTCCGGAAATGTCCTGATGCGATTTGGGGGCCGCGATAAATTCTAAGGACTTTTTTCCGCGACTAGTATGGAACGATGCATCGCGATGATTCGCGACCTTAGAGAAGTCATGAGAGTCCTGTTGCCAAACCACTGCGGCAAATTTTGTTGCAATGACCCCTGAGACCGCTTGTTTTCACGCCGTTTTGCAAAAACAATCATCCGCTGCCAACAAAAATTTAATCGCCGACAAGTCCGTGGAAAGGCCAAGCAATCGATCCGTTTGAGTCAGAACGAAATGTTTGTGGTCTTGTGCGCGACAAGAACGATGCGAATGCACCCGGCAAAAACAAAGAGACATTTTTTTGGACGAACGGGAGGAGGCCGGCTGGATGGGACAGAGGTCAGTCCGTCCGACGGCCGTTTTTTGCGATGGGGCTGGTCTTTCTCTCTTTTTTGCCATCTTTGCGCCGTCCCCGCAGAAAACAGCCGCCCCTCTCGTTGTTCGTCGTTCCCTTTGCACTCTTTGAAATCTCCCTCTCCCCCAGAACTTGCATTTCTGTTTTTTTGTTCCTCCACTGTTTTTTCGTGGAGTTTTGAGTGTCTCGTCCTCTCGGTCGCAGGTGAACACTCGTTCTCTCTGAAATCGCTTCCGTGAGTCTGAAAAACTTGCATCTTCGCCTCATGAAAAACGCACTGTGCACTTTCTGATTCTTCTTGAATCTGCACTGTGCGCGTTTCTGCTCAGGCAGGCAACTCCGTCGACAATGGAACGGCGCCTCGCTTTTTTTCTGCGATGACGCGACCAAATTTCACCCACGTTGTCCATTTTTTCTGACCATCTGAAGCCAGCTGCTTCCCTTGAAAGCTGCGACAATCCCATCAGCCGCGCGTTCCCTGCTTTCTTTTGGCAATTCGGCTGCCGCGCTTGTCCAGTTTCAGCGCCACATTTGTTTTTTTGAATTCGTCGCACCCATTTTTTCTGGCATTGACCTTGACAAGCCGTTCGTCGCACGGTGCATTCCTCCTTTCCAACAGCGACAAGAAAAGAGTGCAGTCACGATCTCACAAAGATCTACCGCACGGTGCGTTGAATGATGAAGTTGAGAGCACGGTGCAATCAGAAACCTGATTGCACCGTGTTAAATTTTTCAAAAATGCTTACAGCCACGGGAAAATATAGTATCGGTCTGTCGGGAAAATAACGGCGGATCGTCGCAGCAAAATGTCTCGCCTCGCCGCTTTCGCGCACCAAATCCCCAGCCGCGTCTTGCAGACGCAAAGCGATGATGGGCGATTCGAAGGCACGACGACACGCCGTTACTTATTTTCCCGACAGACTGATAGTCACGTCATAAAGTCCCGACATTTTTGCACGGTGCATTTTTCCTTTTCTTTTTCAGCCGTCGCGGCAATTTCCCGTTTTTACACAAGCGAGATGCACTTTCGCGCGAGCTCACTCCATTTTTCGCGACAAATGTGTCTTTATGGGGCGACTAGTAGTACTACTGCTTACTTGCCATGTAAAAAAATTCTTTTCGGATTAATGTTTTGTTCGGGGTTATGCGCGTTATTTCCTCGGGGATATTTGTAATGCCCTCAGGACTATTGTTTTATTTTTAGCCGATTCCCGAAGCCTTCGGGCTAGGCCAGCCGTGCACTGATCACAGAGAGATTCTCCAATGCGCGTGGATAAGGAGAGGTAAGAGAATTTGCTTGCATATAATTTGATTAAAATGGTTCGTTCGGGTTAGGGTATCCATTTATTTAACCTTTTCAGAAAAATAAAAAAGTGAACAAGCATTTGAAACAAGATGTCTTAAAACTTGTATTCCATGAAATCTGGCCGTCTTATGTCTGTCGGGAAAATAACGGCGGATCGTCGCAACAAAATGCCTCGCCTCGCCGCTATCGCGCACCAAATCCCAAGCCGCGGCTTGCAGTCGCAAAGCGATGATGGGCGATTCCAAGGCGCGACGATCCGCCGTTATTTTCCCGACAGACTGATATTTACGTATATCTTTTTTAATCTTGCGTAATCTCCGTTGTTTTTTCTCATCAAAGAAGTTTAACGTTTTGATAAAATCACAAGTGTATTCAACTGCATCCCTATATCTCACCTTTTTATTTTGATATGCAAATTTCCTAAGGCAGTTTTTTGTGCGATGTTTGGAGTGCGGCGGTGCCATCCCGTCGCTTCTTCAGCCCGTGTGACCTCTCCCGGCCGGGGTCATCGCGTCGCTCTTATTCAAATTTTGACGGCGATTTTTTTGTTTGATCGGCGAGGAAAACAAAAAGTAATAATAATGGGGGTTTGAAGAAGACACGAAACATCCAAAAACAAGAAGATACGAACATCCAAAAACAAAACCCAAGGTTTTACATTTAAAAGATACTTTTTTAGTTTTTGACCTTCCCTGTCCATAGATATTTGAAAGATTACCATTGAGAAGCCTGGGCATTTTCATAAACCCATAAATTTCATATTCCTTTATAGGAGTGAGCTCTCTAACCGTTCACATTTAGGCGTTCCCAATGTCTTCTTTTTGTCTCTTCAATAACAAAATTATTGTGAATTAATTTAGTTTCCTGGTGTCATATTTTTCATTTGTTTTTCTTCACAGCCGGCGTTTTTGGTAAACAAGTTATGTCCATTTTTTGATTATTTTGTTTTTCGAAACTCTCGAGGTCATCGGGAAAGACAACGGGCGCCGAGAGAAAAGGGAATTGCCCGAAGGGATGCGGAGACATGGGGTGCGGGGACAGAGAATTAGGGGACTCTCCCCCACCCTGAGAGACCTGCACTTTTTGCAAAAAGCGAATATAACGAAAAGAGCTCCGAAAAACGAACGGAGAGAGTGACCACTGGCTGGCACCGCACCGCCGCCCCCCCCCCCCCCTGACCGGTCACTCCGTCCGTTCCTTTCCCGCAAGAGTTCCAGTTGTTTGCCTGACCTCGTTTTTGTTTTTAACACGCGCTCCGCCCAGCCTGTTTTTATGCAGATTTTGAGGTGCCAGTCTCCTTTCGTATTTATACGAATTCAGATCGCCGTCGCTTTTTTGATTTTCAAATTAAAAATCGTCTTTCGTATCAGATACCTGCAAAAATGAACTCTTGCTCCTTTTGATATAGGATAGGTGTGTCACTGTACGTTCGACTACAAGTTTAGTTTTGAAATGTTTTGGCAGAGGTGACTTTAAATATTACTTTGTAATAACTACAGGTTTCATTTAACCTTCAATCTGGCAGTGCTCCCGAGTAGGGATGGGCCATAGGTTACTCTCTGTTATTAACACTTACTTGCATCCGTAGGTATATAGATCCAAGAAATCAGCGTCGCACCTTTAGAAGAGTATGTTATGGATACTTTTAGCATATGCAAAACTGTACTTTAGTATCCCCCTTTTAATTTGATTGCTAAATAGACAATATCAGCAAACCCAAAGGTCACTGAATATTCAATCTGTTTGCCCCATGGTCCCCATCCAACTGCCTCCCTTTCTTTGCGGTCTCTCCTTCCCCGCACTCTCTCTGATTCTACCGTAATTGTTTTTGGTTATTCGGTTTGTGCATTCGGCGTTGATTGTTTACAGCGTTCGGGTCAGAGCTCGGAAAGAGCGAAAAAAAGAGTGACCAGCTGGTGGAAAAGTCGCCGCAGGGCCTTTGCGGAGGGGGACGGGAAGGGGGGGGGGCGAGAGTGACCTCGCCTTTCCGAATGACCAGTCGGTTTGGGAGGGCATTCGGGCGAACGCTTTTTTGCCCCCAAAAACAATCGCCGCTGCAAAAAAGAAAAGTGCACTCTCGAGCGGCGAAGGGGTTCGGGAGGACGGGAAAGAAGGGGCCGGGTACGGTTGTTTTTGCACTGTCCATTTCGGTGCCAGGCCCTTCGCGCACTGAGACCCTTAAGGCCGAAAGTAAATGCAAAAAATTACGGTGCGGGAAATTATGTTATGTAAATTTCTGGAACTTTTCAGGCTGTTTGGTACAAAATCACGCAACCCGCTTAAGAGGAATGATCTATAAATACCTAATATTAAAATTTGAAAAATTCCTTTGTTTTTTGTCAGCGCCTATGGTTATCTTTTTTTTTAAATCGACCGCAATAATTTTCCAACCACCCTTTACCTCGCTTGTAGCCACTTTTGGGGGTAATATTGAAACCAAAACATGTTTACATTCTGGAGCCCAAACTCGCAAGTGTCTGAACGCCTGAGGCTCGCCCTTTTCCCAACTGTTTTTTATTCTCTTACTTTGTTTCTCTCTGTTGCGACATTGGGGGAAGGGAACAACAACCAGCCCCTCTGAATACACTCTAGCCATTTTTTACGTGGAACGAAGCAAAAAGGGTGCAGGGGTCGGGTCGGGGAAACGTCGAACGAGCTGTTTTTCCATGTTTCTTTTTTCGAACTCATGTGACTTGAAGTATAATCTGTTTTCGTTTCAGAGATGCATAGACTCACAATTTAAAACCTACACTACTTATACAACCATCGCTACCTGAACTATACAACCTTCTTCCTACCTCCTAAGGGCGATTTGAGCCCCCTTAAGGCCCCGGCCTTCATGCTTCCGAACATTATACACAGCAACTTTGCTACCTCAACCGAGTTCCCCTTAAGGCACTCTTTTCCTTATCCACGCGCCAGCACTCCAACTGCGACAAATGAACGGTCAAAGCAGTGAATCGAGTGCTCTGGTCCCGCAATGGGGCCACGATCAGATCTCTCGACTCGCCCTACACGGCACTTTACAAGTAAGTTTGGAGATGCATTATGATGCCATTAAAAATTTGAGTAACATTGCATTGTAGTAGTCACGAAAAGCAACATTTTAGAATCCGCCGTCGTCAGTTGCACTGGCTTCGATTCCATTTTCAACGGCAACGTCGACCACATTGTCGTCATCCCAGCTCTTCCAGCAGATGTGTTTCCTCCAGAATCAGCAGAGTACCGAAAATTCCTTCGACCCAGCCACTTTGAACAACAACAACAACAACACAAAGATTGCAGATTCCTTGGTTCCAGTCAGGTCAATGGAAGTCGCAGACACACCCATGGGCCAAGATGAGACCGCCCAGTTATTGCTTCGCTTTTCGCAGAACGTGAGCCGTACGCCAACAGCCTCAACCGCAACAAATTCCCCTTGTCCAACACCATCGACGCCTACCAAAACCCAGAAAAGAACTTTCTTCAGAGCCCCTGGCCTTGAAGCGCCATCCGCAGCTGAAGCTGGAGAGAGTGGGGGTCTTGTTTGTCCTGTGTGTTCGTTTGGATGTACCTCCAGATTTCATTATAATTCACACATGAACACCCATGGATGTCATCGATGTCAAGTTCCGTCTTGTAATTACACCTCGAGGACCGAAGGCCGTCTAAAGAAGCATATGATGGACTCCCATACAGCTGAACAGCGCAAAAGTGTGGGTTTCAAAGTCAGCAACAGGGAAAATAACAACAACGACCGGCTTTCGAACGCTTTGGATCAAATGAAAGCATTGACCGAAGGCGGGCCCGTTCCCGACAGCCCTCCTCAACGACGGCCCAGTGTGAAGCCGAAGCGTTACAAGTGTAAGCATTGTGATCACATCTCCACAAACCGCGACGAACGCTACATGCATTCCAAGATTCACATTCCAGTGGAAAAACAACTGACTTGTCCACATTGTGAATTTGTTACCGAGTATAAGCACCACATGACATATCATATGAAGAATCATGCTGGAGCCAAGCCCTTTAAGTGCAATAAGTGTGAATACACATGTGTCAACAAGTCCATGCTTAACTCTCATATGAAGTCTCATGTTCCGTTGTATCAATTCAAATGTAGAGATTGCACTTATCAGACCAAATACTGCCACAGTCTGAAGATGCACATATTTAAATACAATCACGAAAGAGATCCAGGAGCTGTTGGAACTGAAGAAGAAGAGGCCGCTCTGATGGATGAGGCTTTGGGCGAGGCAATGGAAACAGAATCCAAGAAGAACGTCGACCCGCCTTCTCTCGATTGCGAACCCAAGGAAATCAATTTCAATTGCAATGACAAAGCTGGAGATCCGCCATTGCCTGCTCCTCAGCCAGTTCAATCCAATCTTCTTCTCCAGCCTCTCCTCAACCAGAACAATCATTCCTTCCAGATTGCGCAACAACTGTTGTTTCCTCCGGAGAGAATGCAGGAATTGGTTCGAGCTGCTTCTAATATGCTCCAAAGACACAAGTGCGACCATTGTGAATTCACAACTCTAAGTTCTCAAGAATTGGCTCAACACAACTTGAATCATTTTTATAATCAAAAGCAGCAGTACACGAATATGATCAATCTTCTTGTCCAGCAGCAACAACAACAACAATCTCAATCAATGTTGACCGCCGATCTCCTGAGGAATACTCTTGCAATGAAGCCGCAAGAACTTCGTCAAGATACTCAAAGTAGTATGCCTGAACTCAAGATTGAGCCTGAAGCTGAAGCCATCGTAGTGAACTCTCCACTTCATCGTGATGACGAAGATGAAAAACATTCCAACTCTCATAAGTCCATGTCACCGACCAGAGAAGAAGCTTTTGACGAAGCTCATGACAGAATAGCGTCCACTCCTCTACATGAAGCAACATCTCCAAGTGCTGAATGTTCAGCATCTCCCTCCGACTCTCACAAATCTATGGATAATGTGAGTAGTCGAGGATCCCCGAACTCATCCACAACAACGACCCATTCTTCAAACAAGAAGGGATCCAAGGTTGATGAGATTTCTGAGCGACTTCAACGAAAGACAACGCCTGACTCGGAAGACAGAACTTCACCAAATGACACCGATCCTCACTCATCGTACATACAGGTATGTCAGATAGGAAATAAAGACAAAGCATCCATTCAGGGGCAAGAACATCATCAAGGAGAGGACAAGTCCAGATTTTCGGTTCTCTTAAATCAATTAAATTCTGCACATGGGGCGGTAAGTAACGGTAGAGCCTATCACTTGATCCATATTATTGGTATTTGATGCCATGGTTGCAGAAGTGGCCTCACACTTGTCAGCACTGCATGGTGGCTTTCCAAGACCGAGCCCTCTATCAAATCCATATCGGTTATCACACATACGAATCTCCATTCAAGTGTAATAGATGTGGCCATGAGGCCAACTCGTCCATGGAATTCACCCTCCATCTCTACCATGCTAAACACTAAGAGATCCCCCAGATATCTCTGAGCCGGTTACCCTGAACTCTTTCAATGCCGGACATCCAGTGGAATTGCCGTTACAGGAGCCAGTGACAACCTTCCATCCCACAGATAACCATGCTCTATTCTTTTTACTCGTGCTACATTTTTTCTTTTACATTATTCTTGTTATGTCATCACACATGCGTCTGATCATTTTTTCATCTTGTAATATCTAATCAGACTGCCCCATATTACCCATGGTATGCCCTTTCCTAGTTATTTTATTATCTTGTACACCTACCTACCTCTATCCTTAATCATGTCTCAAAACCTTCCAATACGTGGTAACAAACGGTTAAAGAACTCAAATAACTTGAGCTCAGGGAGTAGTATCATTGGAGAATACCGATGTACCACAGTTTTATCTAGCTGTAGCCGTCCTTTTCTTAATTGTAAATATTTATTTTGCGCTCAAGATATCGTTAACTGACGCGATCAATGGTCTTGGCGGGCCAAGAGTTTTATCATTGGAGGACCGCGTTCAGTGTTATTCTTTTATGTAGCAAGCAAGCACCTCTCGTTTCATCTCTCGTTGTCAGAATTATTTTGACGAAATTTTGCAAGAACTTTCAATAAAATGAAATAAATTTCACAAGGACAGTACTTTAATGGCGCTTCTACTTTTAGGTGGGACATATCTCAAAAAAATCCGAAAATTTGTGCTGATCAAGGGTATAAGGATGGTGACATACGCATCAAATCGGGTGTCGTGGCCAGAAACCGCGATCTCTTATCTGTTAGGCCTCTAGATAAGAAATGGTAATTCTTGTCTCAAATTGCGCAAATTTCTGCTCACCCTGTGGAGATTTTTTTCTCTGCTCACCATCGGACAACAACTGCGCATGTCTTGTCTAGAGACACCGATTTTTTCGATTTTTTTTTCATGGTTGACATTTACGCGGGTATAGCGAGCGCATGCTATAAGATTGACGCATGAAATTTCCGCGACAAAAAATTTAAAAGTTGGGATAACAACGTCTTCGGGACAAAACCGGTCCGGGGAAAAAAAGACAAAAACGTCCCATACGCAAGAAACATAATTTCTTAAGCTATAATAATATAAAATTTGTAAAGCTGTGAAAAATTGAACGGAAAGGCGATTTAATGTATTTTTTGAGGTATGTCCCGTTTGAAAGTATAATAGGATTTTCTGACCTTCCTTGTCAGAAAATTCATTGTTATTCTTTTCATTGGAAAGCAACATAATCGTTTTTGTGTAAAAATGGAAATGTATTACCTTTTAAATTACTGGAAAACCCGAGAAATCCAACTCTCTGTCTGCGCATACCTAAAATCTCTTTACAAACAAAAAAAAATTATTTTTCCCAATTGTTTTCAAGGTAACGGAATGCCAAAAATGAATCTTGACACGAAAACATTTCCGTTGGCGGGAGGAGAGAAGATTTCCACAACTTCGGGCGCCCGAAACTCCGAAACTGAGCTCTTATTCTTTTCGAGGGTTGTTTCGGATATTTAACATTTATTTTAATTTATTGTATAGTATACAATGTCGGCGTCACTTGAATTCCAAAATGTGTCCAAGGAGGAATACGGCCAAATGGTAAGCAGTATATTGCTCAACATTGAATTTATATATTTCAAGTATGCAATTTAAGGTAGATATTCCGAATATTGATTGAATTTATAAGTTACCATGTCGGAACTAACTTCGTTTTTATCAATTTCTCTTTCAGAACAAGGGATCCATTCAGTTGAATCAAGCCAATGCCAAGTTCCACAATAGTCACACTGGCAAAGTCTACACTGTGCAGGCAGATAATGTGGACAAGGTATATTGGATTCGGATGGGAAACAAATATGCTTTGAAAGTAATCGATAAAAAAGGAATGCTACATAGGTTTGCTGGCCTAAAAGATGAGGACTTTGGCCGAGTACAGAGTTTCATAAAGAATAACTGGAAGAAAGATGTAGAGAAGCAGGAGACCAGTATCAAGGGATGGAATTATGGTTCGGCAAATGTTGAAGGTATGTGACGAAGTTCTTGCTTGAATTTTCTGTTTCTAGGTCAGAATCTTATCTTTCGTGTCGATGGGAAAATTGATTTTGAGATTCCTTTGACAAATGTGGCTCAATGCCCAACAGCAGCCAAGAACGAAGCTATACTTGAATTTCATAGCAATGAAGAGACCCCGGTTCAGCTTTGTGAATTGAGATTACACAAGCCTGGCAATGCCGAGGAAGATGAGGAGGATCCAGTAGAAGTAAGCATGGGTTTTCTTTGCAATTATTTCCCTTCATGTTATAAATTCTTCTTTCTAGAAGTTTAGACAAGCCATCTTAGCGTATGTGGAAGGAGACACCGACCTTCCTTTGGTCGCTCTTCAAAATATTTACTGTGCTACTCCTCGCGGTCGTTACGATATCAAAGTGTTTGCCAACCGACTTGCTTTTCACGGAAAGTCTTACGATTATAAGATCTTACTCAACCAAATTACTCGGATGTTCCTTTTACCAAACAAGGATCAGCGTCATGTTTATTTTGTGCTAAACATTGCGCCTCCAATCAGACAAGGTCAGACCAGATATTCATTTGTGGTGATGGAGTGCTTGGTGGATGAAGAAGTGACCTTGGAGTTGACCGGGACCGAGTAATTTGTCGCATTTCTTAGTTAATCCTATTCCTTTAGTGATCGACTCGAAAGGTTCTGCACAATTGAAGATGGAAAGAAAGTTTACACTGGCCCATTATTTGAGATCCTCTCCAAGATCTTCAGAGTATTGACCAATGTTCGAATCACGGTTCCAGGAGATCTTGTCAGGTAGTTGACGTTTTATGGTCCCTTATGTTAATGTTTAGGCCTTCAACCGCTGAACCCACTATTTCCTGTACAGTATTCTCATGCGCCTACAAGCAGGCCTCTGGCTTTTTGTATCCGTTGGAGAAGGGCTTCATGTATGTCCACAAACCTCCGATGTACATTCGATTCGAAGAGGTGGACAATTTGCATTTCGCTCGTTCTGATGCGTCGACCCGATCATTCGATCTTGAAATTGTTTTGAGAAACAGTCAATCGTACACCTTCAGTAATATCGCCAAGTAAGTTGAGTTTGGTTCTGTAATATTTTTGCAATTACATGGAAGAGTGAAGGCTTTAACACTTTTTTGCAGAGAAGAGTATAACAAATTGTTTGACTTTGCTGAGAAGAAAGGCCTCAAGATTAGAAACGCCAGTAGAATCGAGTCCAACAAATACAAAGTGGACGCTTTTGCCGATTCTGATGAGGAACTTGATCCATACAAAGAATCTCTCAAGGAAGATGCGGCCGGCGATGATGATGAGTCAGATTCGGAAGATGAAGACTTTGATGTTGATAAGGCGGCGAAGAAACAAAAGCAGGAAAAAGACTCTTCGGAAGGCTCGGGATCTGAACCAGAAGAAGAATATGATAGCTCTGGATCTGAGGTGACTGATGATGATATGATCGAAGAAGTCAAAGAGAAGCCAAAGAAAGAGAAGAGGGAGAAAAAGGAAAAGGAATCCAGTAAGGCTTTGGCTTAAGTTATCTTTAATTATGGCTTGTTTTCAATTTAAATTTATTCACATGTAAAAAAACATGTAGCGTACCTACCTTCCACTGTCTGGTCAATGTGAGGTCCTACCATCGCAGGCCATGATTCTTTCGAAAATCGTCTGTGCATCTTAGTCTGGGGTGTCCAAGTGGTCGTTTTTAAGGCGGGGTTCTTTCCATTAGTCGTTGATCCCATCTTCATACTTCCATTTCGCTTCTTTTAGTCCCTTTCCATACATGCTTTAGACCAGTCCGAGAACGAATTTCCTCATGCCTTATATGATTTCTCAAAGATATACCTAGAATTTTTAGCTTCATCAATCGCTGGCTTGTTTTCCTGAAAAAATCCTACCATTTTTCTTTTTCAGAGAAATCAGAGAAGGCTGAAAAGAAGGGCAAAAAGAAGGAGAAGGATCCGAATGCACCAAAACGACCACAAACGGCGTACTTTTTGTTTTTGGCTGAAAAACGACCTATGATTTCAAAGGAAGTCTCTGGAGTGGCTGAAGTCTCCAAGAAAGCTGGTGAAATGTGGAAGAGTCTTGGGGATGATGAGAAGAAGGTGGGTCTAAGAAATATTGCTTATCATCAACAACCTCACAAATAATCGTTTTTTAGAAGTATCAAGCCCTTGCTGACGAAGCCAAAAAAGAATACGATAGGAAAATGAAAGAATACAAAGAATCTGGAGGAGGCCCGTCAACTTCTAAATCCAAACCATCTGCGGGCACCAGCAGTCCGCAGAAGGGAAAAAACAAATCTCGGGAATTTGTGGAGGACTCGTCTGATTCTTCAGATAAGAGCGACGATGAATAACATGTAATGAAATCGCTTGTACTGTACTAATTTGTTCATTGTTTATAAACTGTTAATGATACTCAATTCTTCATTGGAAATGACAAATTTTATAATAGCCGCCGGTTTCGTTGGCAAAGTCTGTGGTTTTCTTATACGGGGTGTTCCTAGAATTATGGAAAAAACGATTCATTAATAACTTTGTGCTCGGTGGCCCAATCCGACATTTTTTTTTGCATTTTACAGGAAAACCTTTGAATTTTTAGAATCAAAAGATTTTTTTTTGATCGGCGGAGACTTCGGTAATCCTCCTTGAATTCGGCGGAGTGTTTTTTTCACAACTGAGGCTGTAAATTGTTGTATGTGTGAAGAAAATGGACGGGAAAGGATTCTGAAGACAATATGACATTTATTTCAAATTTTAGGGAGACGTTTTTTAACCTCGGCGGACGATTTTTCTTCATCTTTGGAGAGTCAAAATTGGCTAAAACCAAAACGTACGGTATTCCTGGTGGCATGGCGCCAAAATACGACTTATTACGCCTTCGGCCCACTGCGAGAAGAAAAAAAGGCAATGCGGCGGAGACAAAACGAACCCATTTTTACAGCCTCGTTTGTAAAAAAAAGCACTCCGCCGAATTCAAGGCGGATTACCGAAGTCTCCGCCGATAAAACAAAAAAAAATTTTGATTCTAAAAACTCCAAGGTTTTTCTTCAAAATGCATAAAAAAAATTTCGGATTGGATCACCGAGCACAAAGTTATTAACGAATAGTTTTTTCCATAATTCTTGGAACACCCTGTACAGTGGCGGTCAAAAAAAAAACGGCCACCCCAAGGTGATGCACTCTAACGCAAGAGAGAGTGGTGGTAGGTAGATAAACATGGTATAAGTGTAAAGCTTATGTGATACTAAGACCGGCGACCATAAACTTGTGATACTGTAGTGCTGGCCTGGGCAATATGTTCTTTTAGCCTGGTCATGAAAAATGGCCACCCATTTTGTTATGCTTTAAACGCACTTTTAGAGATTGCCACCATAGGCAATTGGACTAGGACAATTATGTAAATACACGTCAGTTCCACTGTTTCTTACTTTGTACATATGCCCTCAGGCATCAGTCAAGGTTGTTCATGGTTCAGGCCCGGCCAAATTTTTTTTGGTTTTGTGCCGTTGTTTTGATATTCTTGGGCAATACTGTAGACGATATTTACCGTATTCATGTGTAAAACTGTCCACTTCTGCCGAAATTGCGCCCTTGTTTGTTTTAACACGTTGCGGTTAAAGGAAACGACGGTGCGAAACGGCAGCTGCCGTATATTTGCAGTTTTCGACTTCAGGAAGTTATCATGAATTTTGTCCGGTCCGGATATATTGATGCCGTTCGAGGCAGAAGAGCGTCGTCCAACAAAACTGCTGGTATATAAGACTACCCTAACGTGGTACTGTATAAGGAGTCACTCATGAATCTTAATAAGTCGCAGAAAAAACGGGAAATCTTTTGTCTCCGTTATATTGGGTCACCCTGTACTTACTCGTTTTTCGTATGTTAACTAGGGTTCGGAAAATTTGGGTATTTTCACAGTATGTACCCGTATACTGGGGTATTTATAAAATTAACCTATATTGGCCTAATATAGTACCAATATATGGCTTGGGACTTCTAAATCTCTTTGTAAGAGTCCATCCGAACCCTGCAAATTTACAGGGGAAGTACCCCAAGTGCGACGCTCAGATTTTGATGAAACTTGGCACAAATTTAGAATAATTCTTTCCAAGATACCCTGCAAATTTAGATAGTCCAAAGTTAAAAGTTGACAAAAAAGGAGAAGGCGGCAGAGAAAGGCAGAAATTCTTACAAAGAGAGAAATTGCGCAATGTTATGTCAGATTGCGCAACTTTTAACTTTGTACTAACTTCGGGTCAACGACGTTTTATATACCCCGTCCAAACATTAATTTTAAGATTTACGGCTTCAATTGGGCATGGAAATCTTTCACAATTTTTTGCGTTTACTGTTCAAAAAAATGCTTTGATAATGTTTAAAATCGTCCAAGTTTAGAATCATATTAATCGAATCTTCCCATCTGTCGTCGCAGAAATTCCTTGGGAAAGGCGGATGAGATAAGAGCGGATTCAAATATGGGAGTCGGGCCCGAGAGCGGCCAGACTTTGCCTCAGGGAGTTTGCGCCCTTTTAAGCGGTCGGGTCGGGCCCTTTTCTTTTCCTCCGGCTATGGATCCGACTCCGCTTTTGGTTCCATTGTTTTCGCACGAAAGACGCCATAGTGGGAGTAGTCATTAAAAGGACTGGACGGGCCTTACCGATCTGGATGAACATGCTCATCGAGGCCGGATGTTGAGTCTCGCGATCCTTTCAACTCGCGATGTTTCGCTTTTTTTTAATAATCCGGCAATTTTTGAGCAACGATGCTTAAGGTACCCAAAAACACTGGAATCTATTGGTTTTCTGTTTTTTTTCACGAATTTCTTAAGATTACTAAATTGCCTGAAATTGTGACAGAAAGGACTGACTCTCTGATGACATAAAAGACTCTGAAATTGACTGATAGATGTTTTATTGGCTCTTTAAATGGGAATGTCTTCCAAATATTGCCTAAGAGTTGTCACAATAATGATTTCATTCCTAAGTCCTTTTCCTTTCCCCTCTGAAAGACTTGACTTACAACTAATTCCCTCCCTTCTAATTGTTTTCGCGGCTATTTTTGAGGTTGGCATAGTAACATGAACTATTATAAACGAAGAGAGGGGCGAGAGTTTATATGTTTGTTTGTACTCTCTGGGGCGGTAAGGGAGAAGAGACCGCCTTTATACCTCAATTTACTCAGCTTTTGGCTCCGCGCATTCTTTTTTCGTTTTAATAATTTTAAAATTGATCGGAAACATGTGAAAAGCTTCAAAATTACGGTGGAATCATTCATTTGATGTAACACTTTTCGATTGTCACTAAGAGATCGCTTGTAATGATAGTGCTAAAATGATTTAATTTAAATTTTCGTATTACGAATTTTTATGTCATAGATTTTGTCTCTTTTATTTTTTTTACTAATACGATTGAATTTTCAGTCCAGTGGACATGGTAATCGACCGGTTGTTATGCGCCATCAGCCCGGTATAAGCGAGCTGTTCGGACAGCAAAGAAACACATTAAGGTCTCAGATTGCAAGTCGATTGGTCCGTTCCATGACCAGCATGGTATGTTCATGGGGATTAATTAGATTGGAGACGAGACAAAAAGGTCATCGAAAGAACCGGAGGGCTTTTACGACCACCATGGGCTCCGGGGAATCGGGGGAGATTGGTCATTGCAATGCTGATGACGCAGATTCTCACTGATTTGAATAAAAAGAACGTTGTAGATGTCTCATCGAGACACGGCAGATCTGCTCCTGGTCTCAGTTGATGGTCGAAAACTGCCAGTTCATCTTTGTATTCTCCGTCAAAGGGCTCCTGTCTTTTTCCAACGATATATTGAGCCAACTTTGAATGCAACCCCTCGGGCGGCGACCCCTCAATTGCCTTTGGAAGTAGCTGTCGGTGATGTAGATTCAACTGGACTCTCCTTTTTCATCAAATCCATTTACACTGATGAGGAATTGGTAACCTTACCGAATGAAATGAAAACCATGGAGAAGACCCCTAGATGTTCAGGCATGTCTTATTAATTAATTATACGGCTATGTAGTAGGGTAGATCAATATAAAATAATGTAATAAATGGGTACATGCTTTATTTTGGTATCTTTTTAGAGAACGAGCCTCTCGAAGAGGAGATAGTCATGTACAGAGACGGTCTTCGGGATGAGATCGCGGATCAGATTCCTCGCAAAAACTCGGATTCTTTGAATTCTTCAAGAGTACGTTCCTTAAGACTTCTGAGTTGTGTTCTTAGGTTGCATCCCAATCTCATTTATGTGACATGACCAACCAAGAGATCCCGCCAGAGATGTCAGCATCTTATCCATCTCCGGGAGATTATAAAAATCATTCGATCCAAGACCTTTTGGGATCAGCCAGTAATCTTCAACAACAGGCTCCGATGATGACGTCATTCAAAGAATTGGCCTCACAACAGTCTCTCAACACGACGGACTCCCCTATGTGTACATCCACATATTCAGACAGAGATGATGACTGTCGAAGAAGAAGTAGGAGTGTGGCCAGTGATGTCCAAGGTAATTTTTGAAATCATATCTAATAGCATGTTTAGGTCAGTCCTGCAAGTTCATCAGATTGGATGACAGCGGAGTTTCCAGCAGATCCACCTCTGATCGATCGGAAACCCGAAAATCGATCTTCCCTATGTTCATTGGGATGGGAGCCTATGACACAATGGAGGATCCCATGAGCCAGAGTGCCCCTTCTGCCGAAAACTTTGGATCCACGATAAGAGGACGCGCCATGATGGCCAGAAGACTTTCAGTCAGTTCGCTGACATCCCTCACTTCCATCGATCTGACTCCAACTCATGAAAGTAAGCAATTTTGATGATTTTAAAGTTTTCCAAAACTCTATTTTTTGGAACAGAATGTTAATTATGAATATTACATTGTTTTATTATAGATGCTCCGATCTTCACAGACAATGATCCTGCCAGTCAATTGGCCAAAGATCTTCTCCAGATATACAAAAGAGGAAAAGATTCAGATGTCAGCATCACAACAAACGCAGGCGATCTTAAAGGTCATCGATGTATATTGTCAGCTACATGTAGCGAGTTCAAGAAGGCCTTGGGGTCATCTTCTCGCATCGATCTCTCCAAATATTCCTTGTCCACCGTTGATTTCTTACTTCAGTTTTTATATGGAGGCTTAACTTGTGTGCCAGAGAATGTTAATATCTGGGAGTTACTCGCATTAGCTGACGCACTCCGACTCGATCAGTTGCTGCAGGTAGCCATGTTACACTTAAAAGCACAAAAATGTCATTTCTTCCACAGGGTAAGTGCAATATCCAAAAATGAAATGTAATTTTACAGCCATGTGCATCGTGTGTATCTGCGGTATTCGATGCCCTCCCGCAGTTCTCTGAATTGGCAGTGCTCAGACCCTTGTATGAGGAGGCTATGGCATGGCAATGCAAACATTTTGCCCGTATCTGGAAGGGCCGAATCTTCCTCCATCTCTCGGAGTACTGGCAAAAAGAATGTTTCGAGGCCTTAATTCAGTCAGTGACCGATGAGTCTGTCATCGAAGTCCTTCTGGGATGCGAGAAATTGCAGATTGCTCTGCCCAGGATCAAAGCCCAGCATTCGAGTATCTATGTCCAGAAGATGGTGAATGATGTGGTGGAGTATTGCACGGACTTCCTCATCTCCAGCCTGGATCTGGTAGTTCAATCCAAGCTGTTTATTCAGCAAGGAAAGGGATTGGCTCTCAATCTATCCCTTCTGGAGGATATCTTACCTTCCCTTATCCATTCTTTGAATGCAGATACAGCAATCAAGACTTTCATAAGTCTAAAACAACTGCTAACTGACATTGCTGAGGGCAGAATACAGAGCTCGAGTACCAGTAGTGTTAACCAAGTCGAAGATTTCAATCCTGTAAGCCCATTTGACGGTTCCGTATTCCTCATTTTAGCGCTTTCTATTGTTGTGTCGTCGGTTGTTGGAGTTGTGCGACAAACATCTTCTACACTTTACAGCCTCCGTTGTAAAAAGTAAGGCCTGGGATCTCCTGGAGAAGGCAGACCAAGACAGAATTCAAGAAAGTAAGTTTTGTCATTACAGTATTATATAATTGTTTCTTTTTTAGCGGGTATCTTTGTTGAAATGTGCCTCCCAAAAGCGCCACCCCCAAGACTTTCCAGCTTTAATAGAGTAAGTTTGTTAGGCATTAAAATATCCTTAATTTAGTCTTATAAAAGATCATCCAGTGTTGGATTCGGTCAAGGAATCCAATCCAAATTAGATGTCGCATATTACGGTGGATATGAAAGGACAAGATCATTGGAAAGAGCCCGCCCTGCGTCTACTTTCACTCAGCTTTTGGAAGCAGATGAACCACTAGAAGCAATCCTTGAACGAGAAAAAAGCCAGACTCAAATCCATCTAGAACAACATCGGAGAGCCAACAGTATGCGAGAACAATCTTCTAGTCGAATGAGTGTAAAATCAAACGCGAGTACTATAAAGCACAAATCCCCGCAACCATCTGAAATGGATCTGACAAGAAGGACGGAGAAGAAGAGTTCCGACGCTCCAAAACTGAAGTCTCCCAAACAGACACTCGTCCCCAAATTATCGTCTCCAGAATCTCCCACGAAACGAGTAACCAAATCCAGGCATCCCCCTCCAGTCAAGCGGCCGATCCCAGCCCAATCAGTCAATGTAAATATTGAACGACAGAACACACAGACATTGATGACGGCTGAGCAGAACAAAGAGAAAGGAATCGACACAAGTGCTACGGATATTAAACCATCTACATCTGATCCCTTCCGGAAAGAAACAAACAACAGTCCCCAGTCTGCAGATACAGTCAAAAATAAACCACGTTCCGTGGTCAAACCAATGCCAAAACCAACACCGTCAACAGTTACACAGAGCAAAACGGTAACCAGACGCGTATGTAACTTTTTTTATTTATCACAAAACTAAAAGTTATTTCTGTCACCCGCAGGATTCGGACCTGCGTCTTTCGCGTCTCCTCCTATCACGACCTGAGATTTTTGACGGGGGCGTTTGTCGCTTCTGTACGGGGGCCGTAGATGGACGTTGTTGCTTCTCACCAGAAGCCTGCCCCGAAATGTCGGGACGCGAAAATAAGAGTTCGGCTTAAACTCAATGTTTTCTAACACGAAAAATAGATGAATTTGACGCAGATGATGATTTTATTTTTTGCTGGATAAATTAATCAATTTCAGAGTGTAACTGGGGCAACCGCTGCGTATGCTGCCAAAGTAGTAGACAAACCAAAAAGTGCTTTACCTCGTCAGCTTCCCCCTCCCAACGCTGCAATTCTCACCCGAGCCAGCCGAGCCAGTGGCGTTCAGTCAATCGATGGAAAGGTAAAAAGGAAGGAATTGGAGACTGACTCCAGAATACCTAGAAGTCCAAAAATTGGTCGAAGATAGAAAACGTAGTGAAAATACAGAGATGAAAAATAAAAAAATTTAAATATTATTTGGGTTGTTTCATTTCAATTGCAAAGTCGGTCGACTGATCATGAGTCAAACCGCTCGAGAAGAACTTGACGATGAGGGCAGTGAAGGATCTGAAATGCAGTATTTTACCGCGATTCCACCTCAATCACCAACTTTATGTAAGAACAGTATGGAAAACGATGACCTATATTCTGCAGTAGATGTAACTCAATTCACGGTTTCGACTGTGTCTGTGAACACTGTGAACGATGTCCTCTTCAATATGGAGCAGAATTTGGATCGTCTTCTCAACTATCGAGCCGGTCTCATCGGAGAATATCAAGATGCCAGGGTCGCCTTCAATCCCGTCACCAAATTGTGTGGGATTCGACTATTTTCAGCGATGGTAGGCAATCGTGGACGATGAGATATTATATTTTTAGAACCTTTTGAAGTCGTTAACTCTCCTCTATTGGTTCTTTATGGTTACTCGAATCATCGTCCGCTTTGATCTTTGTCTTTATATGGCCTTAATTGGATCAATGAGCATTTTCCTGATGAGCTTTGGTCTCGCCTCGGAGCACTCTTTGTTCACGATTCCCATGATTATTTCACTGATCTTGGAATTATTAACAGGTGTGAGGCAAGGATATTACACCATCGAGATCATACAAGATCCGTAAGTGGTGGATTCGTTTTTATTAAAAAGATACGATTACATTATGACAAAGGTTTCAGAGAAAGGAGCAGACTTTCGGATTACGTTGGTCTATTTGGAACGGTGTTGTTGGCTGATGCTTCGACTTACGTCGGACTTATAAGGTAATATTAAATTAATATAAGGTAAACGTAGAGTTTTAAATACTATACTATAGTTACAGATTTACATCGTATGTGCTCATTAAGACCCTCTGGCTGTTATTCGCCTTAGGCCATTTCATGAGCATGTTCTTTTTGATGAGAGAGAAATCGCAGACTCTGCGAAACTTGGAAGAGAAGATACGACAAGCACAGCGAGATATTCTGGCCGCATCCACACAGATCGACAACCTCAGAATGCAAAACAGACTGAACAGGGGAGATTAAATCACATTTCTCGGATCCCGGAGTGATGACAATACATCAGAACGTTCCAGTTGAATAAACAAGTAACGTCTTCTTTGGTTATTTTCCCAATTGAAGTGCCCGAAGGATCACACATTCGAAGGCAACGACTTCCCACCTGTAAATAAAAAGAATCAGAGATCTCGGTTGTCGATTCTACCATTAATTGGGGAGCATTTAATTCCAAGTCTTGGCAACACTGTCGATTATCTCGATTTTGGGAAGCGCAATATAAGATACTGGACATGTGTTTGAAGGAGCAGGTCGAGTTAGCCATCTGGGTCAGCAATTCTTTTGCTTTAGACTGATCGGTTTCGTATTTACACATAAATTGACATTCAGAAGGCACGTATAATTCGCAACAAGAGCTGAAGAGTTTGTTGGCCACGGCCTTCGATGTGCATGGCTGATAATTCATCTCTGATGTTCCACACTTCACCTAAAATAGTTTTAAAAAACAAAATGGAAGTCTGTGTATTTACAATCCGATTACAAAGAATCTAAATCCCCGCTGCTCTTACTTCCTCGACTTTTTGCGGCGCTCTTCTCAAGTCCTTAACATTGGCTTCGGCATTCCTGTTGAACACCAGACTCTTTCTTTCCGGACAGTTCTCTACAATCGGCTTATAACAATGGGGCTGGGGACATCTGTTGCTCCAAACCTCCTCACAACACTTATCCACTGGCACAATCCCACATTCGGGCTGGGCCTGGATCAAAGGCAGGAAGAACAACAACAAAAAGGTGGCGAGCATCTCGATGAAGGGCAAAAATAATTGAAAAGAAAAGCCTCTCTATAAAAGGAGATCCGGAATCGAATACCTTCTTGAGGTGGTTCTTTCTCTCCGAGATCCGCTTGTTCGACATGACCCCGAATGGCGAAAGAGAAAGCGATCAATTGGAATCCATTAGATCGGGAAGAGATCGAGATCAATCCAACCTATCTGCAACATTGCTGCAGGAAGTCATTCAAACCATGTACGAGTTATACATCGTGTTTCAAGAAATATTTCGGAAAGTTTTTGCGAAAATCTTTGTGCTCTTCGCAGCTATTCAAGAAGTTTGTTGTTTTTTAATACAGCCGTGCTGTTTTAAAAGGGGGATTTTTTCGCGGAGGGGCCATTTTCGGCAAAGACATTTTGACGTCAAGCGGTAAAAGTCTCCGTCGGACCTCCGCCAACGTGTAAGACCTCCACCAAGCCACCGAGACTAACAGATTACATCTTACCAAACCAAATGTGACAACCCTAATTTCATCAGTAGTAAAGAAGTGTGAGGCTTTGTAGCGAGACGTAATATTAGCATTTTCACAAAGTGCCTGGACATCATTTCGCTTTCGCACAGTGCAACTTGAACCTTTGTCGCCAACGCACTGTGAAATTTCCCGTTTTCGCACCGTGCAAACCTCAAAAAAGCCGATTGCACTGTGCACATTCTCGCGGAGGCGCAGTTGAGAAAAGCTTACGTCGCAGCGATATTTCAAATGCACAGTGCAAAACCAAAAAAAGGTCAATGCACGGTGCGAAAAATCGGGGGCCTTTGTGCACAGTGCGATTCGCGACAAATATCCAGGCACTTTGTGAAAATGCTAATATTCAAAAAAAGACGTCAAGTGTCTTCGCAAAAAATATCAGTCTCTCGGGCGGGTCGTCGCAGCAAAATGTCTCGCCTTGCCGCTATCTCTCACCAAATCCCCAGGAGCGGCTTGCCGTCGCAGAGCGATAAACTTTATGGATAGCTGCGAAGAGTATAAAGATATTCGCAAAAACTTGCCGGAATACCCTGTATAAAAAACACCTGTATATACGACAACAGTAAAAGAAAAACGGAAGTAGGAAATACACAGAAAAGGAAGTGCAAAGTCAACCAGGCGTAAATAGCCTGAGGCATTCGTACTGTTCTTGACTTCTATAAACTTCTTCTTTCTTTAGAATGTTTACAATTGATGCAGAAGAACCTCAGAAAGAGACAAAGGTGGTAATTATGGGCTGAATTAATAATATAAAAAACTTCAGACTGCGCGAGAAGAATTTCGTCTGATTTCATTGGAAAAGGCAGACAAGACCCTTCTCTGTAAGGGATCGAAGAAAGAACTTTTGGATATCCTAGCAAGTTTAAAGAAATTCGAAGCAAAAATTAATGATAAGCTGATACAAAGATTCAGAAGATTGACCAGAGTAAGCAGCCAGTGGATTAAATTAAATTACATTTTTAGGATTCGGTCCGCGTGAGTACAGTATGCCTTACCATATTCTCTTTATACTGTCGAGGCATAAGACTAGCAGACCATTTGATCACAATCAATCCCAATCGATTAAATCAGACAACTTTTTTATATCTTCTCCATAAATTCCATGAGTTTTTTTGGAAGAATATGCAATTATTAGGACCCAAGAGTGAAAGCATCTTCAACCAGACGACTTGTCAGCTCAGATTCACAAAACTCGACGTTACCGTATACTTTTCGGTACAGGCGTTGCACTTTAATCGATTGGTGGTTTGCAAACAAAGACATATGGCAGAATTGACAATGATAAAGCAGCAACAATTGCGGAAACAAGCGGTTGAGAAGGACAAAGAGATGACTTACAGCCAATTACCCTGGAATCCGGTGGATATGAAGGCAATAGAAGACGATGTAAGCACTGTTAATGGCTCTTTACACGTGCTTTTAGTTTCTACGCTCAGAATTATTGGACCTCGATGATGCCTGTATTATAATACAATGTGCCGAGAGAAGTAAGTAGTAAAAAAACTACCAAATGATATTGCCAGTGTATCAGGCACATGCTCGGGGCATTTATATGATCGAAGTGAAGAGAAAAGCAATGGATTTACACAAGAACGAAGCAGAAGTAGACCCTGAACATGCCGCCAAGAAAATACAAGCAGTAAGAGTAAATTAAAAGGTATAAGATGTACAGAGAACCAGAGGATTCCTGGCCCGGAAACACACTCGCTTACTGCGAGAACAGGAAAACGCCGAACTGGGCATTCATCCAATCTCGTTGATCAACAAACGGAAGAACTTAGCCCATCTTTTGCGAGACTTTCCTCCGGCCTCGCCTTTATTTTCTTGTATAGAGTCGAGTTCTGGACCCCTTATACCCACATTTGAGGTCGATTTCAGTTTTCCCAAATCAATACAAGCACTCATCGAACAGCAGAATGCCTCCGTTTTCACGTCGGATCCACTAGAGAACATTCTAGAGGCCCGTGAGACGCGGAAAACTAACTATGAGACCTTTGACTCAAAGACGGAGACCTTGTTCAGCAAATTAAATAACACGGGGATAGCCATTCTGGGGCCAGAACAGTCTCTTCAATTCGATGAATTGATCAGTTTTACCGTGCAAGTAATGGAAGGACACGAAATATTCTATTGGGACCTACGGAACTATCTGTACATGTCCGTTGTCATCCCGAATGGTAATATCAACTACATTACATAACATGTATCATATAGTAAAGCAACCGTTCATTATGGGCAGATCTTTGATTACATCTTCATCCAATATTTTCTGCTTACGAGTTTTTTCGACTCGGGGTTCTTTTCGATGGCATTATTAATAGCTTCTGCCCATAATGGACGTACACTATAGTAACTATAAATTGAAAGAGTAACAAATTATAGTCCTTTCAACCTGGCCGGAGATCTCAATGCAGAAAAGAAACCTGCTTCTTGTTGGGTCAAAACAATCCGGCAGACATTCCTGGGCCAGAGCAATGGCCCAGAAATGTGGGGCAGTTCAAATTACCATAAATGGAAAGTCCTTACCAAGAAGAAAAAGGTCGAAGATGGTAGAAAGAATAAATAATGTGAGTTACTTAGGTCCGAAATTATTTTAAAATTTTAGTTCTGTCTTCTCGATCACAATGTCTTTATAATATTTGATACATTAGACATTTATAACGAGAAATACATCAAGAAATCGTCTCATATAAAGGTAAGGTGAGTCTGTCACGACATTTGCGCAAATTGACGGTTTGAGGAAAAGGACGCTTGCGGAATTCGGGGAAACCCTTTCATAAGTTCCTGTTTTCAACTAGCCTCTTCGAATTTTTGTATACATATTTTGAGACCCTACATGAAATGTAATCCGGAAAAGCGATCAAAGGTCTCTGCCCTAATCAGCCTGGTGACAAAATTCATATATTCGGAAAAGAAAGGTTCATTCTATAAACCAGTTTTATGTATTATATTTTACCGGTGTCTTTTACGGCTTACCAAATACACATAAAAATTTAAAGCCCCATTTTTTGCCCTTACATTTTGTGTCACAATTCCGCAATATCGTCAAATTGAATTCAGCAAATGTCGCGGTGCGAAAGTGAGAAGATCAATATTGAAACTTTTTTCTTAGAAATTTTTGTTCAGTCTACTGGAAAACTGGACTGAAGAACTCAGAGGCAATGTTCAAATCATTGGAATCTCTGCCAAGCCGAATCTCGAAGAAAAAGTTTTAAATTTGTTCCCCACTACGGTAACAATCGGAACTCCGACTGCATCCGAGAAAATTGGTAAGCGACTAAAACGCAACATAATATATTGCAGAAGTGATCGCTGATCAGTTAAGTAAACGACTGGAAGAGTCTAAATCCGAAATTATTCCATACAGACTTATTGAATTAAACAAATCTACAAAGAAATTGAACATCGGAATGACCATAGAGAAGATCGACAAAAAACAAAACAGACGGAGACAAGAATCCGCCCATCTATAAAAATATACAAGAGTTGTAGCACACTTTATAAAATTAGTTGATTTCATAAAGAAGTTTGATTCGACAAAAATCGCAAAGTTGACGTCGATTGTTTGCGCTGTGGGACAAAAATAAAATTTTATGAAAAATCTGAAAATTTTCTAAAAGTGGCTTTTTCCACAAAAACTACTTTACCAATAACAATTCACTGTATAAAGCGATTGAAGAAGACCCAAGTAGGTTCAAAATGGATACCGGAAATCACGATAATGAAATGGATCCCAGTAATGTATGTTGTTCTTCAATTTTTTTTTAACTTACACGTCTTATAATGAATATTTTCAACTGGTTTTAATGTATTTATTTTATTACAGATATCTCTAAACTTTTTCACTGAGACCGGTTACAATCCAGTCTCGATAAATACCGGCAGTCATGATTCCAATGATTCTACTCCAATTCCATCAGTCGGACCCTCAGAACCAAGTTTGGCTAGTCCTTTCCCAGAAGATGAATCAAAAAGAGATGCCAAGAAGGGGCTGTTCACTGGATATGTGACTGGAAAAGCAATGGAAGTCGCAAAAAGAAGGAATCTGATCGAGAGAATTGAAAGAGCCAGAGAACTTGGTCTCCTAAATGTATCCATTCCACAATTGAGTGAGCTGAGTATGACACAACTGAGCATGTTTCTCAGAAGATTGTTCAAGATGACCCCTGGGTTGAGGGATTTTGTGAGCGATGAAGTGGTCCAAACAATATTCGAAGACTTTGAACCCAGGTCTTCGTCTGCAATGGGAGCTGCTGATGATGTTCCGAACGAAGATTTCTTGAACGTGCCTACTGTTTATGAATCTGGCGCGGAAACAGAGCCAGAATATGAATATCACAACGGGTCTGATGAGGAGAATAGTGGTGTCAACAAGGCTGAATTGCCTGTTTCGTAAGTATAAGATTATTTTAAAGCATTTTTTAGTCAGTCGATTCAGCCTGCTTACTATCGCATCCGGCGACGAATCATGGAAGCTGATAATTGCATAGCACTTCAGATTCGGAAAGTAATTGAAAAACGAGATCGTTTTTTGGTAGGTGTATTTTTTGCTGACTCTCATTGTTTAGACAAATATATGCGATATGGATTCTTTTGAATTTGAGTTGCCAAAGCAAACAGGTGATGCAGAACAAGATTCCCAGACTTGTCTACGTTGTCGGCCACTCATCAAAAGAGTTAAGAGAAAGTTGAGCAAGACCATATTCCCGACGTATGTTTCAGTTCTAGCCCATTATTGACTTGATTTTAGCAATCGGCAAAGTGCTCCAAGCCCTACGCGTTTTGAAGATAATTTGGAAAAAGTCTGCTCTTTCGATTTTAATGATACCAGAATTAGAAATGTGACTACAATGACCAGTAAGTCGGTTTGCAATTTTTTTATTTTTTATCTAGGATTGAACAGTGAAGCGATGATCGAAGATTACCTGCACAACATGGGTAACATTCCTCTTTATGTTCCTGTGAAAAGTCAGACTGCGTACAACAACAAGGGAAAAACGGATAAAGAATACTATGGATTCGTGTCAGATATCAAAAAAGAATTAACTGGGTATCCTCATGTACTTCCACCTGTACAATCATCTGGCAAAAAAAGAAAAGCTGTACCTGTTTTAGTAGATAATAATGGATCAGATGATGAAGAAGAATCTAACCACAGTGAAGGACTCCTGTTGCGAGTCAAGAATAAGCAAGATTTGAAAGCGCTGAAAAGGAAACAGACGGGGAACACTGCAAACACGGCAAAGACGAAGGTAGCTATCAATGATATAAGTTATTTTCGTTTAGAAAGTTGAACCCATGGTGGACACCAGAAAAGTGTCGCCTTTGAAGATCAGACGTCCCTTGGTCCCTGAGCCCCATCCAGCAAGCACTTATTATACATCTCATCATCAATACTCGATTCCATCAACTTCCCTTCAATGCCAGACAGAAGCTACAAAATATACAGAAAGACAGAGTACATACAGTTCCGACATAACTGCGACCAGTGAATTGGAGGGACTTTTCACTTCTGATCAACCCCAAATTCAGAAATCATATTCACATGCTGACGTCCAGAATAATCCTGCGACATTACAGGAGTACCCTGATCAGATCAATTACGGAATGGAAGATTCTGATCTATCTTTGGAATTAAAAACATCTGGAATGGATGAACATCCAGCTGATGAGTCGAAATCCACTTCCAGTTCATCATCCAGCACCAGTTCATCTTCTTCATCATCCAAAAGTTCGAGTTCATCGCCGGAACACAACACAACTCGGGAAGAATCAAATCTCAATGAAACTAGGGGGACTCGGAGTTCAAGAGGTTCGGGAAGTTCGGACAGTTCTAGTTCAGAGTCAGGAGATGAATCGGATAAAGAGGATAATGATGAAGAAGATGTGCTCCGAGAGAGTAGTGTCTCCTTGAATATCACTGGAAGCAGTGGCGAAAAGAATGAATCCAAGGAAACGGATAGTATTCTAGGACCAGAGACTAGCGGCCTTGATGTGGTTTGCCAAGAAGAAAGTGAAGATAAAATGGATGGTGGTGGACAGGTAACAAATAACGCAGGAAATGAAGCAAGAAACGTTGAGAGAGGGATAGAGGTGGCACAGCAGAGTGAGGAGGATGGTTACAAATCTGATGATGAAGGAGATAGTCAGGAGGAGAGGGACGAAGATGGGGTAAAAATTGAGGGCGCTTCTCAAGCTGATGATGAAGAGAATGAAAATGAGGAGAGTGATCTTGAAAGGGATGTTACGCCTCTTAATGATAATGCCGATGTGTCAAATGCGGCCACGGAATCAGCCCAAGAACATTCGGAAATTGGAGATGTCAGTCAACTGGAGGATGTTGAATTAAGAGCAAATCTGGGGTATAACGCATCTGAGGGTAATGAAGATGAATTTGGTGAATCTTTGGTGGAAGAAGAACTAGACGGTGTTGATGGAAATGGAGAAGAAAGTAATGTAGAGACGAGGGATACTGACGAAAAAGAAGATCCAGTCTCTGAAGAATGAGCAATCTCTTTGAGACCATCGGTGATGTACTCGGTGATTGGATTTCCCCTATATTGCCCGTATTTTTGTCATTCTCATCTTTTAATTTGTTATTTTCAAATAAATGGTCGTATTTAAAGGGCAGTGTATTCCCAGTTCAGTCAGAGCGCTTTCACATATCGGATTTGATGGGGGCTGGCTAAATGCTAAAGACGTCATTCTTTTATTTTTAATTATACTAGAATAATTAAGCTTGCTAAAAAAGATGACATCAATGGTATCCAAATTCATACCGAAGGCTCCCCCGTTGGATACAGTAATCCTAAAGAAGATCCAGGGCTTTGTTGACCAATCGAAAAGCATAAGTTTCTTGACTGGAGCAGGCATATCAACAGAATCTGGTGGGGATTAACACGTCTTGTGGAAAGTTCTTAAGGGATTCCTGATTATCGATCTGAGGGTGTCGGTTTGTACGCGCGAACCAAACATCGACCAATACAATATCAGGATTTGATGAAGAATGAATATTGGAGAAGGAAATATTGGTCTAGGAACTATGTGGCCTGGGAACGGTTTAATCGTGCCAAGCCCAATGTGGCTCATTACACTTTAGCCGAGTGGGAGCAGAGTCAGAGGTATAATTCCAATAAGTTGCTGTAGGATTTGTAATATAGAGTGAACTGGCTGATCACCCAGAATGTAGATGGCCTTCATACGGATGCTGGATCTACAAAATTAACGGAACTTCATGGATGTGGAAAGAGAGTAATCTGCACGGAATGTCAAAAGATCTCCCCGCGGTGGGTCTCTTGGAATCGCAACCTTTATATCCATTATTAGATCCGAGATACAAGACATGATCACGAAATTGAACCCAGATTGGGCAGTAAAAGAAATTGGAGAAATGCGGCCCGATGGAGATGTGGACATCCCTGATGATGCTTTGATCAACTTCAGAATCCCGTTTTGCATTAATTGCGGTGAGAGGAGTATTTTAAAAACAAATGTCGTCTTTTTTGGAGAGAACGTCCCCATGAAAGATGTGGATGTCTGTTATGAGAAGGTATTGGAGCCATGATAAAATTGTATTATCTTGTTTTAGGTGAATAGTTCAGATCTTTTGATTGTTTTGGGCTCTTCTTTGTCCGTAATGTCATCTTTCCGCTTTATCCATCACGCATCCATCAAGGGTATTCCTATAATCATCATCAACATTGGTCCAACCCGTGGAGATCACCTAGCTGCTCTCAGATTACCAGCCAGGGTCTCTGAAGTAGTTGTAAAACTGAATATTTAGCACTTGTAAATAGCTTTAATAGATTTATTAAATAAATAAAATAGGGAAATACTGTTACATGGCTATAATAAAGCTCGATTAACATCACAATCGGGCATTGTAACACGTAAACTGTCTACAGTAATCTGTAATTCTCGTTAAACATCTCAAATAGTTATTTATTTACCTGAGCAACCAATCTCCAAGCATCGGACCCGCACTTTTCCACGACAAAAGGGCGACAACACCTCAGGTAGTCGTCCATTATCTGGCACAAGTTGTAGAAGTACTTGTCCAGGTTATGTTTCTTTGTCTTTACCGCGTCATCCATCGCTTTCCCTGCGGCATTTCGGCATAAATTATATTCTTTTTGGGCCTCGACCTCAGCGAAACAAGCGGCGTGTTTCTCGAACAGATTGTGGCCAGCTCCGCACATGTATCCATAAGAGGCTTCCACGGCCTCGATGGAGATGGAATGACAATGCACATCTGCTGTGCAATCCTAACATAGGATTATAAGATGATTAAATTAACTTAGAAGTGTGTAATCATACGAAGACTCACCTTAAAGTCTGTGTACAGATTGCATAATTTTGAAAACACCTCGCCTCCCTTGAGAGAAAAGGGTGTGTTCTCATCCTCGGTCGAAGTTTTTTGGATCGAATTAGCATAGTCAATAATCGGCTAAAATTTTGGAAATATTTTTTTAATATTTTTTTTTGAAACAAATAAATGCAAATATTGAGAATGTTATTCACCTGCAGGCAGTTGCTTATCCTGGCCTCTTTGCTGGCCGAGCATTTGTTCGCAAAGGTGGGATCCAACACCAAATCTTCGGAAGCCCCTGAGGCGAAGAGCAATGGCAGCAAGTACAAGAACATCCCCATTTTCTCAGACCATCTCTAGATGAAAGAGCTTGGCTCTGAATACAAACTAATGTAAATGTAGTGGCCGGAGTTGTAGTATCGGGGCCGATTCGTGGCCAAGGAACCTTAAATGTCGTTTTGGGCGCAGAAAGGAGGCGTCGAAGGCGTTATGAATTTGATTATCCCTCTGTCCTCGGGCCGCTCTTTGTGTGTCGGATCTGGAAGTCTCCGAATACGATTACCTCGCGTCGTTTTCCGGCCCTCAGGTCGAAAAAAAGAAGAGCCGAAAACCCCGAAAATGGAACGATAAATGGCTCCGATTTGAGATTCTGGAGAGAATCAGGAAGAGGCCTCGTCTCCTGCAAATGGCATGTTCATAAGAAACGAGAGAATGGTGATATTACTCTTTAAGGCTCTCGAGTTTATTCGAGATCCCGATTATGGGCAAAAACAGGGAGAAGGGGCCATCAAATTGAAAGTGATGACTTTTCGGAATGCTCCTAGCATAATGCCATCGGACATACTTGCACTTAAAGTTAATGCCTTCCGAAATAAGGTTATTAAAAATAATTGAAAAATACTGCAAGAGTAAAGAGAAATGTTGCAAATACTTGAGACCCCAAGTTGAGTTTAAAACCCCTCCCTACTCCAATTTATTATGGCCTGAGGGCCTCAAACTAATTCATATCCGAATCCAACTTGTTTCGAACGGAACTATGCTCCCCGAATCCAATTATGTTGTACCTTCTTTCTTTACAAAGATTTTCACTCTTCCGGAAACCCTCAGGGCATTTCTGTTTTCCCGGTCTGAATATGTAATTGTTTGCTTTCGAACCATGATTTTTTAACAATTTGAACTTACTGGCATCCAGTAATTCTAAAAAATGTCAAAAAATGACAAAAGTAATTTCCGGATTTGGAATGCGCATGAATTTTCACATATTTAAATAAATGTGTGACTAATTTTGAAGTTTGTGTTCCTCCGATCTTCTCCTTCTTTTCTCTTGCTCACTTCTAATAAACTCTGTCTGTTCCCTGAAATCGTTTTTTCTGAACCCTCAAAGTATTTGTATTCGAAATGAGACGAGGAGTTTTCCCCTTGGTTCTTTTTCCCATGACTTTCAAAAACGGCCCAAGAAGGGGAGTTTCGGCCGTTTTTTTGACATTTATGAAGTCCAAACCCCTTTATTAATGCAATCTATTCTAATACTTTGATTTAGATTTCACGCGACGGGCGGGCGGAAAGGGGGGGGGAGGCTCCTTTTTATTTCTGATCTGGTTCGTTCTGCGGCGGGAAAAGCGAAAGGTTTTAATCCTGCGGCTGACCTTGGGCAGAGTTATTGTGTGTTGTAAATACTCTCGTCTTTCACCTTGTATGTTGATCTTGGCACAGGCTTTATTCCTTGGCCTTTTTCATTCCCTGATTCTCGCCTTTTCTTTTGACGTCCCGTGATATTTTCTCATTTTAAACGTCTCCCTTAAAAGACCAAAAAACGCAGTCGAGAGTTTAAAACTCTCACTTCGAGTGTGGTTTGTAAATTGAGACACGAATTCGGAGAGAATCAGGTGACATTGCCTGTTCTCTACCCCGTGATTTTGATAAGAAATCCGGCTGCGCCCTGTGGGTATTCAACTTTTTTCTTGGTGTGATCAATTAAAGCAGTGTCTACAAATGGTAGTTATTCCCAGAGGTTATATTAATTAGAGTGGAATTGGCATGGGCTTCTATTTTTGACAACATTATTTCGAATTTCCAAAAGATTTATGTTGTAACAGACATAAAGATCTCTTTTATTTACTCGTGAGCCCACAAAGTGCTGTTACAAGTTCTTTTTCCCTGTTTTTTTTTGTTAGCGACGGGGGAATGACTATGTTCTTGCTGTACTTTTTGTACTTTCATCTCGGTGTTCCTTAATTATTAGTTTTCTGACCGTTATCAACTTATTCATTGCCATTTTTGTAGACCAGAAAATGGGCCTAACTTGGTCCAATTCTCCAGATGGTCGTCCAAGTACGGCACTGCCTTTGGTCGGTACGGGTGCTTATGAGGTCGGATGCGCAGATATTATGATTGCCCCGGAGAACGAGAACGATGTGGGGATGTTCGCCAGAGTCTTTTACCCGGCCTCTAAAAGACTGAACGTTGTGAGTTCGGTTGATTATTAATTCCAATACACTTATTATTAATTAATGATGTTGATTTAGCATGAAGAAGCAGTCCAATATCCAGTCTGGAGACCGAGAAAGGAATATCTGGATGGCCTGGCTGATTATAGGGAAATGAATCCACGGAAAATCCATTTCTTTTTCGACTGGGTGATTGGCGAACGGCGAGTTCCGGCTGGTTGGCATGAGCCTCTTTTCACGTACGTCCTGGAGAGAGAAAGGGATCACGTCGTCTCAATTCATGGCTCCAAGTCCTCAGGGCAGTTGTCAGCGTCATCGTCGGAAGATCTCTCGGATATGGGATCCCGGATGCACCCCTCCAAATCTGATGCGAATCTCATCAACGATTGTGATCCCAAATTCCCGGTTCTTATTTTCTCTCATGGAATCAGTGGAAATAGATTATGTTACAGTACTTATTGCTCCTCTTTGGCTTCATATGGCTTCGTGGTAGTGGCCATTGAGCACAGGTAAAATCTTTGGCTACCTAAATATTAGGTTTAGAAGTATGACTCCACCGTTATCATTTAATACAGATGATATTAATCCCATTACAGAGATCGCTCCTCTTCTTGGACGTTCTATTTGGAAACAGACCCTGTCTCAGGGGTCGTCATAGAGAAGCCGGTTACTATCATGCAATACCCGGCAGGCGAGGCCGACTTTAAAGCCAGGAACAAACAAGTAAGTGTAGTAGTATTCGATTACAACCTTGTTCAGCTACACAAAAGGGTGGCCGAATGTGTTCGGGCCTTGAATGTGATGGAGGAATTGAATCTGGGAACGTGTGGACCGGCTGACAAAAGACCTAAGGGCAGCAAAATAATTTATGGCCAAGGATTTGATTGGTCTCAATTTAAGGCAAGTTGCTTGTAATGTTCCTTTATCCACATTTTTAATTACAGAATCGCCTCCTGATCGACCACGCCGCCGTGATTGGCCATAGTTTTGGTGGAGCCGCAGCCCTGGCTGCCGCAGCCTTTTCCACAGATTTCCAGGCCAGTGTTTGCTGGGATGGATGGTTATATCCATTAGAACATGACCTCTATCCTCGTATCACCCAGAAAACTCTGATGATTAATGCCCAAAAATGGCAATGGGCGGAGAATGTGAAAAGAATGATGAGATTGCCTGCGGCTGCAGAGAAAATACTTTTTACATTAAAGTAAAACCACTTTTTTCTACTTTTTTTTGCCCTATGCTTTAATCTTTACAATGTTGTCCTTTCAGAGACATTGTCCATCAATCATTCAGTGATTTCTCGTATCTGATGCCTGGATATGTGGGGAGAAAGTTTGCTTTGCAAGGAGATCTGGATCCAATCCAAACTGGAGAGGCCATCATGGAGATTACTGTAACGTATCTGCGGAAGTGCTTCGAGAATATTCCGGCCATCGAACACCTCCGAGAAGTGGCCAAGAGATATTCCCATTTTGTGATTGAGGGAACGGACATCTCGTTGGAAGACGGAGACAATGGAAAAGATCATTCTGCGGATGATATTGTCCCTCCAGAAGTCGATTCGAATGTTAACTAAGTTCAGTCTACAGTATCTTACAATATTCTTTAATCCGATTTAATCAGTCATGCTGACGCATTTCTTCGTACCCTCTACTAAAACACATCTCACTTCACAATCGTGTGCCTTTCTCTTCGCTTTGTGGTACCAGTATTCGAGTATCCTCAGTTGATTTTGTACACTTTCTTGCCTTACTTCGATACCTACTCTCCCATTACGAGTCCGACTTTATTCATCGAACATCTAGTCCAATAAACCAATAAAGTGCGTGTTTAAGGTGACTGTTTTTTGTCATAGTATAAAAATTAAGAGTAGGGAGGGGTTACCGAGACAACCATCGAGTGTAACCGTGCCTGTAACATGCCCGCCCGGCCCCCGTAATTGTAAAAATAAGGGCCCATTTCCTCCATTGACAAGTCTTGGGAAGGTGACGGTGTTTTTGAGGTAACGGTGGGTCTAAAAAGGGTCGCGATATTAGGTTCATATTATCCATGACTCCAGATTACTGTAGAATGTGATGGGCAGCTGTGTAAGTTGCATGCGAGTGATTCTGGAGACCGAACCAGATGTAAAAATAAATGGTAAGTGTAATCTATGTTTTATAAAACTTTAGTCATCGAGCCGACTACTGTAATCCAACCGGAGGCTGTTACAACTCCTGCCACTCCCACAGCACCATCGGCACCCAGATTAACGGTGCCTTCAGCTCATGGGACTAGACTTAAGGCCAACGTGGAACAACCAAGATGATGTTGGATATTGCATCTACTCCCTTTTTTTGACCTCATTTTAATGCCCTTAGGATCCCGCAGAATTTTCTTGTAATTAGAAAACGATTAATGAATCACTAATGTATTTTAATTAAAATTTATTCTCGAAAATCATAATTTTTTTAATAAAACTTATAAACGGGTAACTTTTACACTTTAGATCCATCTGACCGGTTCTATGATTGCTGTAACAACGGTCTTCTCTCTTCCTTGGCCAGTCTATGATACCTTTTTTTCCACGTTCTCCTTGACATAAATAACAACACCATTACGGTGCCCAACAGGATGGTAACCACTATTAAGAGACCTTTAAAAGTGTTGTCAACTCTACAACTACTCACTAGATATGACTCCGTAAAGGACGGTCTGATCATCTCCTACAGTAATATCCTCGCCCAAACAGGCAGATACGAAGTCGATGGTAGATACAGGATCTCCAAGATCCTTGAAAGTCTTGTAGAAACAGGGCTCGGGGCATTGGTCGATCTTTAAATGAACCCTTGAGCCATTCAATTTATTGTGTAAGAACACCTATAATTAGAGTAACCACAATGTGATATATAAGACGAGTATTCCGAAAGAAAACTTACTCTTATGACAGTTTCATTACCCTCCTTGGACAAATCAAAAGCCAGGTAACTTCCAACTGGCTGCAATTTCTCCTTAATCACCGAGATATTCAAGTAAATACCCAATGTCATCATATTGGAGTCATGTCCCGAATAAAGTATGAACTTGTGTTTGGTCCTCTGATTCAATGTATTATCAAACTCACTGATAATTTGATTAAAATGCCATCCTCCGGTCGGTTCTTTCATTAAAGTGATGAATTTCTGATGGAAAATATGATGGAGACCCTCCCAAAAAGAGATCAGAGAAGCATTGGCCCAGGAAGGAAGAGGAAGAAGATCGGGGATGTCAGAACGGGAGACCAGGGCATCCACCACCTTCTGGAGAATGTTCAAGTCTGTAATATTAATACCAGTCAGATTCTGAAGAACAAGAATCTCCGGCTTCAGTGATTCCATGAACTTGACATTTCCTGTGCTGTTCACCAGGTCGTGCAGGAATGATGGACAGTAATCCAAAGCTCCGAAAGACACCTTCAACGTAATTAATTGTAATCAAGAGCATAAAAACTTCGGTGTTTTGGCCCACTCTAATTAGGGTTCGGAAAATTGGAGTATATTCACCACGTGGGTATATACCCGAAATCTCGGGTATATTTGGGTATTTGTAAAATTAGCCTAAATTAGCCCAGTATAGTACGAATATGAAGTCGTTTGCAACTTAATCATTAACTAAATCATGTTTGGAGTGATATTCTTGATCTTCCCAACTACAACAAACAGAACGAGTACTTAAACAATGAAACAATTTAACAAGTCCAATATTTCGCAGTCATATTTAATTCTTTTTCCATTTCATCTTCCGACTCCGGCAACTGGCTAACTAGTTTTCGACCTCAAAACCACGTTTTGAACAAAAAACAAACAAATTATGACTAAATGTCATAATTTGACATTTAGTCACAGCGTTCATTGATTTTTTATGACCAAATTCCACTTTTTTCACATTTTTTAACGCAAAAGTGCTTCGGAAAATTCCACATAAAAACCCGAAAATACCCGGCTTTGGGGGTATTTGGGTATATACCCGGATATATTTATACCCCGTCCGAACCCTAACTCTAATGTCTTGATTTTTTTGCAGACTGTAGGTTGAGAACGAGAAAGTAGGGGTGATGTCTAAAGTGGGAAAAAGACGATATCATTGGTGTTTTATTGAGTTCTAGTCCGATCATCACTTGACGCAAAGTTTCCGTCAACATGAACAAAAAACTTTCATTTCAAAGCCGGGTAGCAGCACGGAAAAATTTTTTGTGGGCGGGCCAAAAACGGAAGTTTCACTCAATCCGCGTCTACCTGATCCAGAATTCCTTGAGTATGGACCGGCACTGGTTGCCATTTCAATTGATTATTCCAAACTTGTTGTGCCCTGGGGGGAAAAAGAGCGGCTAGTACAACCTGAGCACTGGTGATGGTCCTGTTGTCATTCCCTGCCCATACTCTCAGTTGGGATGGTCTGTAGGTATTCCCGAGAAAATCACCGTAGTATTGTTTTAAGTTGAATCCCAGTTCGTATTCCTGATTGAGCCCGGTTTCGGTCAACTCTCCAGGCTCGTATATTTCATTTACCTTTGTGTTTTTTTCGGTTGGAAAACGAATGAAATCAGTCGGAAATCGTTGACCATGGCGTGTAAACTAGATAAAGCAGTAGATAGTAATGAAAACACTTACTACTTGGGAGGCAATTAACTCGCCATTGACATTATGGAGTATAAGAAGCAGGATTATTCGTGACACCATCATTATGTCCTGAATGTGAGAGCGTTTGTTGTTATTCCTGATAAGATTCAGGCGTATGGAATTGATAAGAGAGATATCATAGAAAACATTAGGACTTGAACAAAATTAAACTTATATGTAAAATCACATCTAACGGCACTCTAAACTCATACTGTAAGCATAATTACTGTAACAATCAACGATTATTGACACGAAAACAAGAGAATGGCGTTCCAATCATTTTTTGGCATTATGCACCAAGAAAGAAAAACCCGCGTTCTTAATTGTAAGGTGCGTAGACGGTCATGAATAGCCCTTCAAGTAGCCTTATGAACGTGTTGTCCAAGAAGAGGCCACCAGATGTAGTCCGAAAAGCCGTCGATTTGATTAAGAAAGAGTTTGAGGTAGGATTACTGCGTGTTAAACATAAAAATTAAGGTTTATAGCTTCATGAGTGATCGGGTACCCAAAAATTTCACAGATGACCACTGGAAGAGGTAAGTTACCTGGACCTTGCTATTCTTTTGCGTTACCTTTATTATTTATATTCTTTTGTCTTTCAGGACTCTTTTGCTAAAAACTCCGAAAGAACGGGTAGCATATTGGCAGTTTATAGCATTAAATGAGCGTAAGCGTGAGCTAGACAAAGCCAAAAAGGAAGAAAAAAAGGAAAAGACAATAGCATTTCGAGAAGAAGAGGTATGATCATTTTTTTGAACAATTGTCGTTTAGAGAATAAAATTCGAAAATGGGCTGATGGGTTATGGCAGTGGACTGTATCAGCTTATGTTTCCCCCGGGATGTAAGAAAATGATTTCACTTTACCTGTTATTTAGGTCTTGAGGGAGTTGGAATCGGTAGATTGGCGGCGGTCGAGAGGTTAAAAGATGTGCCTAAAATAGCCTTGGACTTTCAATTAGTGGAAACCGAGAGCCCAAAAAATTTGAGTCAACTGAGACTTCAATTGATGGATCTTCATTCGGCAAGCTCGATTTATTTATTTTTTTATTTTGTTTTGATTTTAGTATCAAAGGTTGCAATCACCCTACCCTTTACCTTTTGAACTCATAAATTACAATCAGAGGTCGGAGAAGATGAGGTCGGCGTTAAAGTGAGTTTCTGATTATTTACGCAATGTTGACCAAAAATCTCTGTTGGTTTAGACTCTTTGGATATATGGACAGAAAAATTCCAGCGCCGCTCAGCCCTCCAGTGGCTCCTTATAACCCATATAAAGGTCGGAGAGATGTGGTTTACATCAGTAAGCATGCTCGTGAAGTCTTGGATGGTCCCTTGTCTTTTGACACCTATATCTTGCCTGTAACTTACGGGATAGATAAAGTCTGTTTGAGTGCGGCTTTGAGGGATAGAATAAAGCCGAAAGCTCTGCCACTCAGGAAGTATATAAGGTACGGTTCTAATTAGGTTTTTAAAAGAGTTACGCTTTTAGATGGTCAGGCCCGATTAATTATCCACTTGTGAATGTGTATAAGGTTCTGGAAATCGTTGCCAGAACTGGTGGCGATTGGGAATTAGCCATCAGGTCGTCCTATTCTAAGAGGTATATGATGACAGATGAAGAAAAACAGAAGCTCAGGCAACTCCCCGCTGCTTCTTTGGCACTGGAACGGCAATTGGAGAATCAAGAGATCGTGAAGATGATCGAACAAGGGGTTCCGGAGAGAATATCCCTGTGAATCATAAACTTTTAGGAGATTTTATTGTTATTTTCAGATTCTTCTGGTCTTCATGTTTTGTTTATTGTTATAAAAGGCTATTAGGACCTGCTGTACTTGTTTATTGGGGTTATTTTCCCCTTTGTACCTTGATTCATTTTCCATTCGCAGTTATATGTTTAGGTATCTTCCCCAAGATGACTGTAACGGACCATTCGAAACGTCGAGTTTCCTATTACTATGATCGTAAGTCTTTGGTTTTAATAATTTTATCTTTTATTCAGTTTTAATTTTTGTGTTTTAGCTAACATTGGAAATTATTATTATGGCCAAGGTCACGTGATGAAGCCTCATCGTATCCGGATGTGTCATCACCTTCTTCTAAATTACGGTCTCTACCGTCATCTTGAGGTTTATCGTCCGTTTCCAGCCAGTTTCGAGGAGATGACCCGCTTCCATACTAACGATTATATGCAATTCCTACAGTCCGCTAACCCTGATAATTTGAGGGCATTCAGCAAGCAGATGCTCAAGTGTAAGATATCCTTTTATATCGTTTTATTTTTGTTTCAGTCAATGTTGGAGAAGATTGTCCCGTTTTCGATGGATTGTATGAATTCTGCCAACTCTCCAGTGGAGGATCACTAGGTAAGAGACGTTCCTTTCCTCACCTACGAATTAATATTTAAACTGTTTATAAGGCTTCTTTATTTTTTAGCTGCTGCGGTAAAATTGAACAAACAAAAGGCTGATATTGCTGTAAACTGGATGGGTGGATTACATCACGCCAAGAAGGCTGAGGCTTCTGGATTCTGCTACACAAACGATATTGTTTTGGGTATTTTGGAACTGCTGAAATATCATCAAAGAGTGTTGTATGTGGACATTGATGTTCATCACGGAGATGGAGTCGAAGAAGCTTTTTATACCACTGATCGTGTTATGACCGTCTCCTTCCATAAGTATGGAGACTTCTTCCCGGGAACTGGAGATATCCATGTACGTTTATATTTTTATAGCAATATTTTTTGTTTAGGACATCGGAGCTGGCAAGGGACGTAACTACTCTGTGAATGTGCCGTTGCGCGATGGAATCAGCGACAATAACTACCAAAGCATCTTCAAGCCAGTGATGACCAAGGTTATGGAGACCTTCAATCCAAACGCCGTAGTCCTCCAATGTGGAGCTGACTCTTTAAACGGCGATCGATTGGGACCATTCAATCTGACCTTGAAGGGCCATGGGGAATGTGTTAAGTTCTTCAGGGATTACAATGTTCCTTTGATGCTGTTAGGTGGAGGTGGATATACTCCAAGAAATGTAGCTAGATGTTGGACGTACGAGACTTCGATTGCTGTGGATATGCAAATCAATGATGGCAAGTGAACGGCTCACATTGTTTTTATTATTAATATTTCTGTTTCAGAATTACCCTATAATGATTATTTCGAATACTTCGGACCTAACTACCGCCTTCATATTGAGCCATCGCAGGCAGCCGATGAGAATGATCAAGTTTACCTTCAGAAAATCCAGGAGGCCGTCTGTGAGAATCTGAGAAAATTGCAGGGACCTTCGAGTGTCCAAATGCATGGTGAGAATAGTATAAGATACGATTGTTTGTCCTTTAGTTTAAATGATTTATCTTTTTTTATTCTAGCGGTGGAAAAAGACATAATGGAGATTGATGAGACCAGGCTGATCGACGCCGCCAATCCAGACGAACGTCTCCCTGATCCGATTGTAGACAAGATGGTGGAAGATGCCGGAGAGTTGTATGATAACGAAAAGGAAGGAGGTGATCTGAGAAACGAACAATCTCACAAAAGGCCACATGAAGAAGGAGATTCCCCTGTCTCCAAGAAACCGCGAGACGAAGGGGGCGAGCCTCCGGCCGAGCCAGCTGAGCCCACGGAAAGCTAAAGAAATCTATGGACATACGATTGAGTCTGAGCATTGGACAATAAACACCGCCCTCCACTTCAATTGAGTAGTCCTCGATCTCCGTTATCTATAATATTTATTTCTTAATCCTCCCTCACTCGCTCCCTTTACTCTCCCCATCAATTTTATACCACTTTCATACAGTCGATTACAAGTTTAAAGCAGTTTGAATACCCACCCTCCCTCCTTTTCCCTCCGGCGTTAAAACCGGATCGTAGTCACTTCCAGTTATTTTATTTCCTCTTCGTATATTGTTTTATCTTTTCTGGAGGAAAATAAAGGTGACAGTAATATCAAGACAAGCGTTTCTTTTGTCGTTGCTTCACAATGGAGCGGAAGATATGGTTCGATGGAGAAAGTGTGGTGGTATCAGAGATGCCGTTCGGACGACAGTTATGTTTATTCCATTTATTTTGGAAGTCCTCGCACCCGCTCGTCCGCTATCGCCCCTTTTCCCCCGAATCCTCTCTCATTAAATGGCAAACATCCGTTACGGCCTGCGGCCGTCTTTCGCCCCCTTTTCAGCCGCAAAATTCCGTTTTGGCGGCTTCGGAAGCCTTCAGAATCCTCTGAATTCCTTCGTGGCTCCACATTAACCCAATTAGAATCGCCCTTCCCTTACGTCCTAAGGGCGTAAGGTTGGTTGGAACAAGCCCGGGAATGTCATCCGAGCGCCGAAAAGGGTCTAAAAGCTTGTTCTACAGCCTTTTTGCATGCCGCCCCTCTCTCTGGCCACTTCCAAGGAGCGCTTTAAACAAACCCTTACGGCCGAAGAGTTATGTCCTTAAGAAGCGTTGCGCTTTGTCCGATAAATTATGCCGGTTAATGCATTATGATTATGGGAATGTGTAATGGGAACAAGTGGGCCTCGTATGTCGGCCTTTTCTGTGCTTAGAACCATCGGCTCTCTTGGAAATTTATGCCGGAGACAAGCCATATAATGTACATATACGTCCGACCAAAATTTCAAAAAACATTTCCGAACTTTGGGGTTGAAATTCGGATTTAAAAAGTATCATTTTTTATATTCGCCTACATTTAAACCGATATTTTTTATTTTACAAACAGAAACTGATCGCGATTGGATTTTTTGTCGCCCTGATTTTATCGCCGGATTTGAAGATGGACAGGGAAAATAATCGGAAAGGAGTGAATGAACCTCCACAACGGGGTAACCGATCCCCAATCGCGAACAAAACGACCTTGAGCTCGACCCGGTGGGAGATGGATAGGTTTGTGCCACAGGGCATCATATTTTAAGTCATCTTCACTGTTTTGTTCTATAAATTGCATAATTCCCTTTAAAAGCAATATTGTTTATGTTAAGAAAGTGCTGTTGTCCATGTCCATCCTCTGTTCTCGCCCAAAAACAAAACGTCCGGCCATCAAGAGCAAGGTGTTGGACGAGAAAGTGGCGGATTTGACCGGATGAAAGCACGTTAATCCGGTCCAAACAACGAATTTCCCCCGAGGCAAAATGAAAATCTCGGCCGGCCTCCCTCTCGTTTTTTGTGCCCGGTTCCAATTTCTTCTTGTGATTTATGACCAGAAAAGGTCCCGAAGATTAGCGACAGAACTCCTTGGGGGTCGGGACTGATTGCCTCGTCTTTATGTTACACATGTGCTTGTACATTCGCCATCATACTCCCATATCATACGATGAGAAACGGCGCGTTATCATCTCAAAAACCGTCCCTTTTAACATTTGTTTATTATAGGAAGTGGACGGCGGTTATGTGAACCATAAAGCTGGGGACGGCCTCGTTTATCATGGTAATAATTGTTTTGAGGATGACTGATCGCCCTATTTCAGTGTTCCATAGGTCGGGAGATAGTGTATCTGTTGGTATGGATGGTGATTTTGGTGATCGGAGGGAAGCCCCATTCCCATCCAATGCAAGAACATGTAAGTCTTTGAATTCAAATAATTATTTTAAATCCTCGTATTTCAGGATCCAAATGCAGAGTTTATTTGCAAAGGGAGGCTGGGTGAGATCGCGGCCTGTATTTGCAACGAGACGGCCGAAGAAGTGGCCTGTGTGAATGCCCAATTCGTGGACATTCATGTGTTCGAATACATCAATTCTCCGTATCCGAGTGTCAAGAGGGTCACGTTCCATGGCAATAACTTCCAGGATCTCCCGGACTCTCCACTCTTCGGATCTTACATCCATGATGATCTCAGAGTGCTTAATATATCCGCAAATTACATAGTAAATCTGAATTCAAATGCCCTGAAAGGGGCTCCCAATATCCGAATTCTTGATTTGAGCAACAATGAGATCGTTTTGAAGAAGGAAAACGTTCTTTTCCTTACTCATACACCTAAATTGACACATGTAAGTGAGCATTAATAAGGGATGTAATTGTTTTAGCTTCACCTTCGCCGTGCCTTTACTGCCTCCGTTAATCGAACGATTCAATTCGCCTTAATGATGGAAATGTTTGAAAAGGCCAATCTAAAGAACTTAAAGGTACATCTTTGTAAATTGAGTTTCTTGTTTTGAAATAACTTAATTGCTTATTCTGTCTGAACTAAATAGTGATAGTTTAGTTCCTGGACCTGAGCTACAACTATCTAACATCAGTTCCATACAACCTGGCCTGCCCTTTTCCTTCGCTGACCTTCCTCGACTTCAAACAGAACCTTCTTAAAACTCTGGAAATGAATGTGACTTGTCTGTCCAAGGTGGATAACATCGATCTTTCGAGGAATCATTTCCGAAGTCTGGATGAGGGATTCCGAAGAAACTTTGCCAATTATTTGCCCCCTCAATCGCTGATGCTCAGGAATTTCTTCGACTGTAATTGTAAAAGTATCGATTATCTGATATGGCTTCGATCGACGCATACGGTAGGTGTTGTATATGTAATAATAGTCCTTCCGGAAAGTCGCCGGACTGATTTTTTTGGCGTTTGCATTGTGCGAAAAAGTCAGGGTGCAAGCGACGGCCCAAAAAAGCCTATTGAACGGTGCAAAAAGCCAGAAATTGCACAATGCAAAGTGAACTTTCGTTTTCCCACAGTGCGTGTTGCCGATTTCAGTCCGGCGACTTTCCGGGCGGACTAGTATTATGCACCTTTTTAAAAATAAAACCGATAGTTTTAATATTTTATATCCGCTTAATGTTCAGGTTCGAGAGAAAAATCAATTGACTTGTCAACGGGCCTCTCCCCCCAACTTTGTGGGGGCCAAACTGGTGGAGGTACCCTTGAATAAATTGGACTGTGAGCACGAGATCAACGAGACCAACCTCGGCCTTCAGATCAGCACCATCTTCGGGCTGATCGCTGCTGTTCATCTACTTTTATATTGATATTTTCTACCTTTGCCGTCTCTAAACGGGTCCCCAGTGCGACCTGGGCTTTTTTTATTTGGTTGTGATGTTAATATAAGTTTTTACCTGCCTGCTTGTATATTTTTAATAAAACTTAAATCCATTGGAAGACATGATGACCAAAAAATGATGATTTACAGCATGCCGAAGGATGTCTTTGAATACAATATTTACCGAGTACACAAAAAACAGCGTACTCAGGTCGTGGCCTCTCAATTAGTTGATAAAAACTGCTGATAAGAGAGTATGGCACACTTCCTTTTGAACAAATAATATTAAATACGGTCAATCTCTCTCCACCGAGTCCGTCGCCCTCTCGGTGTGTCTTAAATCCCTTGTCCTTTACCCTCCAACGTCTACCGGAACCCGATTGTTTGCCGAGGACCGGGGATATTTGCATATCTTGACCTCTTTTGGATGTTGGAACAAAAGTAATGGGCCTGGGAAAGATCTGATTCGGATCGGAACTAGTGACATGCCGGGGAAATCTTATACTTGTCATCTCTCAGCTCAACTCGGTCTTCAAAACAAGTCGTGTCCGAGGATGTTAATCCAGCCAGCCCAACTTTTTGGGTTCCAATTATCTGATTTGAAGTAATCAGAGATCAGAACTATTCACCATTTTCGATTTATGTCTCCGCTTTCAAACAGCAGTCAGTTACTTAGAATTTAAATTTTACTTTGGAATCCGTTGCGCAATCGGTGGCAACTCCCTTTCCGAATCCCGGCCGCCTCACTCAAAGCCCCAATTGCCATGTCTTTGATTGCGCAATGGGATTATCCGTCAGTGGACTAAGCCCCTTCCCTCTGAAGTGTCCCCAGATCAGGCTCTTTAGTTTCTTTGGCCGTTTCCCATTACTTCCAAATGCCTAATTACTGTACTACTAGAGCCATTACTTTCCCAGGTCTTTCCTTTTTTGTTTCATAAGTTTATGACTTTTGAAAGTAATTTTTACGAAAAGGAAAGACTTAGGGCGCGGAAAGACCTGGATTATGATAATTAAGGTCCAGCCTGAGATTCTCCCACAGGGCCCATTCTTGGCCAGGTGAGATTTGCACCTGAGCAATCGTGGGAATGCGGCTTCTGAATTATAAACAGTAGACTACAAGGAGTATATAAGGCGTTGTAAGGGGATGGTCATTTCATGTTTATTCGTTTAAATATTTACGGAACTGGTAAAGAGTGAGTGATTTCCTTATAAAGTGAGATGCGGCCATCCAAATTGGCCCAGTTATTTAATGAGGGGGCCGAAAGGTCAGTAGGCAAATATTAGTGGATCGACGGCGGTGTCCCTCAAAAGCGCGGTATAATATAAATATAATGGCGATAATGCCCCCCTTCCTTCGGTCGCCACTCACGTGTGAAATCGTGAGCCTCGATTTACCGCCATTCCATTGTTTCAGTTGTGATATCATGGGAACAATTAGAATTATACTTGAAGGCCCCCACCTAGTTCCAACTGTCCTCCGCCCACTATATTATATTAGAACAGGCATCAAGGGACGCGGTTGCTCGCAATTACTACTTATTATACCATTACTGGTAGTAAACAAATTGGGGCGCCGCAATTGCCGCGTCTCAATGATCGATGTTTATTGGGTTTGGTTAACAACTTTATCGCGCGATGTCTTTTCCCAAGCTCTCGGCCATCCCCATTCCAATGCACAATTTGCATAAACATTCGATTCCTATTTTAGTCATCGGCTTGTCGTCTGACTGTATGCAAATTACTGTTTATGAATACTTTAATTGCAATCTTTTATGGGTATTATTTTGAATAGAAATCCATCTTTATCTCCAACCAAAATTGCTACTCTTGGTTATACATACATTATGAGATGCCTGCAAGAATCAATCTCAATGATAAAAATGTAAATGCAAGTGTAACCCACGTATCAAAAAAATAGTATTTTTTCCAAAAGTAACGCTTATCTTCTTCTAAATTTATATTTGTTCGAAATTGCATTTTTTTGTAATTTACACTTAAATTTACATTTTCAGTCTCTGTATTCAAGTCACTTTTTTTGCTTATTTTCTTAACTTTTAGGACAGTGTTCATCTTTATTAATATTTCTTGCCAAAATCAGAAAACAGTATTCACCTTTTTTGGGGTAGGCTTCAAATAAGGGGAGTGTTCGGCTGAGACGCTATTTTTACTTGGAATCACCGATTGGTATTTGAACAGATGTTATTTCCACAAATATATTAATTCAATAAGTTCGTCAAGTAGCCTTAGGTAATTATACTTTGTTGTGAAGAGGTAATATTATCCCCACTGACCCTCAAATCTCCTAAATGTCTTCTTCGTATTTCCACTTGAATGAGATTTTCGTTCTATTCAAATTCCGATCGACCAGTCCTTTTTTCCAACGTCCCAACCTCACCCTCCAAAGTGCCGCAAATCAGATTTCCGTCTTCTGAAAACACTTCGAGGTCAACTTTCGAGACACTCGACGGAATATTTGTCCTCGGCCTGCTCTCTCCGAGCAGGTAGTAGTATTCAAATAAGGGCCATTGATGGGGCCATTTCGTGCTAATTGTGGCCTTAAAGAGAGACCGGCAACAATTGCATTTCTGATGAGTTTCGGGCTTCTCCCATCCGATCCCTGACTCACTTAGAGATGAATATAACTTCTTTTCATGGTTAGCCTGAGGGTAATAAGCAGGGGGGTTTTCTTGGAGGCATATTTATAATATTATCTTAATGCTAATAAGTGGGGTCATCAGCGTGGTCTTTGTGTCCCGGCATGGTTATTGTTCTCCCGCCCCTCTGACTGAGGAACTGTTGGAATGATTCAATTCCCCCTTCCCCTTCCCAGCCCTTTCCCTTTTCCGGTACTCTGGCCTCTGGCGTTATTCTGATCCCCAGGTAAAACACCTGTCCCAGCAGGGTGTATAAGAAACCCTCCGGCATTCTTTTATTGTCTTTTCACGCTCCAGAAGACGTATTCTCTGGATTCGGCGGGATTAGCGAGGCGGACCCAATTAGCTGGGCCAAAAAACTTTTTATTCATTACTTTTGCAGGATGTGGGAACGTGTGGTTATGATCGTATTGATGGTGGGTATGGTTGCGGGATCCATCATGAGTCGGGAAAACGATCGACGAAGGCCACTGGCAGCGAACATTGGCCAGAAACCGAACCCAGGTAAGTCATCGTCAAGGAAAGAATTGCGCTTTTAAGCATACAAAAACATTTAAAAAGTATGTCATGACCATCCCGACTATAGTAAAGATCTTTTCATCTGTCATTTCCCACGATTTTCACGAAAACTTCATTGAATTCTTACAAATGATTCATCTCCCAGCTCGGGACCTACCATAACATTCTCGAATTGTATATTCCCAAGTCGTTGCTAATTACTTGTTTCAGAGCAACTCGCCTTCTTCTCGCATACAGTTTGTGTCCAGAAATGTATGCTGAATTGTCAGCCGATCATGGCCGAGAATCAGAATACTTTTTATCTGTGTCCGAAGATAAAACCTCCTGAGGTCTCGCTCTCGGAACGCTTCATGGCCAAGGCCTCGTGGCCATGGATGTTATTCTTGGGTCTTATTGGGATGATGATCTTGTTATGCGTGCTCTGTTCCTGCTGGTCGTGTTGTTGTAAAGGGAAGCACCGCTCAGAACACAGTTCCCGGGATCCCTTGGCCGAGAACAGAACGTAGGTCCTCTCATCCCCCTTAACGAACTCTAAATTAGACATTTACGAGACGAAATTGTGGCCGAGAATTGTGTCCAAGGATATCCATACATCAGTCGAGGCCAACGAATCTCCGGCTCCAAATACGTGGTAGATGTGTGAACTCAGGGAGGAGTAAGCGGCTTTACTCTGCTACATTTCAATAGATTTTCTGCTGTTACGGGTCCCTTTTCTTCTCGATTTCAATCTGTCTTTAATTACTCGTTCTTCTAATTCCTTTTATTTTGTACTTCAACATAACCTCATGAATATATCTACATTTATTTTCGGAATGAATAAAATATGACTACTTAATTAAGAGGGAGTCCGCTTGATTAAATAAGGACCTCGACCTTGGAAGCAATTACTTCAGATTGTCGTATCACAAATGCATGCTCGGCCCCGGTGTCATCAATGATGACGCGATCTTGGCCTATGATCTTCGACATTTCTTGAGCAAATTTGAGAGGAACCCAAGGATCGAAAAGGCCATAATAGAGATGGACATTTCCCTTGGATAACTCGGCTTCCACCTTAGGATTTAAGTCATTTACATTGTCCAATTCGTCGTTAGCCATGTATCCAACATTCGTGATGACAAGACCATCAACAAGTTCTGCAGATGCTTGAATAACTTCCTCTGGAGCTCCTTTAACCCAAGGACGGACTAGAAGACGTTTAAGTTCTATTGGAAACCATTTGAAGATCCAAGCAGCAAAGCGAACAAACTTTGGATGATCGGCGACAAACTGACAGAAGGCTGATGTCATGTACAAGGTAACTCACCCTCACCAGAGACCCAACTTTATGCCCAGCGGGTGTATTGGCCATATCAACCAAGGTAGGAAAGAGACCGATCAGATTAACAGAGTAGCCATCTCGTTCCAACCGTCCTTTTAATCTACACCTACAGTAATATTTTTTATATTTCACTTACACCGTGCCAATATATGAGCCAATTGAATGCCCAATAATGGTCACCTTCTTATCCGACATTTGTTCAGCAACAATTTGACTGAAGAAGTCATAAGCATGATCAATCTGTTGGTTCAGGCCATAGCGTTCTAAACCCCGTTGTTAGAAATGAAACCCAAATCAAAAAAATACCTTTTACTTGGAAAGGATCCAATCTTCTAAGACCAGGGGGGAGGGGAACGTGATTAAGGTGGGCGATGGAGAATATTCTGGAGACCTTCTCTGATTTCTCGAGAAGGAGTTCACAGAATCGAGTGTAGAAGAGATCATTACCGGGATTCCCTGCAATTGCAGAACGTTTTACTCAGAAAAGTCTCCTACCAGGTATAACAAAGACAACATCGCCCCCCTGATTCTCCAATCTCTCAGTCACCGAATATCTCGTCCACCGGCCTGTGACCTTAGCCCATTCACAGATGGTCCGAACACTCATTCCGCAACTGAAAACAATGTTTTACTTTGTTCTAGTCCCGTCCCACCGATTTCGGAGGCCTTTGCTCTCTCTTTATCAAACAAAAACAAGTACAAACAAGGTTCGACAGTATTTATATGACCCATACATAGCTCATAATAATTAGAGGATTGAAGAATAGGTTTATCGATGAGAAAATAAATTATTTAAAGGAAGTGGTGTCTATCATGGAGGCCAGGGATTGTACAATATTGTCGGCGAGCATGTTGTTCACAGTGTCACCAAGATGTCTCTTCGGATCCCTCTTTCCGACATTCTTGATGGCCAATTGCTCTTCTGTCATCTTTTCCTCATCTTCCAAGGCCTGCAAATAAAAACATCTCAATCATTCATTTAGAAAAGAACCAAAACGTCATGACTACCCATAATAAAATTTTGGTTTTCATTAAGTCACCTTTTTAGGCATACCAACAATAAAGGGAGAAAATTAAGATTAGTAATATTCCCCCCGAGCTATGAGAAGTCATTTAAAAAGACAGAGGTAATGAGAAACTTACCTTTTTGTACAGCTTGGCCAACTTGAGCATTTCCTCGACGGAGTTTTCGTTGTTCTTACAATGATGTTCAAAGTTCTTAAGGGCCAGAGAATCGTTCCAACTTTGCTTGTTCAAGTTAAGAAGCATCTTCTGTTCGAGTTGATGTGTTCTGTAGGCAATTGGGATAGAGTAATAATGCCGGTTTAATCCATGGATCAAAGCCTGAATGGAAGGCTTCTGAAGATGTCCAATGTTGGACGTGGTCTGTCGAGGTTCTTGGTTAAGGGCAATCGTCTGAGGATTGATGGTTCTGAAGGCGTCAATGACGACCTTTCCCTTTACAGATTGGATTGGATCGACCACAACAGCAACAGCTCGGTCTGAAAGAGCTTCAAAACTCTGTTGTGTGTTGATATCAACTCCAGACAACCAACAGCCAAACCCAGGATGAGAGTGATACCATCCCACCACCATCTCGGGTCTTCCCGTCTGTTTCAGCATATCCAACATATTAGCTTGGAAGACAGGGTCCACGGCTTCAACAGAAACACCCTAAAAACAAAAAATAAACAACCAGAGCCACATAATAGCCTGACTACACTTAACGACGGCTTACCGTTCCAGATTGAGGCATAGCAAAGACATCGATTACATTCACCGTGTACTCATCCACAAATTCCCCCAACATCAGACCCATGACCTCCATGGGAACACCGGCACGTCCATGCTTTAACATCTTCAGGAGAGCCAGAGACGAAATGTAGACAGTTTCGGAAGTATCCACCTGATTAGAGTCTGATGGAGTAGCTCCGCCACCCATCAAATTACCTCCCAGACCTCCCAAACGAACAAATCTCTCCATTATATCCTGAAAAAAGTAAATTTAGAAACTATATTACGTATTCTCAAAGATAAAGTAAAACGATCGCCATTGTATCTTTACAATTTTTTATTTTCCGAAATAATTTTGCTTACAAAGAAAAAGACGTTGTTTGTTTTCGTGGTGGGACCCATTTCAGATGGAGATATTCTTATTTTCAAAATCATTTTTTAATGACCATTAGAAGTATACGCAGTGGTTGTTTCAGTAGCTGGTGCGTACGATATGGGATTTCCTACCGAAGAAGTGATTTGCCGTCGAGATTTGGCAGATTCCGGGATCAACACAATCGTCATCGCGGGGGTCGTGGTCGTTTTGTCATCGTTGATTCTGCTCGTTGTTAACATCCTGTTGTATATGTTCACTAAGAAGAAGGTACGACAAATTGTCAATTCTAACAGACTTTAGATTGCGGCTCAATCAGCGAATGTTGTTGAGCAGATCCATATGATTATGGATTCTGTGATGGTTTGTATGCTCCCAAGATCTTTAATGGGCAAACTTCGTGGAGAGAAAGAAGGAGAGAAACAATCCACCGGCAACGATAAGAAGAACAACAATAAGCCCTCGAAAAAGAAAATTTAATGTACATTTAGTTTATTTTACCGAATAAATATTTACACGTCATCGGATTGGAGGTATCCTATCTTTCTGAGACTTGGTATTGAGAGGATAGGGACCGGAATGGGCAGGAAGAGGGGAACCGGGGTAAGGAAGGGAGTCAAATCCTGAAAATATGAAGATGTATTCAAAAGACCATTTTTGCAGACGTGGCTGCCGGGCCGGACCTTGGGCATCTTGAGGCCCGGCCCCGTAGCCATGTCTGCAGTTTTGGCCCATTACGTCAGCCCATAGTGGACCGCGGAAATCTCACAGCTATTCTGACACTTTGGCTAGCCGATCCATGAAAAAAACTGGCTGTCATTTCAACTCATTGGCTAGCTGGTCAAACAATTTTGCAACTGGGATACATATTGGGCCAATACCCAATCTGCCCCATGTTGCGCACCACAGACGCAGTAAACCAAAAGATTGTGGTTTAAGTCGCCGGATGATTGACATACAAATCACGATAATTATTTTTACATTTTGTTTACTTACCGGGTACAGGGGAACTCATTAACTTTCGTTCTAATATTGGACTCCTCGATCGGACGGTGCTTATGCATTCATCCAAATGGGATGTCAAGAGATCACAAACAGCCAGGGAGTCGGACAACATCTTCTCGTAGACCTCTGGCTGGAAAAGGCAATCCTTTCGTTGTCTTTGTTCCATCCTCTTCTCCGTATTGCGTAAAACTGCGTGTTTGGGAGTTGATCTGCAAGAAAATTACGGTAACTACTTTCACCCTTTATTACCTTGCCACCATTGGTTGATTATCTCCAATCGCCAGTAAGGCCTCTGTTAGGTAATCTGGGTCTAATTCGTTGATACAATCAGCTGAGAAGGCCTTCCCTTTGGCCAAGGGATCCTTTTTCTTCTTCTTCTTGTCTTTGACTAGTGTCTGGGATTGGGATGTCTTCATACCATCTATGAGATCAATGTTGTTTTTCTTTGTTTTCTGTTTCCTTGGCCCCGAAGGCGGTTTCTGGCCGTCTTTCTTCTCAATTTCACTCAAATTAATGGTGGATTGAGGGGCAATGGGCGTCGCTGACTGTCTTTTCCGTCGATGGAAGACGGAGAATAACGAGGAATGATGAGGTTTGTTCGGATGAAGGCCATTCGATGTCATCTGGAGTCATTTTATTCATAACAAAAAAAAATAAATTGCGCGAAGAATAAGTAAACTGGAATATTTACGAGTCGGGAAATGTTACTCGGGGATTACTTGACTGGGAATGCATTGACCATGCGAGAATGAAACGCATTACATTTTACATGATTCAGCGACAACCGAGCTAACAAAAGACACTTTTACCAGACATCGTTCATGTATAATATGAGGCGGATTCGAGGGAAATCCGAGTGAAGAAATACGGTAGATCTATTGGCCATACAGGCACCGTTTAATTTTTGCGCCAAAAATTGTAATTGGAAAAGAATTTCAGAAAGATCTCGTTAACGCCTTCGGAAAGTCCTCCCCGAAACTGTGAGACGGAGACCTTCAGAGGTATAAAACACCGGCTGAGTCATGACCGGAACGTCAATATTACTAAAGAGAATACTAACAATGCAATGTACGGTCATCTTTTATAAAACATATGTTATACGAGTGAAATGAATCCCATTCTTGTCTTCTCTTCTGAAAACATCTTCGAATTTCAGAAAAGGTAATTTGAGACACCGGGAGGGTGACGATGATATTATTAAGACAAACGAAAAGAACGGGAAAAAAGAGAAAAAATATGACAAACGAAGTGGAAAATAAACGGTCCGAATACTAACAATAAGCACTGTTAATAAATTCACAATTATTTTATTACAACTCGAGCCGAATGTACTCGGATGTAAGTTAATGCCAACTTTTATGTTTGCTTCGAAACATTGAAAACGATGTAAAAGTGGGTGATTGAGGTGTCGTAAAGCGTGCCAAACGATGGGTACCCAGATTACAGAACATCCCAACCGACGCCGGATTAAGTCCATTCTTTTGACAAACGGCAGATGGGCGAGGGAAATGAGGCGGCGCCAAATGGGGACCCGTTTACGATCCTTCGGAAGACCGCGGCACGCTACCGCCAAGGTCGCCAACATGTTCAACTGTCAGAATCTCCGTCATTGTTTACTCTTCGAATTTAGCTTTGGCCCACCTTTTGATGGGCGGAATCATAAAAAATGCTCGAAAATTGGAAAGAATTAGAACAAACATGTGGTTATAAAGGAATCTTATTTATCTTTAGCCCCGGCTATAGTCGTATACAGGTGGAAAATCAGAAAACAATGCAGGGTGTTCGTAAACATAAAAAGAGAAAACGATTTACGCAATAGAACATATATATAATAATAAGGAATGTCGTCGTTACATAACCCCGTAACATCGCGACAAGAGCAATAAAAAAGGGAACTTTCCCCCAACTGTCCCTAATTATGATCCTGAGGCCGTTTTATGCATCTTGCATGAGAGAAAGCATGGTCAGGAAGTTGATAAAGGCCATTAAAAAGTCATAGGGATAATTTAATGACAACTTTTGTTTCGCAATTTCAGGAGCAAAGTATACCGGTTTCCCAGTGTAGGAAGTAAATAGCTACAGTTTCAGTAACTCAGTAATCCCAGCTCAGCCGGCGATCCCGCCAAATCCCCATAAAATTGCGGCTCTTTTTTATGACAGTCCATTTTTGGGTCCGCCGAGAGTCATTCAAGAGAACCCCGTCATTTCTGGCACCCTGATGACAACAACAAGACAATAGGTGGGAAGAAATCGGATCCGGACGGATCTTCTTCAGATGGCCTTTCAGGTCCGGTTTGGGCGCCCTTGAGATCGCGAGCAGCTTTCTGAGATTTCTATTTATCTTCAGCCTTTAATTGTCGATACCGTACTTCCGGAAATTTTACTTAAAGAAATTAGTTTTTGAGGAGAAAGCGGCTTCTGGATTCAAAAGTTTTTAAGTTTTAATTTGCAAAAAAACGATGATTAATCCAAACTTGCGTACCCTGAAAGAAATGCTTAACAAAAAAGATGTCATCTCATGGCCCTTGGATGACTGATGGCTCAGAAGTAATTAGGGATCTCAGGGACGTTGTTTATCAACAAACGTGTGACTTTCCCGACTGTAGCGGCATGCCCTCGGGCTCTTTACGGAGGACAGTTGTCTTTTGAAGTCGAAAAACGCTCTAATTGTTGGGCCAAAACCAAAACACAGCTGGACGAGACTGACCGCCCAAACACCCGAAACGACCTCAAATCCGAAAAGTTTAGGACCAAATATCCGGAAAATTAGTGGAAGAGGCCACGGACCGCCTGCTTGGCCACAATCTCGGCAGTTCACGCGAAGCCCGCCGGGTCTAGAAAAAGCCGGGACCTCGATTATAGCCGAGAAGCATGATTAATGTCTGAATGGGGAGCCCGGTTCAACGCGGAATTCAATTCGAAGCGCGGCCACTGCAAACAAACCATCGGACTTTTAATCTCGAGATTAAACCATGTTCATCCCCTGGGGCAATTAGGACAAAGCTCTTTGTCCAAAATGACGAAACAGGTGCGTGATGGATTTGATTGATCTGAAGAGCCGAGAGGTGTAAACTAATGTTGTTCGAGAAGAGTAATGAACAGCAAGAACAAAATAAAGTGAGGAGAATACGTTTGGTCCCATCAGATAAATTAATTTGCCCCAATCACAGCGGAAGGGCCACCAAACAGACCCTTGTAATCACATCAACTGTTATGACAGACAAACGTCCATATCCAGAAGCATTTCCTTTTCCCCGGAGGCGCGTCCATATCCGCAGATCCAATCTCATTCTGTCAAACGCGCATCCAAACACAAAAAGGGCGTGAAATTGGAGGGCAAAAGCGTTTAGAAAACAACACAAAAGGAGGGGAAATACGATGGGAAGGATACCGAAATGAATGGTCAGATACGGAAAGTGACCTTTAGCTAAAAGAATTACTATAGTAATATTGCTATTATCTTTAACATTCTTCAAAAAAAAGCTGATCATAGACGGCAATCAATATTTATATTTGGGTGAGTCACAATATAATAAACATAAATGGGTAAGTTAAAGTCCGTTCTCTTCTTCTTCTCTCTTGGCTGCCAATACTGATGGGAGTTGTGACTTGAGAGTATTGGGACTGTCCAAAGGCAACTTCTGATCGAGAATTGTATCCCTGACTCTGAAGATGGACATTCGTTGAGGAGTTTTAGCGGTTTGTTTGAGGAGTTGATCTTTGCTAGGGATGGGAGAAAAGGTGGCCGACATGAGATCAGTGTTCCCCCTTCTGCTTGGAGTGTTTCCAGAGTGAGATTCCCGTAAGAACTGATGATGGACAAACCTCTCCACCTCTGTTTTTGATGACTCCAAGTACTTCTCCAATTGGTCACAATTGGTTTGGATATATTCGTCCTGAAAAACAAACCTAATACTTTCAATCACTAATTAAAGCATGAACTAGAAAAAATCCTGACCTCTTTCTCAGCCAACGTAAAGACTTCTTCTGACCCTTCTTCCAACCTAATCTCGCTTTCCTTGGCCAAAGAGACCACCTCCTCGCACTGTGCGTTGATGGTTTCCTCCGCCGTTTTCACTTCATTTCTGACTTTACCAGTTTTCTCAATCAAATTCTTCTTCATCTCATCTAGTCGTTGACTTGAAGCAGTATTCGTTGCGTTGGAAACCTGAGACAGGCATTACAAATACAGTACGATCTCAAACACTTACGGCATTCATTTCCTCGGACTCTGTTTTTATCTTTTTGATCGGAAGAACCACGTCTCGGATAATGGAAGTGGCTTCAGTGATGTTAAGAAGTGGTTTCTTCATGTTCTCAAATGCTTCGTCATAGCATCTCTTGTTGGATTTGTTCTGTTCAATCAACTTCGTGGTCATCTCCAGCACATTGCACAGAAGATCGTCGGTATTTCTGCACTTCTCATCACTCATTTTTGTAAGATTGATAATCTAAAATCTGTTTCAATTATTCTACAACAATACTTATCAGTGATTCGTTTAAACACTGACCTCTACCTCCATTCTGTCCTTATAAACATTGAAAAGAGTGAAGAATTCCTCAATCTTCTTCAGGATTCCTTCAAGTTGGTTGGACTTGTCGGTAAAATGTTGGGAGATGTCTTTCTAAAAATAAATTGCTTTAAAAAGGGAAATATCCCAATTTCAACGCTCAAATAAAAGGCAGACATTCAGATAAGAAAACGATGCCTAGTTTCATCAAAATCTCAATGCCGCACTTGGGGCACTTCAACTGTAAGTGCACCCTAAAGGCGAAATCTTACAAAGAAAGACAGCAGAAGCTCCTTGACTTTGCTGAACGAGTCCTCCAACTGAATATCATGACCATCAAGGACTGATTTGATGGACTCGGACATTGATTTGACCTGCTTAATCACATTGGCAGCAGATTCCTCATTTGTTTCCAACTTCCGAGTGATGTCATCTTTTAAACCAAACACTAGAATACGACATTAAAAATAACACCGATACAATGTCAACCTTACATTTCGTTTCAAGTTCAGAGACCGTCACCTTGCTCTTTTCTCTGACGTTTTCGACGACTTCTGTCTTCGTTTTGTTACTCTTGTTTATGAAGTCCGCAGAGAATTCTCCCATTAGATGGTCGTTTTTCTCGTTCATGTCCCTGAATTGTTCAATCTTGTTCTGCGCTTGATTTAATTCTTCGTAAAACGTCAAAGCCGTCTCATGATGCTGAAAAAATATTTTAAGACACGGAAACAATGTACAAGGTGTACCAATTTTGTGGCCCTATTTTAATTGGCTATAACTTCTTTAATCTTGGGCCAAATTTAACGACCGAAAATACGACCAAAAAATGAAACCAAATATAACAGCCCATAACTATATGTTCGACTTACCTTTGTATATCATATTTGGTATTAAGCAAAATGAGGACGTCTGAGGATTTTGGGAAAAAAGAATTAAAAAATTTGGCCCAAAATTAAAGAAGTTATAGCGAATTAAAATCGGGCCATAAAATTGGTACACCCTGTATAAAGCGGGAGACCTGATCTAGTCGACAAAAATGTGCAATTTTGTTTCCAGGAGGTAGTAAAAATCCCGAAAAACACCTCCCTTTTCTGACCAAAAAAACTGCTTCGAATTCCCGCTCCCTTTCATCGTGAAAAAGTACATTTTTGATGGCTGTATCATATCCCCACTGCAAAATAAATATTCTTACTTTCTTCTCCCGAGCTCTCAGTTTATCGGCAACACCTTCGAAGATCTGCAGAGCGTCAACGGCGGAGTTATAGCTGTTAGACATATCGCTCAGCTCTTTTTTTAGCTTTTCGTTTTCCCTGACTCTTCTTTCGTATCTTGCCGTTCGTGCCTTAAGGTCTTGGTATGCTCTTTGATACTGTTCATCCATGAAGGACAAATCTTCTGTCATCTACAAAATAATTATAATGACTTTAAACATTAATTACATTCATCAACTTTGTCAATTTTTCCGCCAGTTCAGCTTCAAGATTCTCCAGTTTTTCACGGCTCTCGGCATTCTCATTTTGCATTTGCCTAAAAAAATGCGTGCATTTAAAATAAATGTCTCAGCCTACTCATAATTCTCTTTATCGACGTAAAATCCTTGTCCACATCTAGCTGACGCCAAATCCTTCTGCAATCTCGCAATTTCCTCATCGTAAGCCAGCAAAATCCGCTTCCTGGAGACACATTTGTTGGCTTCGGGATTATTTCTGATGTTCTTGGCTCTCTGCCCATATTCCAAAGTAGAAACAGACTCTTCCAAATTTGTCGAAGCTGGGCTGAGAGTCGCAATAATAGTGGTAATCGTCTTTCCCCCCAAAGAATCCTGTAGGATACGGGTCAGCTTTGACTCTCTATATGGGATATGGGCTGCATTCGAGGTGAGAGCGTTGATTACTCGCCCCAGAGCGAGCAAAGAAGTGTTGATGTTCCCTGCTTCGCGGGCTCTCTGATCGACAGCCCCGGATCTTCCAACATTTTCCGATCCAGCCAAGTCAACCAAATGAATCTTCCCAACCCGAAGTAATTCCTCATCATCAATTGTTTGTCTGGTGGTAACCGTAAGAGTGAACACCGAATGAGATCGACTAAAAGAAATAAAAAACGAAATGGGCCCTCACCTTGAACTTATATTCATCAAGGTAGCAGCAGTCTTTCTTTTCTCAGCTCCTCTCTTCAAAATCTCGTAAACCTCGGTTCTACTTCTCACGGGAGTGTCTTCCATGCCCGAAATCACGATTCCCTTTAAAGCAAACTAACATAATCAAAAAAAACTTACGTTCTCCTTATTATCATACACTCTCAGGGGCTGATTGTTGACGCTCAGCAGGTCAAACAATTGCTCGTTGTACAACTCAACGTACGACGCCCGAACACTATAATCTTCGGGTTTCTAAACACATGAACATCAATTAAAGTTAACTTACTTCGGTCTCAAGTGTTGTAAAAATATGATGTAGCGCACGAGGAATTATTCCTGCCTTCGGATCGTCTTCCCATGAGAATTCTCCATTGTCGTCGTGATGTCCTTCCATTGTGTATGTTTTCCCAGATCCTGTTTGGCCGTAGCTGAACAGACATTTTATGTTCAATCAATCTAGTAACTCACGCGAAAACAGTGCAGTTGTAACCATTCAAAACCTGTGAAATTAACGGAGCTACAACTTCTTTGTATACCACAATCTGAGAGGCATCTTCGTCGTATGCTCGGTCGAATGGGCCAAACTGCCTCATATTAAGTTTGTCTCGCAAGTAAACAACTTTCGTGTCACGGTCAATCGAAGCTACACTCCGTCCCTTCTCCATGATCTCCTTCCCATTCAACGGTCTAAACAAATTATAAAAAAAAAAATCCCTTACCTTATTCTTACAACCACTTGTACATTCTTCTTTCTTTGTGTCTGCTTCGACATCTTGAAATGTAGGTAACAAACCGATGAAAAACTCCAACCGGCCCGTTTTTTAACCAAAGTAAATGAAAAAAGCCGCAAACGCGAGAAATTCTGAATCGAAATCGTTTTTTCGCGGACTTTTTGAAGAATAGAAATTTCTTGGCATTATGTTTTAAACAAAAACCCGACATTTCTTTTCTTACATCTTCATGCGCGCGAATGAAGATGTAAGAGAAGATTAATTCATGGGTAACCTTCTCCGTTATTGCTGTTTCCATAAACTAGATTTTTATGTTTCTTATTATTCTTTAATCTGTTATTTATTGATTTTGTTCAGATATGGCGGACCCAAAGTCTCAGACTGATGTTCCAGATTCCATTTTGTACAATGAAATTGCTATCAGAAACAATTTCCAAGTTCTGGAGTACTCAAGGACGTGCCATGCAGCTCTCGCTGGAATTGCTGCTGGGATTCTTGGACTAACTGGCCTGTGGGGTTTTGGATTTTACATTTTCATGGTTCTTCTCCAGGTAAATCAATATTCAAAAATTGTTTAACTTTTAGGCCGGAATCTGGGAATTGAAGTCCAACTTTGCATGGAATAAGTACTTCTTTAGTCGGTCTCTCATAATAAATCATTCTTTTGTAGGCGGTCTCTTCACTTATGTACTTCTTTGGGTATTTATCTACGGAATTGTTCATGTTTATTGACATAAATGACAATAATTTATTGAATGGAGTTCTTTGAGGGTTTGTGACCATAAATATCATTCGATTTGCTCTCTTCTAAAAATTGTCTAGATCGTATGACCGAACATCTCCAAAGAACGATCGATGAACAGAGAAGTCAGCTCGAGAATTACGAAAAGAAGTTGAAAGGTAAGGTGAAGTCTCCGTGGCTCTTTTATTTCTTCTTTAGATGTTGTTACCGCATACAAATCCTTGCAAGTTGAAAAGGAAGCCCTTCAAGTGGCTTTATCAGCGATAAGTGGAGATAAACCAGAAGATGAATCCCAGGAAGGCAGTGAAAGCGAACCCAGGAATGAGATTGAAAGTTTGAAGCAGGCCATAACGACATTAACTAAGGAGAACAAAAAGAAAGAGATGGCCTATCAGGCGGATAAAAGATTGTTGTTGTCAAAAAATGAGAAGTTACAAACGATGGTCGATAGCATTACGGCCATGAACGCCAAGTCCAAAGATTTAGTAGGCTTCCTTGTCGCTAAATTTAAAATTTTTAGCCAAAATACGTAGAGAAAATACGGAGGCTGGAAGAAGATAAAGAGAAATTACTAGCTGATCATGGTGCTATGCTGAATAACATGCAGAAAAGATACGCCGAAGAAGTGACAAAAGTGAAGAAGTGCGAACAAACCGTAAGATTACGTTTCCTTGGATAATAATTTATAGATATCTAATCTTTACAAACAAATCCACGAAAAAGATCAACAATTACAAGCTAATTCAACTATTATAAATCAGTTTGAGAAGGTGCAAGATGAAATGCTTAGATGGAAAAAACAAGCGGAACACACGCCCAGAGAGAGTATTCTCTTGCATCAATTGGAGGAATTAAAGGTAACTTGGATTTATTTCTATTTATTGGTTTAGAAGTCACATAAAGAAGAGTTGGAGTTGGAAAGAAATAGAAGATCTGCTTCGAAGAATGTTGATGAAAATAAAGAAGGCAGAATATTCGAATTGGAACAACGAGTAGAAGCTCTGATGGGACAGATAGCATCGTTGGAACATGACAGGGCCAATCTGAAGGAGCAATTAGAGGAGACTGAAAAGAGAGAAGTCAGTAATTCTTCTAATTCTATCCATGATGTCATTCCTCGAAAGAATCTCAAGCTGGTGTTTGTCAAAACCTATGAAAAATTAAAGGCCGCAGAAGATTTTGATGTTTATAGTGAGTTAATTGGATTAATATATTGTGTTCTAATTTTCAGATGTTCTATCGCTTGAAAGGCCATCAGTGCCCCAACAGGCATTGGAATACAACAATCAAGTTACTAAAACGACAACAAACTGTGATAAATGTACCGAATCTTACAAGGAATTGCAGTACTTCAAGAGTGTCATAAACCACCTCCAGAATCAAGTAAAGGTTTTAGAAGATAATCATGAGCAAACAAGGAAGACGCATGAAGACGTACGTAACTGACCGGAAGATGATTATTTCAAAAGATTTTAGGTGGCCAAGTCTTTAAGAAATCGAATAGTCGAATTGGAAGAAAGCCAAGAGAAAACCTACACCGATTTAACAAGTGAGACCAAACGGAAAGTTACAGAGTTGGAGCAAGAAATTCAGAAGCAAAGAGAACGCATGATAACGGTAATCGAAGAGAAGAACAGAGAAATCGAGATTGTAAAGTAAGTTGTCCTTGATTTGGATTATACTATTGTTTAGACAGACGATAGACGAGATGAGGAAAACCCATTGTCACGACCCAGTCGATCCCTCTCCTGATCTGTTTAACAGTTCAGCAGACAATATGAGAGCCGTGATGAATAGTTCCTTTGACGAGGACACTTTTGCTTCTCATGCAACCAGGAAAAGATCCAATGGTCAATTTGGAGAGTTTAGGAATGTATATTACGAAGAAGAGATCCGGAAATATGAACAGGAGATCAGTGAATTACGGTAAGGTAAACAGGGTAGTCAGCGTGCATTTGACGTTTTAGTAATGTGCTGAGGCTGTCAGAGCTTAAGATTGGAGATATTGAACAAGCAAGTCTGACAAAGGACATGCAATATCTGCAGATTATTGAGGCGTTAAAGGAAGAGGTCAGGGTATTGGAAGGTAATTCTACTACGATTTTATAATCACTTTTTAGGAAAATTGAATCTTCAAAAAGCTGATACAAATATGGAATATCTCCGTAATATATTCGTCCAGTTTCTGAATTCTTCTAGTGCGTCAAGTCGGAAATGTGTCCTCAGGGCAATAGCGCTAATTCTTAGACTAACACCCAATGAAATGAAGAAGGTAGAGAAATGGAACATATAAAGGAGACATGCGGTTTATGAGTGAGACTAATCTGTTATAGCCATAATGATAAAGAGTAAGGGTATTTAATTCCTGTTTACTTACAACGGACAGTTTGTCATTTCTCCCCGAGTACAGCTATTGATCACTATCTCCGTCTTTGCCTCCCGTCACTTTTGAAGTACATGTCGATTGTAAGAATATTGTATTGTAAAGTTCGCGTTTTAACTTTGTTAATCTTTTTATGTCGTCTTTGTTTCTGGTGCCCACAAGAAATTTTTATTTCCGGTATGAAATTATTAAAAATGGTTTTACGAATAAAACATGTTCCTCACACACACGATAAGAAGTAACTTCTACAAACTTCTCATTGCCTCTAGATGATTCCTTATAAAATCGGGCGCAGCTCGCGTACCGATAATTCTGGAAATCGCTAGAAATATTTATTGTTTTGCAATGAAAGGTGAACGCTTTTAGTTTTTCTCGGGTAAACCTTCAAATCAACTCCGATGACTTCTTTCTACCAGTTTTGTTCACATCAGCCTCATCTACGTTATCAACAACAAGAGAACATGGACGGGTCTGCTTCTTTACCCTTTCCACTATCACCCCAAAGAACGGCTCTGAAACGACAAATGGTGGGTGACTCTCGATTTTCCTTTAATTTTCAGTCGGATGAGGATTCAATGTTGGGAGCGTCGAGTCCGAAGAAAGCACATTACGAAGAGAAAATCAGCGATGACTTCGACGGAATCAGAATTTACGAGGACTCGAGCGCGTCTAGTTCTCCACAAACACCGATTATTGTCGAGGAAGATTTCGACAGGTTTGAAGAGTAAGTTTTTAAGTCATTTTCTTATAAATTAAGGTGATGTCAAATGAAATACCGTATTTTTAGATTGTTAGATTTTGCCTCAACCTCTTATCAGGATGACACATATGAACAGCCAGTTGTTGAAGAGCCCGCTGAAGATGAAACCCTCGTTCTCACCGATGAGCTTAAGGATTATATCCAAAGGATGAAGAGCCAGCCGTTTATCCTTCGACAACCAAGGACTGGCAAAGAATTGATTCTATATAACCAGAACGACATGAATTCAAGGATTCAGGAAGTGGAAGACAAAGAAGACGATGAGTTCGAAGAAGCCGAGCCTCCAAACGATCTAACTCAGCAATTCGAGGCCGCTGGAGATGAGGAAGATGCCATGGAAATAGATTGAAACCACGTTTCTTGACTTGTTAAGTTATTAATGTACAAAAGTAAATATTGTTAAAAAATGACTTCATTCAGAAACTGTACAGAATACGATAAGGTACCCGATTGTGATTACTCTTTCTTGCTGAACCCGCTTAACTCCTTGAAGTTCTTGCTAATGAGATCTCGACATTCTTCAGCTAGCTGTTCAACGTCTTTGTCACCAGGGTAGACTTTTGGAAGAACCCTTATCGTCACCTTCCCGCTGCTCAGCCACATCTTTTTGTCATAATCATAAAAAGGTTTGTATGATGAAAACACACAGGGCACAATGGGGACCTAGGATATAAGGTTTCTATTATCGGTAATGAAAACTTACATTAACCCCTTTGGAGATGATAAAAGCTCCTTTTTTGAAAGGCAACAACTCCTCTCTATTATTCCTGGTGCCCTCCGGGTAAATAAAGATCTTCTTTTTGTCCTTCTCCATTCCTTCCCGAGCATGATCGATGGTTTGATGGGCTTTGTCCTTACTGAACCTATCAACGAATATGGCGTTACACTTCCACGCACAAATGTTGAAAAATGGAACGTATTTCAGACTGTTCTTCAACATAACCACACAGTTATCTGGCCATATTTTCGACATGGCTGGAAAAATCAGCATTAAACATGCACTAACGAATGTAATCTCGTTCCCTTATGGAAATTACGTATTTTTGAAACAGAGAAAAAAATCTAAGAACTTTGAAGTTCCAAGTACACATAGTCACTTACTAAAGACATCCAAGGCGGCCTGGTGATTCGCAATAATAACATAGGGCTCCTCAGAAACCAACAACTCTGGGTTCTCCACGGTGTATTCTATGTTCATCCAAACTCCTAGCTTGTGGAAAACATTGAAGATTACACTAAAGAACTAACCTCACATTAAAATACGACTTACTAATGGTTCTTTGTTGTTGTTCCATTCAATAAACATAAGAAAGAGCCAATGAATGATGCGCCAATTACTGTTGCTCCGAACAAAACACATTTAAAATAAAATCTGAAGACATTTGACACCTGTAGTAGAGTAATGAACACTACGAGGACTGTCGCCAGCCAGACGAGCCAAGCCATTATCGAATCGTTTGCCCTGGGAACGTTGGACTACAGAATGGAAACTTAGATTTTATGTTCGAAAAAATCAGGCGACCCAATTAGAAAACGCGGGAAGCATAAAAAAGATGTACTTTCATCAACTGTAAGCCACACCTCGTGAGAAGAATATCAAACAAACAGAATAAAAAATTATGCTGGGCTCGGTATATTACAATCTGGCAAATAACACAAGCTAAGCTGGTAAAAAAAAGTATCGAAAACGTTCTAACGCGATCACGTGACTTCTCACGTCATTAGAAGTGCCATAAATAATGAAAGTATCTATTTATAAAAAACACTTGACTCAAACGGGTCAACTCTTACTCCTCTGTGGAATTACCGTACACAAGGGTTTTACAGGGTGAGAACGTAGAGGGTACGCCCTCTAAGGGCCCAGGGGGGGGGCCTTACGGGGCCAAGGCAAATTCTCGGGTTGACGGGTCCCGGAGCATAAATAATTTTTTCAATTACTGACTACTTTTTATTGACGTAATCTTGTACAATTTTCAAAACAACGATAAACAAACTCCGAAATGGAAAAAATGTTTAAATCACATTTTATAAAACTTTCCTTGTATGCATATGAAAAAGATAAATTCTTTGAACGCCAGATTCGGCACAGTGCGTAATATTGTGATTTTTTTCAAAAATTTTACAATATTACGTCATAAAAAGTAGTCAGTAGTTAAAAAAAATAAAATTATTTGGCGATATCAGTCGGTGGAACCTAACATTCGGAGCTGTTGTTAAACTAGACGACCTTTTTGCCAAATGATTCCGCATATCCTCGGAACCAAACACTCGGAAGGTTATGGTATCAACGTTTGTGACCACACATAGGCTCAGACAAGGCTCCACATAACTCATCTAATAATATCAAAAGATTCCACCGATGACGCTGAATCTCGGCCGATGGAAGATGGGTACCGAATAAATAAAATAATCTGTCTGTGGGGTACAAGTCCGGCCTGATGACAAAAACTCAAAAAAATTAATATTTTGGATACAACACCGGCCCGAGGACAGAAAAAGACCCAATATAAAACAATCAAGATTAATCTGATAAAGGGCAGAGTAAATAATGGAAGGCTATTTTTTAATTTCCACCCTAGAATTTTTGTAGCGCAGGTGTCGTGATGACGCAAAGCACACGATTTAGCAATTGCGTGGCATCTTGTCCTGCAAAATATACATAACAGAATAAAAAAAGTAACAGAGTAATATGTATGTATAAAACCGCGTTCCGACTTTTCGAGACGACGACAGCCCGGGTCATCGCAAATCCATAGCATCTTTGACCCGAAAAGTCGTAGCTAAAAGGCTAAAAGGCTTCGCTCTTAGGCCACCCGAAAAACGCTATATATATGGAATTGACATTTGTCCAGATTTTATTGGCGCACCCTATAAAGTACCGTACAAAGTCGATGATAACATTAAATGTATTATGCTGTAATTTCACTTGGAATGCCCCTTGTTGTCGTCTTTGTCAAATAACCGCTGCTCATTTTAGTTTTTCTTTGTTTTGTTTAAACAGCCTTCAAATCTGGTATTCATGCAACCTGGGTTGGAGCCGGAGAAGATAAGGCAGCGATTAGGTTTCGGTCGCGAACATGAGGCTCTATTTCGGTCGGAGCTCTTTTTTTGACCAACCTGGATGTGAGTTGACTTGTGGGAGGGGGTGGGGCTGGACAAGGGGTCGAATCGTTGGGGACGACGGGAATTAAGCTTCGTTCGGGAAATGGAAAAGTTATTCGCACTTTGGGTCACTCAAAACAATCGGTTTACAAGGGCCAAATTAGACGGGTTTAATGCCTGCGGGGTTTCCCGAAATGTAGACCTGTGTGTTACAGTAACCTCGGCTGAATTTTTATTGTTGGTGTGTTGTCTGTTATTGTGCCATTTATTATCATTTTGATGAGATACTGCTTGAGGATAACGAGAGCCCTGTAAAATTCAAACCAAAAGTTATGAATGTGAATCCACCATTTGTGTTTTTTACAATAATTTATTTAAATAATTCACACCCCATCCTCCCTTTGTGTGTGTTGATAACATATTGTTTGTTTTGCTTTTGCAAAGATCCCGCTTACTTTCTAAGCATATCCCGAACTTCAGATAAATTAATTTAATTCGCTGTTTATCTTACGTTCAGACGGATATGTGTTCCCTGCTGGATTAAAACAAACAATTAGTTTCTTTTTGAAACGCTGAGACGTAGATCCGCGTCCTGAATCCCCGTAACCTTCTGGATGTGCGCTGAGCTATTCGAATAACCACTATTCTGTCTTCTTATTTTTGCATTTTCTCATCAGATGACGTCCAAATAATGAGCAGGTTCTAGATTCGCTTAGAAAGATCGCGCCGATGTGGCGTTGGCATTTATTATGGCCTTTTAGGCCAATAGTCATACTTTCGATGATAGCCACGACAGCCATGTCGGCCTATGGAATTCAGCGACATTCCCATTCCTCCCGTTCCCCGAGATTTCTGAACAGATTCCATTTGAACACACCGCCGTTAGAGATTCCTCCAATGATGGGAGTGGAGATGACCGAGAACACTGGCCATGATTGTTCAGTTTTCCCCAATCAGACCTTATTTGAACCTCATTTTTATTCGTGTGATTCTGAAGGTAGGTTTGAAGAAAGAATGAAAAAATATATTCGCTAGGCTACAAGCTGCAGTACATGTGCTTTGTTTCTGAAAATTAAGCTCACGACCCTGAGGCTTTGTTTGGCCGCGGTTTCGAACCGGGCGCTAAACAATGGGATTAAATCAGCGTGAGCCGCCATCTGAATTGTTTGAAGAGCGTGATCACGCGCTCGAAGAGAGGAACTTGTCCTCCTAATTATGAATTGTTAATAGGCGATGACTGTATATAATATTTGCAGCTTATTTCCTAGGGGTGATTCAAACAAGGCTCCCTTTAGTTTTCATAGGAAAGTGTTTTACAGTTCAGACATTTCAGGTAAACAACCGGTGTTCTTGCTTCATGATCTTGCCCTTTCGAATCAGACTGGTGATTATGTTTATCCGTTGGACTTCTCTCAACCTCTGAGGGTATTCCTCGATCTAACGAGTTCGGCAAACCGAAGGTAAGGCCGTGGATAAGACGACGTTATTTTCAGATTGGATAATATAAGAGCCGAGGTCACTTTATATCGTCGGAGTGTGGGATGGTTAGGGTGCGGATGGTTCTATATCCCCACTCTTGGATTGTTGGATAATTACGATATTTGTGGGGAAGATAACTTGAGTTGTCCCATTTACACCGGCAGGCAAGTAGTGGAAGTCGTTCTGAGACCCAATGTTCTCTTTCTGGCCTTGATGAAACTCATTCACAGTGATCGAGTAGGTCAATAAGCTTTTGTGAGAATTGAAAACATACATTCAGGTGCCTTATCAAGTAATTATCAAGCTCATAAACAATCGAAGCTCATCGGAAGAATTGTTATGCGCCGCTTTCCAGGCCCGAATTAACTTTTGAACAATGAATCTCATAACCTATTTTACGTTTGTTTACGATTAACGCACAATTAAAACGAGTCTTTCCTTGCAGAGACCGACTGTGAAACATTTTTAATTCGGTGTATAACCATAAGAAGTATCTCTAATTGTAAGCATTACAGTGTAGAAAGATAGTTCAGCAAGTTTGTCACGTAAGATTACTTTATTTTATAAGTTATATTTTTAACAGTGAAAAAGAACAATTTTGAGATGTGAACAATGAGATATGAGAAGAAATAATTAACAAAAAATCAGTCCTCCATTTGGGTGTCCTTGTCCAGACAGAAGTTGACGTTAGAAATTTCAGAAGAGAGAAATCGTTTTAAGAGATCACTGCGGTGATGGTCAAGTTCGATAAGTTTATCAACATCATCCACATTGGGAAGAAGGGCTTTCTTCTCATTGTCGGCGATACCTAGGACATACTGATGTGCGTTTTTTACCTACCCAATTCAAAAACACTGTGTAAAACGGTTGCTAACTTCGAACATTGAGCCTTCACTTCAAACTGAACCGGATCCACCGAAAGCTTTATCCATTCATCTGACGCCAAAATCTTCTTGTATATGTGCTTCACAAATTCATCGCTTTGTTTTCGTTCAATTGGAGAAATAGTAGATGCCCTAAGGGAGGCGACCATTATAAGAGCCTTCATAAATCCCCGACAGTCATCTTCCTGGAGGTAGGCGTCAATAATATCTTTTACTTTCATCGGCCGGTTCCTCGGATTAATCCTCTGAAAACTTCTAAAATTAAAAATTTTAAATACCTTCAAAACGACGGAATCGATAGCTTCTTGATGTTCGACAATCTTCATAACTTCTGTGAATTCGGCGATTTCCGTCGCATTCTCTTCGTCCTCACATAATGCGCACAATGTTCCCAAAGCAGCAATTGTCTACAAAGTCAAATTTAGAACGCAGTCTTCAGAACAATGAATACAAACGTGGCTTTACTTACGCCCTTCTTTGACGCGTTTTCTGTCTCCATCATCATATTTTTCAAAAAGTTTCTGGCCTTGCGATATTGCTTCTTCTCAATGTTTCTGATCCAATTAATGTTCTCATGGGACCGCAAGAAGTTTTCCAATCGTTCACCTTTCTCTTCCAGGAGGTATTCAACCATGCCTGTAAACGATAAGTTAAAAAAAAACTATTTTCTCAACGTACCATTCTTTCTGTAATAATCATAAAGAATTAAATCAAAGTCTTTTCCTTGGAATTTTTCCTTCATCTGGGCAATGTAATTCTTGCGGTCGCCATCAGAAAGAGCAGTATGCGAATGTTTGATTATTAAATTGAAATCCTAAAAACCGAATATAAATGAAAACCATCGAAATGGACCCCGCGGGGCCCCGTGTCGAAAGAAACCCCCAACCGAGAAATAAGGGTTAGTAAGGTAACCAATTGCGAGGACTTCGAAAATGACATCCATTTTTTCTGTATTTACTTTTTTTGGTAGTTAGTACTGTTAAGTTGTGACTTTAAAATTTTTGCTAAAAATACTTGATTTAGGGGTTTCGAGGTGCTGATTTCGAAAATCATGTTCTTTTTTTCTGGTTTCCCAAAAATTTGTGGGCAGAGTGAAAATTGGTTCCGAACAGATTATCAGATGTATGGATTTGCTTCTCATCCAGACTGAAATCAGCATTATCGATTACCTATAAAAATATATCATTGACCATTGACCGACCCAAAAATTCGGGACGCGTCAGTTAGTACTATATAGTACAACAAAGAGCAAAATTAACGTGTTTTTCGAAATCAGCACCCTCGAAAACCCCTAAACCAAGAAAAAATTCCAAAAATTACTCTTTAACATTACTACTTAAGGAAAAGTCAAAATCAGAAAAAAGGAACATGATTTTTGAAATCTGCGCCATCGATTACCCTAATGTTGACCTTTTCGGGCAAACATCGACGGGGGGTCTCGAAGGAAACCAATATAAATTCAAATTTTTGATACTATTTATTCCTACCTGAAACTCTTCAGCCAACTTTAATGCTTCTTCTTGTTGCCCATTTTCATACAATTGGGATATAATTGTGCAAGAAATTCTCTTGTTTTTGTCATATCCATTGTATAAAAGTCTCGTCAAAACAATGACTTGGTTTAAGAGAACATTCAAATTCATTTCAGTTAACTGGGCGTCTTCTTTTCTCAACAAACCCACGGCAAAATTCAGCTGAAATAAAAATATTATAGCCATTAACAATACCACCCACATGTTTGTCAATATACTTAAGTAACTTGGGCTCATTCATCCAGGTCAATGTCTGGTTGTCAAATCTGGTGCTCATTTCTCGAGTCTCGACCACTACTTGATATATCTTTGTCAAGGCGGTGCCAACTTCCGTAACAACTTGAGCTCGGGTCAGGTAATCCTGAGGGCATTGGTCCAGTTCTTCAGATTCCAATTTAACCAATTCTGGAATAAATTCTTCGAAATGAGAGACTTCTTTGAAGAAATGGTCGTAAGCGGTTAGATTTCGATTGCTGGGGTGATCGAATTGGGTCTTGAAGACCTTGGCCAATTGCTGGACAGTTCCACTGACAACAGGCATTTCCGAACTCGTGAGAAGTTTGAAAAGTGCGATCATCGACCTCAGCTTCTCTCCCAACTCCAGGAACACCGTCTTTGCCGTTCTTTCCTTAGTCTCCGGAATACGGACATCAATCTAAAAAAATAAATTTATACTATCCGACAATTGAAAGTGACGTCTTGATGAGCCCGACATTGCCCTGAGGCACAATATGTCCCGTAAGGTGGTGTCTTCGGTACCTCACGCCAATGCAGAGTGCCACTTTTCATACTTGTGCGCTTTAAACGCATTGTGCAATAGGCGTTTTAATTTTGTTTGTAACCTTCCGACTTACCCTACCTTTTGAAAGATCTGTTGGTACGGAAAACATTCAAGGAACACTGTCAAGTTTTAGTAATTCTTCATAGACAAAATACGAAAAGTATCCGGGTTTTAGGGTACCATTGTCCGGCTTCAAGATACGGCGTTTTTGCGTCATAAAGTGAAGCCGTTCGGCACTATTTGTCATCAGACTGGAAATTTCATGATGCTGAATATATTTTCTGACAATGCCCGTCCAAATAACACTGAAAGTCTGTCAAGTTTTGGGGCTGTTTAATCCGCTCTTATTCAAGGAGAATATTGATGTAAATTCAAACGATGGTACGCAGAATTAGCGCAGCCTTTTCTTGTACTTTTCTGTAGCAACTAAAAACAGCGTTGTCCAGTTGGAGGTCTGTACTTATCCGTTTTTTATGAATACATGACTTGATTTGTTATATAGGCACCTTTCGTGCAATTCGATTCAGCAAAATTGGAACTTACGATGGCGTATTCGGTTAATTTATGGTTGTCGGTCTATACCGGTAACTGCTATGGTATAAGTCAAAACAATTCATTACTGAAACCTTAACTATGTTTTCTTGATGGTTCGTACCAACAGATCTCTCAAAAGGCCGGGTAAATCGAAAGATAAAAGGTGTTTTTGTCTATGAAATAACAGCGTTTTTCGTTTGAAAGTCGGTTTTTTCGTGGTTTTCGATAGAGTTGATGATGAAAAAAAAGATATTGCATTGCCAACATGTTGCAAATTAAAAAAAAAAGAAAAAAATTTAAAGTTTTAAAGAAAAAAATTTTTAAAATTTAAAGAAAAAATTCGCCTACCCTTCATTTTGACCCTTTGGCTGACCGGTCCAGGATTTTAGCTAGACATTTACAAAATTTTCCTGGCAATCATACTCTTTGAGTAAGTATTGAGTTATTCTTATATTTATTATACGCAATTTTTCAATATCAACTCTATCGAAAACCCCGAAAAATCTGACAAGGAAAGTACTTTTATGGGGGCTCCTACTTTTTGACGGAACATTTTTCTCAAAAAATACGAGAAATTGTGCTGGTCAAGAATATATAAAACTTAGCTGCTAAGTTTTCGGTTTAAGGGTCAAAAATGCCCAAAAACTGGCTGTAGGAGCCAAAGTACTTTCCTCGTGAGACTTCTCGGTGACCCTCAACCGAAAAAATCCGAAATTTCTTGGTCATTTTCCAACTAACAACTGGTTTTTGGGGTAAAAACGCTCCTACTTCAAAAGGCCGTAGTGATGTCAGTTTTCACTTTAAAATCGTGTTATTTCATAGACAAAAGTAATCTCCCTTAAACACATATTACAAAAACGAAGTTTCTGAGCCGCATCCACCGGAAGTTATAGCCCCCGAATTTCCTGCACGTTTTTTGTAAGACCCTGTACATTGTGAAATCGACAAAATTTCATAATCAATCGCAAAAAAAGTAATTTCAATCACTTACTTGATTAGTAACTTTAAAATAGTTTAGAAACAAGAAGAACATCTTAAAGAAAGCCAATTTCCCATTCAATTGAGACAAGATCACAACCGCTGGATTCTGTTCGAAATGAACCAGTCCGGTCTCTCCTCTCCATCTGGGATCATTAATCGGTTCGTGATCCACAAATTTAAAAACAAATTGAAGAACCAAAGAAGCGATAGCTTCATCTTCAAGGTCCTTTAAAGGTCCAAACAACTGTTCCGTTTCGTAGAGATCTTTTGACGCAAATATCAAGAATGCAGATTTCAGTTGAGAAAAGTCCTTCCCCATAAAATCCTCATATATAATTTGCAGGGCTTTCTTGGTTCTTTTGTAAAATAGAAGATCGAAATCCCTTAAACGATGATCTATTATCATTTAAAGTGTCTTACCTCGGCAATTTTCGTAATGCACACACTCCCGAGTCCTTGAGGACGATATGGCAGAGCCCATCAATGGTTTCAGAGCCAATAACTCTTTCCTCGACACTCTCCAACACCCGACTGTCGGCATCTCCCTCGGGATTATCTATATGAACAATGAACTTGTTAAACACCACAATGCATTCTTTCTGCTCCGGCGTATGAAGCCGAACAACAGGAAGAGAAACGGTATGAATCGGGGCCTATAATTTGTAGTTATACATACACAACGTGTTTCAAGAAATACTGCGGAATATCTTTGTTTTTTTGCAGCTATCCAAGAAATTTAAATTGTTTTTAAAATTCGAAGTCGTGCGTCTTTAGTACACGCCATTAGGGTATCCCTTAAATCTTGCAAATTTTTGGGTTTAAGAATTAAAGTCTGATCGATTGAGGTTTGCAGTCCAATAGGGCAAACGGACTGCAAACCTCAATCTGACAGCAAATATGACAAATTTTGTGGTCCGAAACATAAACCAAACAAGTTTATCTGACGAGAGAAAACTTTCAATATGATTTTCAAAAGCCAAATCTCTAAAACGGCCTTTGCCGGAAAAAAAAGTCTCCGCTGACCCTTAGCAAAGAGCACAAAGATATTCGCAAAAAAATTCCGGAATATTTCTCACCACACCCTGTATAAGACATGAAACAGATTACCTGCATTCGATATCTGATTGGGATACTCAGTTGATTAAAAGCGATGAATTGTCTTGTCTTTGAAGTGTCCCCGTTTACATAACCTGAAGTGTAAATAAAAAAGCAAGTACTCTTACCAAGGTAAAAGTCGAGACAATCGTGTTTTAAACTGTTAACAGAAATCAGCACCAAGAAGCCGGAATTGTACGGAACGGCATCCAGCAGGTAGTGTTTCAAGTTGTCAGTGAGTTTACCCTGAATGATTAATGTAATCCGAAGAGCCTAGTCTTACCAATTTCTCCAATGCCCTCACTACAAGATCATGGGTTTCAATGGCAAAAAGATGGGAGGATTGGGACACTGAGTAGAATCTGATGACCTTGTGGAAGATTACCATCAATTCTGCATTGTGAACATTGACCTCCCCTTCCACTGGGACTACTTTGACGACCCTAAACCATTTAAATTTAATAATACTTATTACTTAAAAGCGTATTTTATGACAAGCTTACGTTTCGCGATCAATGGAAGGATTTCCGAACAGTAAAACACTCATCCTTTTGCCGATTCCAACATGAGTATTCATATCCAACGGCCGAACAACAAGATGTTCAGCTCTTCTGTCATCATGGAAAACTTCTACCAAATAAAAAGTTGAGGTAGTAGTGGAGAAGATGAATCGATGGACGTGAACTGAAAAAAAGCCGTTTACAGCAATTTTGTATCAGTCTGTCGGGAAAATAACGGCGGATCGTCGCATCAAAATGTCTCGCCTCACCGCTATCGCGCACCAAATCTCCAGCCGCGGCCGCCGTCGCAAAACGATTATGGGCGATTTCAAGGCGCGACGACCCGCCGTTATTTTCCCGACACTGCCTAATTTTGGTTTGTAAGGGCGAAAAACCCTCAGAACGTATCTTGAAACACCATGCGAATGCCTTATTCTACGCAAAAATCCTAGACTCCTCAACCGGGGTTTTGTCATACATACCCAGTTTTCCATACCTACGTTATTCGACCGATTTTCGGCACTTTTCAAAGTTTTTTGATTTCTTTCATGAACATGACTAAATTTCTGAACTTTTACAACATAAATTACTTATTCTGTGAGCCTACAACAGCGTCAACAATAATAAAAGTACTTACCTTTTGCTTCAAACAGCACGATGGAATGAGAAACTTCATTCTGGAGATCAACATTTATGTCTTTATGGGGATTCCCTATCTCAGACCAATGTCGGATACATCCTTCTGGGCTCACCGCCAATACCGAGGGCATCTTTTTTGATGCTAAAACATGTAAACCTAGGGACAGCTACTTACTTTGTTTGTAGAAACACACATTCCTCGCTCCATATTGTAATCCTGTAGATGGCAAAGAAAGACGAAAAGCATGAGGTAAATCTTCACTCTAAAAATCAAATATAATAACAAGTTTGATTTCTTACATCTGAATCATAATTCCAAACAAAAAGGACTTTGTGGCAAATGAGTCCACAAAACCCTCCTTCGGCCAATCGAGCGGAGACCAACGTCTCTGAAGAAGCTAAAAAAATATTATAAAGTGAGACCCAGAACCTACAATGATCTAAGACTTCTCTGACCAAACTGGGATATTCACTTTCATATCGATCGCTTAATAAAGTCAGACTCATCTGTAAATCTTGCATATTAGTTACTGTTAATAATATAAACAAGTACGGTGAATAAAAACACATAAACTATATCAAATAAATTTAATAAGCAATTTATTTGGCAGACATAAGGCAACCGAGAATATACGTATTCATGGAAATTAATAGAATATATGTTCATAAAAATTAATATATCACAATGATAATTATTTCACTCGTTAATTTCACCTGTCTGAGATATCAGATTCCGTAGACCCCTTATTAAACTTGAATTTGACGACCAAAGATGTCCCGGCTACCTTAACGCCATAGTTTCCGGCCCAAAACTGGCGATCCTTTCCTCTCGATACAACATCTATCAAATACACATCGTCTGGGTAATTTTCAAACACAATCTCGGCCTTTCGCCAATACTGATCTAAAATAATTACGTACGTATGATCTTATCTGGATCCACCCACCTTCCCATTGTTCAATTACAGCATCAAAAGACATTGCTCGTCCATTCTCCGGCTGTGAATTGAGGTCAGGTTCTCTGAAAAAAAAACTGGAACCCAATTCAAAACTTACTCAGAATTCCGGAATAAAGCAGAGATGTTGTACCTGCAAGCACAATCCCCACGGTTCGTATAAAACTCCGTGACCACAATGGTAGGTTTGTGTTTGTTCAAGAACTCCTTTGACAGACCATAATCGAGGAGATTTACTGTTATCCATCTTGCACATTCAGAATATGAGCTCACCATACAGGAATGGAATGGCCTTTCGCATTGATCTAATTTTTCTGTATCCAGCCGTTGTGGGATAATAAATAATGGAGGGGATTCAATCTTCCATTCCCTATGTCTAAAAATTTTAATGAAAGTCAGAAACGAGAACAAACCTTCTTCTGTTTGCATGACAATCGGACCATCGAATGTCCAACTTCGGAGTGTCTTCATCATAATTATCGTGGATCAAATTCTGTTCAAACGCATTCAAGGCAATAAGTCTCTGAAGATCCGCAATATCAACCTTCTTCAAATCTTTCAGCGCAAGAAATCCTAGTTTGTTAGAAGATCGTAACTTTTGAAACCAGAATCGATGATTGTATATAACGCTGTTCCACTGACGACACACCTAAAAATCAACAAATAAATGCAAAATTCTTACCAGGGAACAGCGAACCACGTCAATGTAAGGAAGTCGAAGGAATATTTCAACCAAGACATCGTTTGGACATTCAGAAAGGTCCATTCCTTTCAAAGTTCTCTTTGTGATTCCAGATCCGAAGTAACTTTTAATCAATGGTATCATTGGTCACCTTTCGAAGGTTATTTGCAAAACTCAGTGTTTTCTTTTCACTGCATTCAATGAGGAGGAACGCTTGTTTCACGAAATTTGGCGCCAAATTTATTTACGGTTATATAAAGCCGGAGGGTCAGTGAAGCACTAGTAAAACGATATAATTGGAAACGACCCAGGACAATCCTTTCTATTTCTAGCCGGATGCTAAAATATGTATACTGCCAACTGCCAAACAATGTACCTTTGCGAACATTTATTTGAAGAAATTTTCAGAAACCAATTTTGTTGTGACATTTCGTGGCGTTTTTATTGGAAACTAATTTTTGAGGTGTTTTTGTGCCATTTCTGCGATTGGCGATTGCGATTCTGCGCAAGATTGTCTAGTCTGAAGGACCTTGAGTCAAGGTGGTGCACTGGTGGAACACGTTTTCTTCATGTTTAAAACTAACTCCATTTCTTAAGTTTGTTACCAAACTTATGTTGCACTTGTATTTTATTGTGAACTCTTCCGGTAGAACTTTCGTTATGACGTTTTTGTGGGATCTCTATAGAACTCTCGATTATTGCCTTTGTGATTCCGTTTAATTTATTAGTCGTTTATTTTCTTCCTTCTTTTTACGTAAAAAATTCTTTTTTGTTTTTCCTTTCCGATGTAAATCGAATGGGCGGTTGCTATCTAAATTTCCACAAATTCCAGTCTTATCACCTTCAAGGATTATGCGAGGAATGGTTCTTATTGAAGTATTTTTGATAATCTAGCGTTTTTATTATTTTGCGCGTGATTGAAATCTTTGTGAGTCGGCGCGCAATTTGTGCCGTCCGTCGCTCCAACATTTCTCTCTTTACCTTCGAGGAGCGGATTCTTAATGCCTTTTACGGATTTAAAAGCGTTGAACTTGTACACCGTTTGAGGTTGCACTTCATGTCGTTTTTTGGTTCGAAATTTTCTGTTTGATTTCATATTGATAAACATCAATTTTGTATTATATTATAATACAAATTGGCGTTATTTTTTACTCAAGTGTCCTAGATATTGGTTTATGTTGTTTTACTTTCACGAATTGGAAGCCCAGTCTGATTTGACCAAATGTTTTTGCTTGATGGCATTTCCTCCTCCAATTTTTTCTTTCGTGATTCATATTTTTTGAATAAACCGAAGATGGTTGGACGATGATCATTAAGTCCCCACCTGACTTTTAATTAAAAATTGCTTTTTATATGGATGCACAAGTGTCCTCGTCATCATCGCAGGTTTTAAATGATAACGGCGTTCCACTGATAGCGACATCAACAGTGGTTTATCCATCGCATGAATACGACCAAACCCTATCTCAACATAGAGTTCCGAGAAGTGAAGTGAGTTGCGGTTTATTTTATTTATACGTTTAGGTTGTTTCCACGTCTGAAGTATACAGTTCGAATAGCCGGCTAGTGCAGCAGAATACTTTGACCCAAAGATTGATGCAAAGGTCAACAAAGCAGCTAAAGAAGTCGCCAAAACTTAGCAAGTCATACAAACAACCACGTCATGTGACTTCAGCAAAAGTTATGGAACTTAGGAAGGCATTAGATCTGTCGAAGTACATTAAGCAAGTTGAGAGTTTGATAATGCAACCCATAAAGTAAGTTGTAGTTTGTTGTATTTTTGAAGGTTGGTTATGAGAAGTTTAATTTAGCGTTTCAGAATTCCAAGTACAGTCAGTTTCGGCATGAATAAGCGCCGAAAGATGCCGTCAAAACCTAAACAGGATCTTCTTTCCATAAAGGTAAAAGAGAAATGAATTATATGTGAGAGCTGATTTCCTTCTCAATATACTTCATTTGTATACTTTGTAAGGATATGAGGTGATTTATTCATGTTTTATTATAATTTAGGATGTTTGGAGGGACGCAGATCAGCGCAGGAATGAGATGAAGGAATTTTATAACACCAGATGTATAGATTCGGATCGAGAATTTCTTCTGAATCTTCTGTTGGATGAATCCGACGAAGAATCAGATTCTGAGCAAATCACAGAGGAGGACTTTGCCTTCATGTTAGAACATCGTCGTGAAGCTAAGAAGTTGATGAAGGCCTATCATCATGATTATCTGAATACTCAGTATCAATATTATAGCAGTGGAATGTTAAGTGAAACTGACAGGTATATGGACGCCAAAAGGAAGATATTGGACATACATGAGGACATGATGTTTGAATAGTGTATAAAATAAATATAAATTATTATCAGAATTTTTTCCCCAACGTCGTTCCATTTCGACTGTTACTGAGTAATATTTAATTGTATTTTTAAGTGCAAAAAACATTGTTTTAGGTGGATTAGAAAAAGGGATACGTTGTGCTTAACAGAAGAGGGGAGGTCTCCCTATTGTCGACTAAATGATGGTCCGGCAATCAAATCAAGTAATATCGCGATCTGTGAGGGAGAAACGACAGAATGGTGAGGCAGAGAGACATATTCATCTGGCACGAGATCTCTTAGACCCAAATACACCGATTAATGTGGAAAACTTACTGGTGAGTAATCTCGGATAAGTTTTATTAATGGTTTAGGACGCATTTGTTGCCATTTATCACGACTGTAATCTTCCCATTCTCAAAAAATTACGCAACGTCGACCAATTTCTTCAGAAATGTAAGATTTTAATTGTGATTTGTTGTCGTTTTTGTGGTCGTATCAGATTCCCGTCGTGAGTACTATGTTTTATGTTTAGATGAGAGTGTTGTTAATAGTATCAGTAATCGTCGTATGAGGGATACAGACTTTGATATGATCAAAGTGATCGGCAGAGGTGCTTATGGAGAGGTTCAGTTGGTCAGAAGCAAGAAGGATCGCCAAGTCTATGCAATGAAACGCCTTGAAAAGAGTGAAATGGTGTGTTTTTTATTTATTTTTATTTGTGTAGGATGTTGTGATCGTTGTATTGGTGTCTTTCGTTTTTTTTCCAAAGTTGTGTTGTTTTAGATTCGTCGTTACGATTCCGCCTTCTTCTGGGAAGAACGTGACATTATGGCGCATGCCAAGTCGGAGTGGATTGTCCAGCTGCATTATGCATTCCAAGATGCCCGTTTTTTGTACATGGTGATGGAATTTATGCCCGGAGGGGACCTTGTAAATTTAATTTCCAAATATGACATAACCGAAGAATGGGCGCGGTTTTATCTTGCTGAATTGGTTCTTGCCCTGGATGCGATCCATTCCTTCGGCTATATTCATCGTGATGTGAAACCGGACAATATGTTGATATCTCGATCGGGGCACGTCAAATTAGCTGACTTCGGAACATGTGTCAAATTGAATGCTGTACGTATTTCACAATAGTTGAAGTATTTTTCTTGTTTTCAATGAACGATTAATGATTTCAGGACGGAAAGATCATGTGTGCCACAGCCGCGGGTACGCCCGATTACATCAGTCCCGAAGTACTGAACTCTCAATGCTCGGAGACTGTCTACGGAAAAGAAGTAGACTACTGGTCAGTTGGAATCATCCTATATGAGATGTTGGTTGGGGAAGCTCCTTTTTATGCCGATTCTCTAATGCGAACGTACCAACGAATCCAGAATTATGAAACCGAATTGTCATATCCAGATGATATTGGGAACCAGATCAGCAACACAACCAAGGATCTGATCAGGAAGCTTTTATCCGGTGCAGATGTTAGATTGGGCAGGAATGGTGCGACCGAAGTTAAGTCTCATCTTTTCTTCCAAAACAGTCAATGGAATTTTGATACGATAAAGAACGGTAAGATCAATGTTTTTAAACTACTCGTATTTAGCTAAACCACCGTATGTTCCGACCTTGGAATCGGATGATGACACTTCGAACTTCGAAGATGTATCTCCGCGGGAACAGAGTCAAACAGACAACTTCCAGCTGCCTAAAGCATTTAATGGAAACCAACTCCCCTTTATAGGATTTACATATTCCAGCGATTTAAGCCCGGCTTTGGCAATCCAGAAGTTAATGATAAACTGTGATGACTCGGAGTTTAAAGAAAACGGATATCCGAATGGGGACGCCAAAGAAAATACAATAGCAGACGAGAAACACAAGGAGATCGAAAAGAAATTGAAAGTGGCCGAGATTAAGATTGTCGAATTGCAGAAGGATATTGATGAGAAAACCAACGAATGGGCTGCCAAGATGAGAGAATGGGTACACAAATAGAAGTGATCTCAAAATATAAATTTTTCAGAGTCAAGTTCAGAGTAGACAAGAAAAGGAAAAGCGAGAACAAACCGACAAGGCTGCCAACGCTGAGTCCAAATTGGCCGAACTTCAAAGACAAGTCGATGAAATCAACGGACAATTGAGGACTGAACGACAAGATATAGTAGGCTGATGAGATGAATTATATTTGTGTTGATTTAGGCTTCCGCAAAGGAACATTATGAGGAAGACAGACGGTCTTTGCAATCGGTGATCCAGCAAAAGGATGCTCAACTCAATGAATTGAAGCAAAAGCTGGAAGAACAGATTAATCTTTTGACCGCTGAGAGACAGGAACAGGTAGAAAAATTTTATTTTTTACTTGATCATAATGAATTTGTTTTTCAGGCAGAGAATCTTCGAAAGGAACAAGTCGGATCTCAAAGCGGACTCGAAGCCAAGATCTCTAAACTGGCAGAACAACTTGAGAACCAACGACAGGCTGAAGAACGGACTCGATCTGAGCTGTGGGCTCTTAGAGAAGAGAAGCAAGGACTCGAAAACAATATGCAAATTGTTGCACGAGAAAAGACCCGACTCGAGAGCAGATTGAGTACCTTGAAAGAAGAGTATAACAGCGAACAACAAGTCTGCAACATGTATAAGGCGGAGTTAGATCAGGCCAAAATGGAGATTGCTGAGAAGATCAGGCAATTGTCTAACATCAACAGTAACTTGTAAGTTAGGTGGTCATTCCAAATCGAATTTGTTGTTCATCTAAACTGATCATTTTTAGAGCTTCGATCCAAGCCATTCAAGATAAGCTCCAGAACGAACACATCGCACGGAAGATCGCTGAACATTCTCTCGACGAATCCGAGAAAGAGAAGTATATGTTACAACAGGAGCTAAACCAATGTGTGTCTCGACATGGAAAAGAACTTGATGCCAAAAACAACAAAATCAAGGAGGTACTATCCATTTTACCGTATTTTTTGATTAATGGATATGTTTAGTTTGAAAGACGAGAAAAGGAAATGGATGACCAAATCAAGAAACTTCTTGACGAGAACAATCGTCTCAAGCATTCCCAACGCTCAGTCTCGGGCCCGATTCATCATCATGCTGAGCGGTCAACAGATTCCTTATCCAATAATTCTGGATCTCAAGCATCGTTGGCAAGCCGTGATGGTCTCGAGAATATGACACGAGAAGATCTCATTGCCAGATGTCGAAGAGAAATGCAGTTGAAGGAAAATGTGATTGCTAAGTTATACACTGTCGGGCAAATGAAGGGAATCGCTGAGGGGCCACAAAACACTTCCAAGGCCAGAAAACAGAAAAACGAGATCAAACGATTGGAAGAGATCATGGAACAGAAACATCGTGACGAGATCCAAAATTACAGAAAATCAGTGCAAGAGCACATCAGCCACATCCAATATCTCAACGAACAGTTGTACGAAGAACAGTCCAAAAAAGAGCAACTCCAAATGCAGCTCAGCGAGATACTGGTACGGAAATATATGATAGCAGTTTTGAATCATGTTTACGTTTGTAACCATTATATTTTCAGTCCCCGAAGGAAGATGGGAACGACCGTCGTGTTCTCCAAAGTCTTCGACATATCTTCGACCACGGCCGTTAGGCTTTGTATGTAGTTCCATATGGTTGTAATCAGGCTTCTCACTTCTGCTCTCCCTCCATTCATTCCTCTGTTTCTTTCTCTCCGCCAACCGATCTTCCAAAGTTTTATGTGTATCCAAAGTTGGGTCAAGTAATTATTGTCTTACTATTGGTTATCTATTATTAGTTCCATATCCTTTCGTATATTTTGTCTTTTCTTGCATTTCTTCCGTGTCGAACGTGTTCAATGCCATTTAATTTGCGTTTATAATAAATTTAATTTATTATATTCATCGGACGAAAGTTAAACAACCGCTTTAAATTTAGCACAGCTTATTTATTCGACAGAACTGTTTTAAGGGCTATGCCTTTCTTTGCTCAGTCTTTCTTTGCTCAGTCTTTCTTTGCTCGGTCTTTCTTTGCTCAGCTTTGGAGGTCGGACTGGTTTACATTTCGAAGGCGTGTCCTTTCCATTGGCCACCTTCTTCCACATACTGGGACCTTTGGTCTTCCTATAATTTCTTCCGGATGTCTTTGTCCTGATGTCCAACATATTTTCCGATTTTGGTCCTCCTTTGGTTTTCGGGTTCATCTTTTCGGCTGATAGACCACCCCTTGGATTCTTCGGTTTTCGTTTATTTTTGATTTGATAAATTTTTTTTCTGAAACGAAATTAATGTAAGAAAAACGATTAATTACACATTGGGGTTGTTAATAAGTAGGGTTCGGACGGGGCATATACCCAAATTCCCGCGACGTCGGAATCGCAGGGTAGTACGATCTTTCATCACTAACTCCGATGAGTCCCTTATTACTTTTTCTAAAACAAAAAGGTCGTCGTTGCCGCTTTGGGCGTGATTTTAACGAGAAAAAGAGCGCTGCGAGAATACGAGTTGCTTGAGGGCACACGCCGAATTTGGTGGTAAAAAGTATACTCACCGTCCTTATAGGTCCCTAAATAGTGTTTTAAGATAACTGAACGATGCCGTTTACTCAAAGTGACCGAGAAAACTTTACTTATTGTAGGTGGTCAGAAAGTTGTGTCCACCAATTTTTGGGAAATCTGCATAGCTCGCCTAAGGACAGAGACACGAAAAGTATTTCTATGTGGCAGATTCTGCCTGTCATGACTAGTATACATGCCAAGTTTCAAAGTGATTGCGTTTTCGGGAGTATAGATCGGACCCTGTTTTGTCCACAAGATTTTTTTACCCCCAGGCCCTACATGTCATAATCTTACAGGGGAAGTACTTCAAGTGTGACGCTCAGATTTTTTTTAAATTTTGCACGCACATCGGGTATGGACTAAATATCAATTCCTGAAAGTTTTAGCTCGCGCTTTGCGGGCGCCGCCGAGATATCGAACGATCTTTGCCGCCGAGAGAGCACGCTCAACGTGGAGAGCGGTCAGAGAGAAAACCGTTTTTTGGCCATAACTTTGGCAGTTTCGTGCGGAAAAATTTGATTTTTTGTAGAAACATTATCCTTTACAGTTGAAATAGGCATGAAACTTTTCGTGCCGAAATTCGGCAAAAAGTCCTAAAATTTCGCCGACTTTCGATCTAAAAATCTCGGTTGTTTCTGCAAAGCGCGAGCTAGGATTCCCGCATATATCTTAGAAAAAATTATTCTAAATTTGTGCCAAGTTTCATCAAAATCTGAGCGTCACACTTCAAGTACTTCCCTTGTTAGTAGAATCCCGTGGAGCCTTGACAAAGCTTAAGCGAATCGTTGCAAACGCGGACAGCCTCATAATTTCGGCCCGGATATACCTTCTGGTTCGATTGGCTCAATGGTTTCTATTTTTTACAGTCCGTAGGCCGCACGAAACTCACAAAATTTATGGAAAAAATTACCCAAAACAAGAAGAGGTTTCGAGTGGCCCATCCTGTACAGATATCATATCCTAAGTTTCAATTCCGTAACTTACTTTTTAGCATTTTCAATTGTTACAATTACATCATGGATTTTCATTCTTTTCGCGGGATTGGTATCGAGCGTCTTCGCGAGAATATCTTTCACAAAAGATGGTGCCCAGTCGGGCATTGCCAAGGTAGATCCCTTTTTTATGACCTGTAATTGTATGACGAATACTGTAACATTTACTAAAATAACATTACCTCCTGTCTGATCTGAGTTCCCATCCATCCTGGATATGGATCAGCGCCATTGTTAAATATTTCCCAAAGCAGGACTCCATAGGCCCAGACATCGGCAGCAGTTGTAAAGATTTGTGAAACAAACACTTCTGGGGCCAATGATCTTAACGGAGCTTTCTCTCCTGGGTCAACCTTCAGAGTCACCGCTCGTCGAGAGAGACCGAAGTCACTGATCTTCAAAATTTTATTGCCATATAGACAGTTCCGAGCAGCGATATCTCTAAAGGAGACTATACCCAGCAGTCAGTTTATACCTGTGTAAAATACCATGACGATGAATGTGATTTAAGCCTCGGGCTGCATCGTATGCCATCTGAATTCGGTCATCAATAGTGATTCCAATGTTTCTCGCTTTAAGGTAACTGTCCAGAGCTCCTCCTTGAACGAATTCCATGAGGATCATCAAGGGTTCGTGGTCAGCAGAGACTCCGTAGCATCTGACAATGTTTTCATGTCTCAGCATCCTCATCAGTCTGGCCTCATTCATGATCTCCTCGATCTTGTCTTTTGTCATTAGAGTAAATTTCATCTGAAAATGGAGACTCTACAGTTGTTGAAATCACTACTTACAGTCTTGACGGCCACCTCAAGTTCGTTTTCTCCATTTCTGGGTTTAATTTTTCCAAAATATACTTGACCAAAGGCTCCATTACCGATCGGCTTAATGCACACGACTTGGTCTGGACTGAACTCCCAGTCCTGACGACAAACGGGCTTGTTGAGGATGACCGGTGGGTTCCCAAATGGGATTTTCTTCAGGAGATAATGGTTGACGAGGCTGATTATACTTGGGAACGAGAGGTCCTTGGTTAACCTGAACTTTCCTTCGTTGGAATGAATGAGGAAGTGTTCCACATGTTGTCTACCTCCCATCACTGACAGACACATCTAAATTCACATTTGACGATTGTCTTGTCATACTAACTTGACGATTTCCATTGTCAGAGATGGAAGTGACACGAAGAAGGAAGTCTCCAGGCTCCTTCAGCATCAGATTGATGTCTTCTCGAGGGATAAGTCTGTAAGGGAATGTTTTATATTGTCGTGCTCACCCATGATTGTAATCCTTTTCGTTAATCCCGTTCTCTCCCACATCCATGATTTTGACATGTTCCTCGAGTTGAATGGGGTCATTCCCGTCGATCTGGGGCTCTCCTTCTTCGCCTGGATCAATGGCCGAGCCGGTGGGAACCTTCTCGAACGACGGATTGGTCGGTCTGAAGATGATGTGACCATTCTTGTCCACTGGATGCACAACCTGATTGAAGGAGTCGTCGATGGGAAGGAATTCCTCGTTTGGATTCTCGAATGGATCGTATCCTATGCTGACACCCGGAGGCAATTTTATGTCAATTTTTAGGTTTGCTGTAGAACCTCTTACCCTAAAAATAGTAAAGATGATAGTGTTGATTAGATAATAGAAAACAGACGCTTTGGTACCAGGCGACTGTGCCCCATTAAAACTCATCACAGAGAGAGAGAATATGACCGTCCTGCAGAATCTCTGAATGACAAATGAATTGAGATGAGCGTATTTGGGTCAGAAAATAAAAAAAAACTATTTTTACCGTAATTGAAAGGGGAGTCAATACAAAAGTTTTGTGAATTTTATTTTATAGGGTGTACTTTATTTTTTAATATCTTTGCTGTCTTACGTCATGACGCGTCATAGTTAATATTAAATTCACATTTTCCCGTAAGGTTACTTCTTCCTTTGTCTCATAAGCTTGTTGAAGTTTCATACTCCAAAACACACCGGAGAGCGAGGTTTCTGTTTTATGATCTTTCTTCTGTTTGTCCTTTCCCGCATCGATTGATAACAATTGGGTTCTGCTTTCCGGATTTGTGTAAACGAATAAGGAAACCACAGGCCCGGGTGTTGTCCATGTACATAAACACGTGTCTTTTTACACATTTTCCTTTGTTCAAACTGCTTTTTTCCCGACGTTGACCTAGCCGTATTTGACCGCGTATTTGTGTTTAATGTCATGCAAATGCTCAGGGTATTCGAAAGTTGTATTGCTGAGTATAAAATGTATTATACGAGTCCAACGTCTGTTAATTCTTCGCTCTCTGAACTTGCAAATGAAGCCGTGAAGGACGAGGGAGCGACGGGAAGAGAGTTTACTCTCGTCTCTTCCATTTTTATTTTATATTTCTGTCGCGATTTAATCGAATCTTTCCGTTAGAAACCTTTTTCCTCAGGTCATGACATTGGAGTTAGACAAGGCTTCTGACAAGGCCTACAGTTCTCCCGGCTCTTCCAATGGATCTTCTAAGGATTTCTGCGAAGTTTGTGGCGCCATTCCGGCTTCTATGCACTTTGGGACGAATGCATGCAGACCTTGTATGACTTAATATGTTTTTAAATATTATTCATTTTGTGTTTTAGGTGCTGCTTTCTTTCGCCGGTCTGTTGTCCTAAAGAGGAAGTACAAATGCAAATTTGGTGGGACTTGTCCAGTTAATAAAAGTAGATCTTTGAAATCATATGATATTTATTATGGAATAATGATGACAATTAAACTTCTGATTACAGATGTCCGATCAGTTTGCGCGCACTGTCGCTACAACAAATGTCTAAGTGCTGGAATGGACACTCAAAGTAAGACTGATTTGTTATGTAATATTATTATTAATATAGGTATTCGATATCCATTCGATCTGATTGGCCCGAAAAAAGAGCGGATATCTCCATCAGTGAATACAAAACAAACAGTGTCAATACTAAACAACATCACTGTAGGGTATAAGAAGTTCATTGAAGATACCAAGGTCCTTTACTTTGCATGTCATCCAGAAGATCTCTTTAATGATAACATCAAATTCCGACAGTCTACTGTTCTCGAACACATTCATTTTGAGCGGGCCTTATTAATATACGTCCTCAAAATGTTGAATGATTACTTTCATCCATATAATTCAATACCCAAACAAGAGCAGGTAGGGGAACATCAAACAGCAAAAATGTTTCATGGCATTACGGTCAACTTATGTTTTAGATTCGGATATTCGAAGTGTTTCAATATCAATTTGTTAAACTGAATCAATGTTATTTGAATACGAAATACTTTCCGGAAGACGATAGCAAATTATTTTTACATTACGGTAGTTACATCAACAAAGACGAGATCGATCATTTCTTTTCAACGGACAAAGATGTTCAGATGTCCGTCAAGTAAGCCGTCAATACCATTAGATAGGGTTTATTTAACAATATCACTTTAGATCATTCCGACCATTGCACATGAAGATGTACAGAATAGCACAGAAGTATAAATTGATGAAGGTTGATGCCGTGGAGACTGCAGCCATGGCTGGGATCGTGTTATGGAGAGAAGGTAGGCGGTATGTTACGGGACGGTAAACATTTTAGCCAACTTCTTATATCCGGACAAAAGATACGAAGATATGATGCAGCAGATTTACTCCGACCTGGCCATTTATTGCAAGAAAAAATGCGATGATCAGAACCAACGATACGTCTCGATTGTTTGTTTGTTACGGTACTTTGAAGAGTTTGCGCAAGTCCTCAGCGAAAGTACTTTGATGGGGTCGTTGATGCACGACCATTACATTTTCGGATTGAATAAGGATATCTTCAAGTAAGAATACCAACCAAACTGTTTGTACATTTCTTTTCAAATTTTATTAAATGGACATCAATAATTTTGTAAGATTCTCGCTCATTGTGATGAAAGAGTATTCGAGTCTACACAATAGGGGAAGAAGTAGTGGTTACGATGCCTCCAGGGACAGTTAAGATCTTCTGAAAGTAACAAAAGGTTCGTTTATAACTACCTGAACAGCCTCCCGTTCTTGTTCTCGAGTAAGACTGGTGTTTTGTCTGATCTCATCGATTGCCGGATTTACAGTAGGATTTCTCTGAGCCTTGTAGGCATTTAATCCCCGTGTAGCAAGCAAGTTCTTCACCTGTTCGTACTCTTCCTTAAAAAGTAGTAATCTAAACGATTAGATTTACCTGGAAACCTTCTGGTTGTTTGGCTGCCCACACATCCAATCTTTCCATTACTTGGGCCTTGGTCAGGTTCTTGTTGTCAATGATCTGATGCATCTCGGCTTGTGCCTCATCGGGAATCGATTTAACGAAATGCCAGAGATCGATGGCTGCGACAGCCGCAACCCATAAATAGAGAATTGCCACAGGGAAAGACTTCATAACCAAAAAAAGGCAAAAACTTGTTGTCAAACCTTTCTTTCATTTATATAAACCATGGAAACAGAGACAGGTGATTCACACCCAAACAGGTGGATTTGGGTTTCATTCCACAACCAAGTTTATCCCACGACCAAAGCAGTGAACATGTTTATTGTGCAATATATCTATTATTTACAATTCTGAAGTTAGTATTGCGAAAACTTTTTTGTTAAATCATACAAGGATATAAGTGATTATAAGTCAGCGTAAGCATTTCTATCGACGTGCAGATCTAAAGTTTTTTGGGGCAATCAGCCGAGAGGGGGTTCGAGAAGGTGTAATATAGGTGGGTTTGGGCGAGGAAGACATCGGCCCTGGAGTCTAAAACAAAACTTATGTTCAGGCAGAATGGACGAATGTTACCTTGGAGATCGGTTCAATAGCAGAGACACTCGAGGATCTCCTTTTTTTCGCGCGAATTACTCCAACTGTTTGAGGCGTCTGCAACCTTTTCCTGGGGGATTGCACTTTCTGAGGACTATAAGAACTTCCGAATCTTTGTTCCATTTTCAGCTGTTCTTCACGAGTTTTCTTCTACAATCGCAAAATCCATATTCAAAAGTAATACCCACCTTGACAACCTTTTCATTTTCTTTTTCCGCCCCCTTCTTTGAAATTAAGTCTTGGACAAAGTCAAAGGCCGGCATGCCATTTAATGTGACACTTGGGGAATTCTCACTCTGAACTTGCAGTTCTTCCAATACCTTGTTCAACTTTATCTTCAGGATCTTCTGTTGTTTCAGAGCTCGATTCAAACATCCACCTCGGTTTTTCCTGTAAGCCTCAGTCTTCATCTCTTCTTCCAATGCTTCCAATGACTCGAAAGTGTTGAACCATTCATAAAACTTGTCGTAAATGGGTTTGCCTGTCTCATATCTTTCCCTGAGTCGTTCCAAATCGACTCGCATCTTGTTTAAATCATCATCGGTGTGGTTTTCTAAAAAATATATAGAAAAGACTATTGATTTACCAGGCAAAAATTCCGCGTCATACGCATCGATGACTTCTCGAGCATAACACTTCTGGGACAGCTCCTTCAGCTCTTCATAGATCTCCGCATATTCGAACTCGATTGTCTCGAGCCACTTTTGATATTCATTTTCAAACTAAACTATTATTATTTTGCAAAAAAACAGGTGCTACCTTCTGTAGCAGATTCTCAAACTGTGAAATGTATGTTTCGCTTAAAGGAACTCGATGCTTCGATTGGAAGTCCAAACTCAACAATTCCTTCTCAAATTCTTCCAAAGAAATATTCTTGACCACTTGGTTCATCTTGTTAGCCTTGTTTTGAAGCAAGACAAGTTCCTGCAATCGCTGCTCCAGCAATTTTTTTTTCTCTTTCTTCAACTCGATAATGCTTTCAACAATTTCTGGAGACAAAATCTAAAGAAAAATAATACAAGGGTAATCTGAAACTCACTCTATCCTCGACTCCCTCAAATACAGGAACCTCTTCATCTAGGTTGTTGCAGATTTGAGCTAACTCGTCGTATACGCTAAGCTGTTTGGCCATCTTCCTATCCTTCAAGACCTTCAACTTCTCCAAGTCCTTTCTTAGAGCCTTAAGAAGAGCAACAGACAAAGGTTTGTAATCTTTCACTCTAAATTCTGGTTCGTGAAGTTCTTCCCTGATAGAATTGTTCATTGTCAGAGCTGACTTGATGTCTGTTTCGACACCCTTTACCATTTCTTCTTCGCTTTCAACCTAAAATACTCAATAAAAAACGGAAAAACAGGACTTACAATATCATCCAAAAGAGAGAAGAAATGTTCATGGGCTGCTTGAATGCGAAGTTCTCGCGCCCCCTGATCCAATGAAACCTTATTCCAAAGTGTATCCAACTTATCCATGGCCGCGTGGAGTTTGGAAACTACCACAGCGGTAGCATCGTCTACCGACATTCTAAAGCAATGTGATTAAATCCCAATGCATTAAGATTAAAAGCGTTATTCAATACACACCTCCTTTTTCCTCTAGATTTGCCAGGTGATTTGGTAGGACTTATCATTATGGAGATGCGTCTGCGTGAGAGCTCCATCTTTTGAGACTTGACACGGAAATTTATCACTTTCTAGATCTATACAACAGGGGTGGTCAGCGGGCCGGGCCGGCCCGGCCCGGGCCGGCCCGGCCCGGCCCAAACGGGCCGGCCGGCCTCAAAAATGGAAAATTACAAACGGGCCGGGCCCGTCACGGGCCGGGCCGGGCCGGGCCGCGGGCCTGGGGTTTTTCCGGCCCGGCCCGGCCCGTCTAAATTACAATGCCAAACCGTTGGCATTCATTGTTTTCGCGCCGGGAAAATTAATTGATGTTGTTATAGTTGCTGTTTCTCAAGTTCTAACACGTTTACAAGTCTATAGTTCCATTATAGAACCACAAAACTATCACATTGATCCTTTACTAGCTAGATCAACGCCTTTTTTGCCTCAGTTTAGATCCCGAGCCTGGGCGCAGTTCGCAGAACCCTCTATAGACGGGCCTGCACGGGCCGGGCCGGGCCGGGCCAGGCCCGTCACGGGCCGGGCCGGGCCGGGCCTGGAAAAAGACTAGACGGGCCGGGCCGGGCCGGTGATTAGACGGGCCGGGCCGCGGGCCGAAAATCGGAAAAATAGGGTCTGCTGACCACCCCTGCTATACAACGGACCCGACAGAAAATGCACAAAATTTTTTTGATGGCGCTGGAAGTGCAAATTCAAAAGTTTTTTTGCGCGGGAGAATGTTCTCGCGTTGGGACCCATAACATGGAATTGATGACATAAATATTCAATTAGATCAAGTTAATTTATTTATTTTTAGGGGCTTGGCGATTATCTACATTATTAAATATGCTTAGATACGAGACCTTGTAAACTCTTGATTATTCGACCTTGATGCCAGACTGATGGCAGTACATGAGGACATTCCAGTTGAATAAACAGGTCACATCGGTACGACTGATGGATGAAATGCCTTCTCCTGCGGGATCACAGAAACGGAGGCATCTATTTCCAACGCCGAGTTTGTTATCCGATAGATTGAGATGTTCGCAACACTTTCTGTTGTCCTGGTTTTGGGAAGCACAGTAGAGGACGGTGCTCATGTGTTTAAGATCACATTTTCCGGTCTTCACGGATTGGAGTAGCTGAAAACATTAGTATTTAGGCTTTTAATTTTTATACGAACAATATGCTCGTTGCAAACGATATTCTTACCAAATTCCTGGCAGTCAGTTCATCAGTCTCATACTGACAAAGCGCCTGACATCCTTCAGGAGCGTACTGGCGACAGCAGTGAGCGAACAGAGAGTCGGCTCTATCTTTAGGGACACACGGAGCATAGTCTGTCTCGGCAGTGCCACATTTTGGATCCGGTTCTTGAGCTCCAACTACCACAACAACCAAGGCGAACAACAACGGAAGACGCGACATGACCAACAAAAACTGCGCGGATCAAAACTCTTTGACGCCATTTAAACCACACGGCATCCGGTTCGGAACGGCATCCGCAAAACTCGCAAACGCCTCCGGGTCGTTTCCATCGCTGCGACCTTTCTGCCTTCGCTTTGTTGCACAACATCTCCGAGTCGAAACCAGATGAAAGTCGGGAAAGAACAGGTTTCAGTGCACGGAATGACACCGTTTCAAGGTTACTATCCCGGAAAAGAAAGCATTTTTTGTTGTACTGACCGAAGGTTTTCATAAATTTGGGAAGATTACATGACTACGCAGTTGCAAAATTCAAAACTTTTTCAAAAAAAAAAAAAATTATTTTGTTTTTTGAACCATTATCAAATTCCCTTTATCACGCCTAAATACCGAAATGATTTTATTTTTAATCTAATGTTTTAATCCTTTTAAAGTGTTCTGCAGGAAGTGATGGTTTCGATTCATCCTTTATTATAATTGAAACAGTCCCTGTACCGGTTTCGAGAGTGGACTTCCGCAATTCCCTTCGTGAGAGCGAAAGCCGAAAGTTTCTTCGCCCGGATGCGGCGAGCGTTTCCGAATCAAACCAGAAGACGCTACAGATCCAGCAACGAGTGCTTATCATGTCCGTCGAGATAGCTCCCGCCTCTCCCACTCAAAAGCAGCCATTTAAGTATAAAGGGGTCATTCCCCATCCAATTGTCTCGGCTTTCAGTCGCTAGCCATGCTGCCGCTATTGTTTGCCTTGCTTATGATTCCTTGCCTAAGGGCTTCTTTCTGTGGTCCGGCTGCTGTTCCCTTTAGTTTTGAAGCCCTTCCAGACGGACAGCCGGTATTAGGTTGTGCTCGGCCAACTTGTTTTGGTTGGGATGCCCATGGGAAACCAGCTGGATCTCCGTCTTTGTTCTACCGAGTGAACAAAAAGCCTGATGGATACTTCAGAAAGAACGCCGACATCCAAGTCAAGAACCTCAACGAGAACGAGGCTCAATTCTTCCAGGCACAGACTTCTGTAAGCACGGATAATATAATTTTTACCAGCGTTGTTGTCATCAACTCATTTTTATTTTTTAGACTTGTGCTGCCACTTTTGACTCTGATCAATGTGCCTCGGAAACACAATGGGTTGGTGGTATTGGCCCTCTCTCAAATGTGACTGGACTTCCGTGAGTTGTGTATTCTCACCTCACTAGTTCCATTTTTCAGATTGGCTCTGCAGTGTTGTGACTATGATCCTCTTCTCCTGTCTCAGGACCGTGGAATTGCCGCTGTTAAGCCCGGTCAGATTGTGATTGGTGGCGAGATCGTTACTGGAGAACGGCAATATGCTTTTGATTACATTAGTGATGTTGTGAAGAAGATCGGAGACAACGGAAACGTCTCCTACGATGTCTACGTCCGTCGTCTGCCATGTCTCCCTCAACCCGGGGAGATTACGGTAACCGTCGAGAGATCTGTTTATTCCGAAATTGGAAATAGATTTGCGAAGAAGTCCAAGTTTGAGCAGAAGGGAAGCAAGGCCTTCCAAGCGCCGCTTCAGGAGTTTGGAGAGAACAGCAACATCGCCTTGGAATCGTTGAACACTAACTCTGTGGGAGGAGGACGTGCTGTGGTGGACAACCAAGAAGTTCAATCGACTGGTCAAGTCATATCTCAGTCCGAAAGAGTTGTTCTTGAACCAACTGGTCAAGAAACTGTCCAAGTGGTCCAAGGCCCCGCTCCAAATTCTGTTGGAGGTGGAGAAACGGTTGTCCAAGGACCCTTTGTTGCCGACGGAGAAGCTGTTGAAGTTGTCGACGCTATTCAAGGTCTCGAACTGCCTGAGGGCCAAGTCCCCGCTGGTCTTGTAGAACAACCGGCAGCTGTCGCCCCTGCTTATGGAGGAGGTTATGGTGGAGGATACGGGGCTGGAGGAGGAGGAGGCGGCTCCACTTTTTGCTTCTCTGCTGATACTCTTGTCACCATGGCCGATGGATCTCAGAAGAGGATGGACGAACTTGAAATCAATGATTGGGTACTCTCGGCCAACAGAACCCACGCCGTCTACACTCCTGTGGAATCGTGGGTGCACAGGATGTCGAAACAAGAGGCTGAGTTCTTGCACATACATCTTGAAGACGGCAAAGATCTCAAAATCACAGACAAACACTTCATCTACAAATCCAAATGCGACAAGAAGACGGCTCTGAGGTTCTACGAAGTCAACAATAAGCCCGTTTACGCCGAAAAGGTTCAAGTTGGAGACTGTCTTTATGTCTTCAAAGGGGTAAGTTGTCATGCAGCATGCTTTAAGTCATTTTCTATCCGTAATGGAAATTTCGGGAATCACCAACTACTTTTTTAGGATTCGTTTGTGCAAAGAAGAGTCAGCAAAATCACAAAGATCACAGAAACCGGAATATACGCACCTATGACAACGACTGGAGATATTGTAGTCAATGGAATATTCGCTTCCTGCTACAGCATCATCAACTCCTCCGTGATGCAGAAGACGTTCTTCGATTCATTCAAGGGTTGGCCTAGCTTGATGAGCGACCAGAACGAAGTTGATCTCCCCATTCTGACCCATATTGCTGTCCAACTCATGGAATACGTTCTTCCAAAAACTTTGCTCTAACTTAAAATAAGGGGGAATGTTTTTCGCTTACAAGGGATCGGTAAATAATTGGCATCAGGTTTCATAACGAAACCTATATCACTTGAAAGAGCGAAAAAATAGTGTACAGCGCAAAAAATTAGCTTCCCAACTTTCCTTAGGACAAAGTTATGGCCGAAATACATGTTTAGCCTAACTCCCTGCGCCCCTTTATAAGGTCTTGGAGGTCCATCAAAGTTGTGTTCGGTTGGCCGAGTTGTAGTGACCCCGAATCCGGCGCAGCAGGTCCTGGCTTCGAACCTCCAGCGCATCTCGATAAGAAACCTGGTGGCAGATATTTGCCGATCCCTTATTAGGATGAAAAATGCTTTTTCATAGAAATTTTTTAGAAAATGTGGGTATAATAATAATAAAAATGGTTTTTAAACAGTAATTAGTAGTAAATTTTGTTAAGCAGTATTAGTAATAATAACAATTGTTATTGTATTCGTGTAATAAATGTAAATTGTTTGATTGGCTCGTTTTAAAGGTTTCATCGTATAAAATGTCTCTTTTTGGAAAATTATATTTTTTATTTTTCGTCGCGCTTGCGTTGATCTAGTACTGCGCTATATATAGTTATATAACGCGTGTAGACAGGAATATTTATGTGTATGAGCTTGGAAAACAACTTGGAAGAATTTAGAAGTGTTGAAGTATGTTTTAACTTATATTTTAATTTGATTTTAGGAGAGCAAGGTGAGAAAACGGCTTGCTGCCTTACCGCGCGATCGCATTTACGACTACTTCGATGGCATTGATAGTGTTCTGAAGGATTTGAATGAACAGAGATTAGAATTGGAAGCGGATGAAGCTTTGCGCATTGAAAATCTTAGAGAAACGAGAGCCCTATGCAATTCAGCGAGAAAAGAGTTAGATTCCTTGAAGGAGAAGCTTTTGCACACGGTAAAGAGCCATGAAAATGAAAGATCTGAGGCCATGAAAAGTATTCATAGTGTAAGTTCTTTATAATATTCTTAATGTTTGCCTAGAAGGCACCTGATCTTGTTGATTACGTCCAAAAGTTGTCGGAGATGAAGGCTCGACTGATTGAACTAAAATTTGCCCAACCTTTCGAGATGGAATTGGAGAATATTAAGGTGGCATTGGTTTCACGGGATTACGATAGCGTTTTGAGTAGATATGAAGCTACGATATTGGAAACATCTCGGGTAAGCTTAGTGTGACCACTTTTTTTTTATTAATTTAGGTTCCTTCATCCGTAGCCAAACAGTTTGAACAGAAGGCCGGCTTGCTAGATGATTTCTTGGTTGTCGCGCTTCAGAAGGACCTTTATCAGCTTTATCAGAAAATTCGTTTTCCGTTTGAATTTTCAATTGATTTTCGCGCTGTACGGAGCGACCTGGAAACGTCCGTGCAAATCTTGAGGTGCTTGCATATTATTTCCAACCGTAAGAGGGAAAAGTCAGTGGTGGAGCTTCTGTCGTTGGTTACCAAGTTATTCGAAGATCGATTTAATTTCCACTTTTGGGGCACTAATAAAACCAATAATCCAGCAAAACCCGAGTGGTTCTTCAAACAAGTTTTGGACTGGATCTCCTACAATGGCGATTATTTTTCTGTATATCTCCAGCGAGTTTGTGATATGGTAAGTCTCAAGGACGAGGAATAAATATTTTAGTTTGATTGTGAAGAAACTGCCGATGGAATTTTTATCAAGTGCCTGATCATGAAGGTGAAAGATAAAGTGCAGTCCTTGTTGACAAAGGGGTCGTTTATGTCAAACCGAATTATGTTTTCTCATTTGCTGGATGAAAGCATTGCTTTTAGCAATGAGATTAACCAACGTATGTCTTCAATCTTTTTGTAGTTATACTTTTAGTCTGCGAAAATGGAGGTGGTCTGCCGGATATCATGTCTTTGTTTATGAAGACGGAAATTATTGACGAATGGGTAGAACTTGAAAAAGACGCCATCGCAGTGGGAATTGACGAGGTCCTAGCTGATCCCCATGCCTATGAATGCAGATTCGAAGAGGCTAGGGATATCGATAAGGTAAGTATAATTACTAGAGATTGTAAGCTTGTTTACAGTTTATCGTGCCGAATTTTGCAAGTACTTTTATTATTTTGATGAAGTCAATGTCTGAAAGGTATATGATGATCACTGTCGCCTTTCTCAGATCCCGATTCCTTAAGCATCAGCTCTTGATTATTGATGAATTTCTGAGCCGAATTGCCCGAATATTTCATGAGACCGAATCTCCATGGCATGTCCCGTACCCTGCTTTGATGAACTCTGTCTGGTTCATTGGGGTTGTCTTAGAGGAATGGAATTCGGAGGATCAATTTATAGAGTTGAGCGGCATCGAAGGCAAACAAAGTTTAGCCAGAGGGCCCTTTGATGAAAGTGCGGATCTTTATCGACACGAATGGAGAAAACGGGCCAAACATTTAATCACATCGTTCAGAAACATAATCAGCAATAAAGTTAGGGTAGGTTTTATGCCAGATATTAAATTTTTAATTTAGGTGTACGCTGCTCAGAATTGGTTTCAAATGAATCATTCCAAACCTCTTGATTTCAGTCCATCATTGTCGGACTTTGTTGATGAAATCAGTCAAAGGATTAGATGGCTGAGGGATAATATCAGCGAGGATTCCAGACTCTCATTGTACCATCTTATTAACTTTGAGGTCTGGGATTGTCTGATGGTTGAGGTTGTATCTTCCAATTCATTCACTCACAAGGCCGCGGCTCAAATGCTATTTGACTTCCAAGAGGGCCTGATTCCATTGTTGAATAAGGCTTTTATCCCCTCGAAACGGAGTTTGAATCAAGAATCTGGTTTCAGACATTTTAGTGTGCTGAAAGAAAAAGTAAGAAATACCTTTGGGAACGTTAAATAACTTATTTTAAGAGATGCTGTGAAGTGCTGAATGTGCTTCGATTACTGGCTCTTCCATCGCCGACCGCTATTTTGTTAAGAGATGAGGTGCAACGGATACCGGAGTCTATGGTGCACGAGAAGACTGCCCCGTTTGGTATTGTAGGCTTCAACCGGGAACAATTGTTACTTTTGTTCGAACAGCGTTGTGATATGCACAGAATTTCTTGATCTTAATAAGTAGTTGTAATTTATTAAATTTTTATGCAAATTCGTTACTTGTATTAAGCGGTGTTTTGCCCTAGTCTATCCATCTGATTTTCGGGAGTTTTTATTTTTAAGAATGCGGGACTCTGTAAACAAATATCACCCCAAGGCTGAGAATCCAAATGAGATTCACGCACATCTCATTGTTCCATCTGCGTTTCCCATTCTGGTTAAGGTGTTAGAAACAGGATATTCGAATACCGATGATGAAGGTGTATATCATGCTAGTGGTACTGTAACGCAAATACGGAGTGATAAAATTAATTTATTGGTCGACGTTGGAAAACCAGGAACCGAATGTACGTGGTAATCAAAAGTTGAGATTGTTCTTTTCAGTGCCAGAAGTGGTAGGTGCTCTGGACTGCATCTTGATCACCCATTGGCATTCAGATCATTGTGGTCGTTTGCTTGATTTCAAGGGTGTCGAGGCTCCAGATGCTGAAGGATTCGAGAAGCTAATCAAAGCTAAATGTTCAGTCGAGAATGAATTCCAATTGCTGAACCTGAGCGGACATTCTTCTCAGGATCTGGCCCTTGTAATCAGAGGGAATTCGAAGGATCCAATAATCGTTTGCGGTAAGGGTTCGATGTTCTAATCCATTTTATTTCTTTATATTATAAAATCATTACAGGTGACTTGTTTGAGGACGAGAAAGAGTTTCGAAGTTGCTGGCGAAGCGTCGAGGGCAACGAAGCACTGCAGACTGCCCGTCTTGCATTGTTGGCCCTTGATCCATTCATCCTCATTCCCGGCCATGGACCACCATTTCTAGTCCGAACTAGTCGAGAGGTTGTTGTGTTTGGGGACATCAAAATCAAGGTTTTAACGACAACTCCTTGTCTCCAGTGCCTTATATGGACCGACGGGAAATTCGTAATGGTCAACTGTTGTCACGAAGGTAGGGTGATCAGTTTTTTGAATAATTGAATTTAGTCATCGACCCTGAGTACGTGTCGGATGTAATTATTCTAAAACCCACTCCATGTTCAACCAAATACCTTGCTAGATACGGAAGAAGTCGTGTTTATATGGACACGGACGTGCTCACTTATCCGGACATATACGAAAGATTGGACCAAAGTAATCAACCTTTATCAGGACGATTGAGATTGGTTAATACCGGGGCGGAGACGATCAGCATTCAAATCATGGATGATGGTATAGTTCGTCATGTCATTAAGCACACCGGCCGCTAAGAAAGGATTGCGTATATACTGATCATGTTTACGATATTTTTACCTTGTACGTGTTGTTTTCAATGTTTTAATTTAACATTCAAGTTCCAATGGGTTTTCTAACTTGTAAATATATGATTTTTAATCGTCCGACAATAAAACGGTTACTTATTTGTCGAAAACAACTGCTTGGTTCGTCGAAGTAAATAGACACGGAAGGGGCAATGAGACTGATAACCCGTTTATTGATTAACAAGGCCGTCGCATCGCGTTGTCCGTTTGCCCATTCGGTCTCGATTACTTATCATGACCAGGCTAACCTTCCTGACCGTTCTCATCTGTTCTTCTCTTTCCTTGGCCTTATCTCAAGCTGTCGCTGTGAGATCTGTTAAGGTCAAGGGAACTCTCAAATGTGGAAATGAAGTTGCAAAGCAGGCCAAGGTTGTTTTGTATAGAGTACCTGCCGAAGTAAACAGTAAGCCCGTTAAACAGAGCTCAATTTTTTCCATAGAGGTGAATCCAATCGAAGAATTGGACAATCGGGATATCAGTCCGGCTGGGTTGTTCGAAGTAGGCGCAAACACCAATGGGAGACCAATTAATGAAACCGAGCTGAAACCTGCCATTAGAGTATTCCACAGATGTGATGTCAAGGAAAAGGCGGTAGGGCTTACCTACATATATACTATTATATACATATGTATTAGCTGCTTCAGGGGTAAATATTATATTTACAACACTGCTTTAGAAAGACCGCAGCTTCCAAGTTCGAATACCTGAAACGTTTGTGTCATTGGGCAAGACCGCTAAGCAGACTTATGACATTGGGACTCTTAATCTTGAGGTAGATGATAAAACGAAAAAAGTTACAATACGTTGAAAAAACACATGTATATACCTTCTAATTTGTATAATTCTAGTTGGCCTACCCTGACGAATCTTCCCTCGAATATGGAAAGAAAAACTAGAAGAAACTGAAGCACCGTAGACACAGAATTGAAATATAAATCTCCATCTTTTTTATTCTAAAAGCTGACATTTGGTTACTGTAGCAGTGAAATTTATTTATTGCCAATGACATCGTTGGAATTAATTTTTGTGAGGTCTTTGACACCAATTGCATTGGCACTTTCTTCTCGTGGAGTTTGGAGCTTAAGAACATTGTTGCCGTCTTGACCGGGATTCACGGCAGAGGCCGTTGAGACCACCGTACTCGAGGAGTCTGAGGTGTAAGCAATTGGAGCTGGACTTTGTGCCTGTCCAATTTGAAGAACCTTTTCGTATTTCTTGATGAAATAGCAATCAACATCGTATGGCTGACCATCTAATACATAAAACTCGTTGTCTGCAAAAGAATCGCGTTGATTTCATAGTCGCTTTTGGTTCAGCATCCTAAAAGAAGACACATACTTGGCATGGGCGATCTGCATCTGGTGCACAGGAAACAACACTTGTGCCATTGATGACCCATTGCATTGATGGCCTTCTCCTGCAAAGGGCGATGGCACCCATCACAGTTCGGATGATTCTCATCCATGTAACAGTCGATGCAGATGGGCTTGGTGGGCTCGCTTCTGCATTGTCTAAATTCCAATCTCTCGGCCCCAACAGGTGCATTGCAGCGAACACAAGTCAGATGATCCCGATGCCAGAACTTATTCAACGTGTAGACAACATTGGTCTGAATACAGTAATAAATAAATCAGACAGCTGAATATACCTTCAATGCTTGTTCCCTGGTAATCACAAGTTGACAACTGGCACATCTGACCACCCATTTCTGCTTTCTCTGGCCTCCACACCGATAGCCAGGGGCATTTTGTGTCTCTTCCAACACAGACCGATGGAGCTCCGACTTCAATTCTCTCACATTCTTTTGAGGCAATCTAACAGTCAGGAGTAATGACACAATTACCGATAAACTCACGGATTCACCTTGTAACCAGTAGGGGGATAAAAGTCACGACCGCCTGGAGCAAGCTGAAACACATCTTGGGATTAGATCAACTAACACCTCGGAAGGACCAAAAACTTACCGACATCCCAAATGGTTTAGGGACGAATAAAACCCACACAAACAAACGCCGAGTGAAATTATTTTTTAGTTCATTTATCTTTTCTGAAGTGTTCAACAAAACAACACAACCAAAATCTTTGGTCAAGTACAATATACGAGATAAATTATAAGAGACGAAAGAACGGAATAAATTAAGAGAACAGATTTGTAGTTCTGTTCATAAGACAAGACTTCTAATTATTATATTATTTATACCATAACAAAACGAATAGAAAAAGCCCGCACAAAAAAAGATCATCTACAGAAGGAGACAGTGTGCATGACATGAGGAGATTCATGACATTTACAACTCGTCTTTGTCTTCAGAACCCGCTTCCGATTCCTCGCCACCTTGGGGTGGAGCTTGACCTTCGTAGAGTTTGCTGACGATGGGGTTGACCTTGGCTTCCAACTCCTTCTTTCTTTCCTTGATCTCTTCGGCCGATGAGTCCTTGTTGGATTCGAGCCAGCTAAGAGCTTCATCGACAGCTTCCTCAATGGTCTTCTTTTCATCTTCGTCCAACTTAGATCCGAGTCCCTTCTCTTTGTCATTCAGCTGAAAAGAAAAAAAATTAAATCAATTCGCAGGAAAACACTACATTAGAACAATGGAACTAAATTTTACCTGGTTCTTAAGTTGATAAGAGTACTGTTCGAGCTCATTCTTGGCTTCCACCACCTCCTTCACCTTCTTATCCTCATCAGCAAACTTCTCGGCGTCGTTGATCATACGCTCGATGTCTTCGGGCGAGAGTCTGTTGTGATCGTTGGTAATGGTGATCTTGTTTTTGTTTCCAGTTCCTTTGTCCTCAGCAGATACATGGAGGATACCACTGACGTCGATTTCAAAAGTAACCTCAATTTGAGGAACTCCTCGTGGAGCTGGTGGGATGCCAGTCAAGTCAAATGTTCCCAAAAGATGGTTGTCCTTCGTCATTGGTCGTTCTCCTTCGTAGACTTTAATCGTTACGGTAGGTTGGTTATCAGCGGCAGTAGAGAAGACTTGGGATTTCTTGGTTGGGATGACGGTGTTACGAGTGATAAGTTTAGTCATGACTCCACCAACGGTTTCAATTCCCATAGTAAGTGGGTTGACATCGAGAAGAACAATTTCAGTATCTTCTTCTCCGGAGATAACTCCACCTTGAACGGCAGCACCATACGCGACAGCCTCATCAGGGTTGATGCCACGCGAAGGTTCTTTTCCGTTGAAGAACTCTTTGAGAAGTTGTTGGACTTTGGGGATTCTGGTGGAACCTCCGACCAAAACAATCTCATGGACATCCTCCTTCTTGATGTCGGCATCTTCCAAAACCTTCTGCACAGGCTTTAAGGTTCCGCGGAACAAGTCCATGTTCAACTCCTCGAACTTAGCGCGGGTCAAAGTTTCTGAGAAATCTTCTCCATCGATCAGAGATTCGATCTCGACCTTCACTTGATGTTGAACAGACAGTGTTCTCTTGGCCTTCTCAACCTCACGACGGAGCTTCTGGACGGCACGGTGACTCTTACGGAGATCTTTTCCGGTCTTCTTCTTGTACAATTTGATAAAGTACTCCATCACTCGCTGATCAAAATCTTCTCCTCCCAAATGGGTGTCTCCATTGGTGGCCAAAACTTCGAAAACTCCATTGTCAATGGTGAGAAGGGACACATCGAAGGTACCACCTCCAAGATCGAACACCAGGATGTTACGTTCACCTAAAAAAGTCAGTTTTTGGCTCTTAATGGGTCACGCTTTTCAAGAGTTCGCGCGGGGAAAAAGAAAAGGTCACTGTGAAGTCCCGAATGAGGTCAGCATCGCGGCGACACACAAATCGAGCCAGGCAGTGCAAGCTGTCTCGGGTGAAACGTGTCCGAAATGCAAAGAAATTTGTTCAAAACTATTACGCTCGCAACTGTCGACCTCAACCACGAGACTTATTCCTAGTATAATTCACTCAAGAAAATCCAAAACTTCCGCAAGATGTAAATTTTACTAAAACTTACCATCCTTCTTATCCAAACCATAGGCAATAGCGGCGGCAGTAGGCTCGTTGATGATACGGACAACATTCAAACCAGCAATAACACCGGCATCCTTGGTGGCCTGACGTTGGGCGTCGTTGAAGTAGGCTGGGACGGTGACAACGGCGTTCTTAACCTCCTTCCCAAGGTATTGCTCAGCGATTTCCTTCATTTTACCCAAAACCATGGCGGACACCTCTTCTGGGGCGAATTCCTTGGTTTCCTCACCTACTTTGACTTGGACATGGGGCTTATTGTTCTTGTTAGTAACCTGGAAAGATATCATTATAAAATTTTGGTGTCTCGTACCCTAGAGTTTGACATCAAATAAATATAAACATACCTTGAAAGGCCACAATTTGAGATCAGCCTGTACAGACTTCTCGCTGAACTCACGTCCAATCAATCTCTTGGCATCGAAGATGGTGTTCTCGGGGTTCAGAGTCAACTGATTCTTGGCGGCATCACCAATCAGACGCTCACCAGTCTCAGGAGTGAATGCCACGTAGGATGGAGTGATTCGGTTACCTTGGTCGTTGGCGATGATCTCCACTCGGCCATTCTTGTAGACTCCAACACATGAGTAGGTGGTTCCCAAATCAATACCAATGATGGTTCCGTACTTCTTGTCTTTTCCATTGCTGGCCTCCTCTTCGTCGGCACGGGATAACAAAATAAGTGGCACTAAGGCCCACAACCACAACGTCCTCATTTCAAATTGGAAAATCAACTGAAAAGGGGGAAATAAATAAGAATACAACAACGACAGATACAACTACACGCACAACACGAGATCGCCTGCAAATCCCCGTACTCGCAGAGTCTTTACATTTATTTCTATTCTCGCCAGCCGCATCGCCCTCGACCCCTTTTTATAGGGGAGGGCGGAGCCGAAAAGGACGTGCTCGGCGCTGATTGGCTGAAGCTCAGTGACGTGTCTACGTCCAGTCGACAAGACTGACGTGTAAAAGGGAGAAGGGAGATTGCGAGTGCATTCCCGAGCCTTCTATGAGAGCGGAACATAGAGCATTGCATTCATGCTAATTTCATAAAAATAATGCGACGTTGCCTTACCGATTATAACCTGAAACATGCCGTTATAAGACACTTTGCTCGGCAAAGCATAATTATTATACGTTATAACGGCCAATAATAAATATGTGGAAACGAGAAATTTCTGTTGCAATTTAAAAAATTATGACGAAATGTTTACAAAATGTAAAAGGACAATATCGAATTATAGAGGTTCTTTTCGAAAAGAAAACATTCCCTGTTTTCGGAAACACATCTCTATGCTAGTTGCTGCTGCAACGTTGAACAAGGCAGATGTGTAACCCTTAGTTTTCCTTTGGCATAAGGACAAGGCTCCACAAAGCACTCCAGACTTCGACTTTTCTTTCTTGTAGGAGAGAATCTGACAATGAGAGGAAACAAAAAATCTGCGTATAACAAATAACGCTCCATATGCGGCATGTTGGGCGCAAACTGCCACCAAAAAATATTATTTTTCTATTTTTTGCAAATTGTTTTTTTTTTGTTATTGCGCATATTGCTATTTGCTGTTGTTTTATCAACGAGATGCTAGTTTTTTGTCCAGTTTGTGGTTCTTGTTTAACTGTCGGTGTGGGTCAAGTAAACCAGTTTGAGTGTGGATCATGCGAATACAAATTGCCCTTGGCGAATCATGTGAGAATTTAATTTTACTGAAGTGTGTGTTTAGGTCTCCAGTCGATTATATCCGAAAATGAAAGACCTGGATGAAGTTTTGGGAGGTCCGGGTGCATGGGAGAATGCAGAGGTTACAGAAGGTTAGTATTTTTCAGACGTTTCAATACAGAGCTCTTTAGAACGGTGCCCTCGGTGTTCAAAAACAAGAGCGTATTTTATGCAGATTCAAACGAGGAGTGCAGATGAACCTTCAACAGTGTTTTACCGTTGTGCGAATCCTGACTGTGCACATAGATGGAAAGAATAAACTTCTTTACGTAATTAGTTGATTGAATTACAGTTAAATTCTGGTTATACTTTCTCTTTAATTTATGCACGGTTTTATTGTTTACTAGATGATCCGGCGACCATTAACTATGATCAGCTTGAAGAATTCTGATATTGATCATATGGAACAATGTCTTCAAAGAAAGTTCAAGGTAACTGGAGATTTAGTTACCAAACATCGTATGTTTAGGGAGCCGAAGCGCATGAATCTGGCACTTCTTCTCCATTGACGGTCGGTGGACGAGCTTCCGGTGAGACTCCGTTTAGGGTTCCTCGGCGGCAAGAAGGATTTGCCCCAGCTCGAGAACGTCCTCAGGCTGTACAGGATAACAACCAGACCCCCACCAGCACTAACCATGGAAATCAAGCCTCCCCGGCTCAATCGGCCTCCAATTCATAATCCTTTTTTACAATGACATGTACAGTAAATTAATCATAATACGGGTTCAGTAGTTTATTGCTTTTCAATGTCGTTATTACCGCATACTCTTGTTACTGCTATAGAATTTTATTCGTCGGTGGCTACAGAGTCACTTGGCATGGCCTCACAGTCTCCTTGCACTTTGGCACAGCATTCCGGAGTCTTTATGGAATCGCGGAAGAACTTCCAGATTTTTTGGTTCTCAATGCACATGGTCCCGCCTCCTCGTTTGGCTTGTGACGCCTAAAATAAAAATAATTGTAATGTTTGCATACCTGTCTGTTAATGTCCCCGATGCAGACGGTAGCTGGTTCTGCGCTGACGGCCCATTTACTGTGGTCTAAGGCACTAGACCATTCTACACCCCCGGGTGCAATTCGGCGATTATTGGTGACAAAATCGTCCGTTTTACATGTGGGAGCGTAATCTCTAGGTCCATTCAACCAAGTTTCCACGTAGAAGGCTTTTTTGGTGTTGACCACAAGCTGATTGGAGTATAAGTCTTAAAGTTTTGGGTGTTCAATTATACGAAACATGTTCGTAGTGGACGTTTTTGTCCCCACTTTTTTCGAGCTTTTTTGTCCCCAGACCGGTTCTGTCCCCAGGACGGTTTTGTCCCCAAGACGTTTTTGTCCCCATTTTTTTTTAATTTTTTTCCCCACACAGATTTTGTCCCCAGGACGTTTTTGTCCCCAAGCTGGATAGTTCAATTAAAAACTCAAACAACATGTTCTTAGCGCTTGGTACTGTATGTACGAGGTGGTACTATATAGCACCAGGTAAAAATTAAGCCATAACACGTCAATGCTATAGGTTTGAAGCCCAGTACTTCTCAAAAATGTGTTTTAGCACTTGGTACTATATAGCACGAATTTATTTTTGCATAAAATGAACTTCTGATCAGTACTGCATACCAAAACAACGGCATTCACGCGTTATAGCTTAATTTTTACCTCGTGCTATACAGTACCACCTCGTACTATACAGTACCAAGCGCTAAGAACATGTTGTTTGAGCAGTACTCTGCACCAAACCAACAGCATTAACATCTAAATGTATAATTTTTAAGTGAACTACCCAGCTTGGGGACAAAAACGTCCTGGGGACAAAATCGGTGTGAGGAAAAAAATAAAAAAAGTGGGCACAAAACCGTCCTGGGGACAGAACCGGTCTGGGGACAAAAAGGCTCGGAAAAAGTGGGGAAAAAACCGGGCCCAACCAACATGTAATGCGAGAAACAAGTCCAAACCAACCTTTTCCAAAGTTCCGATGTTTTTCGTAACTGGTTAGCCACTGCCCTCCCTTAGTTTTGAGTGCCGTTGTTCTGTTGAAGCTGCATGACTTTGTTCCGAGTGATTTTCCGAGTTTTACAGCTCTTTGCAACTTTTGATATTGAGCGAAAGAATCTGGGAATCCAAATTTGGTAATGGATAGTTGTGCCACATGGATTTGTCTTCCTATAAATATTTAGTGGAACCATTACAAGACTTTTTTTTACCAATCTCATGTAATTGGTCAGCTTCGAATGTCATACAAAAGAATGATTGACCAAATTTGGTTCCTGTTGGGGGATAGTAGTATGCCTTGTCAGGATCAGCGAATCTTGGCGCTGAATGGATTAACCAAAATCCTTGTGTGGAATCAAAGGCCATCACTCCTTTGGCATGGGCTCTGTGGCCGTCAGAATCCGTCCGTCCGGGTTGTTGGTCATTGTAAAATAACCAGAACTTATCCTGAACACAATTACAGTGCACCTTTCAACTAAAATATTACCGAAGATTTGGTGGCGTCAATAGCTTGGGTTACGGTCATACCCATGGAGCTCTTGGGATCGTTTATATCTTTTTGGGATATCCGGAAGTCCTGATTGTTGGAGTCTGCATAGAAGTAAGCAAGACCATTTTTTATGAAAGGACTTTCTGTTTTGCCGGACAAGGTGGGCATCTTCAGAGAGATGAACCAATCCACATCATTCCCGTCCATATCTTTACATGATAACGCTGCATAAACTTTATTTACAATCACAAAATACAGTAATACTAGATATGTAGATGGACTCCGCATGTCCGAAAGAGAGGTAGGAGTTTGAAATGGCTCCGGGACAAAGCAATGACATCCATTCTTCTTGTGAACAGCTATTTAAATACATTCCTTGAAAGGTTTTTGACGTCGTTTAAACATTTAGATTGCAAATTTATTAATCAAACTAGTTGTAGGTTTAAATTAATGAACAAGTTGAAGGATGCAAAGGGATAAAATCATTGTTTAGCAGGGGCCCCCGGGTTTGGTAGATACTGTAACAAAGATGTCGTTAATGGAAGTTGTCAGGAATAATGTTAAAGCAAAAAGCTTGTGAGCGGCGTGGCGGGAAATTAAAAATTAAGCAGATATTATTAATAACTAAATAAAAGTAGGGTTAGAGTCAGTAAGATCATACGATGCGGGCTGAGAGTAGGATTACCTGAGAAACGGGAAACTTTAAAGGAATTATTTGGACAACATTCGACATGGTCCACAATGTCTCTGAACAACCTCCAAATGGCGTCATCCCGGATGCAAAGAGTTCCTCCCCCTCTGTTCTTCTGTGAATTCTAAATGTATGTGTAATATTACAGATGATATCCATACTTGTCGGTTAATATCTCCAATACATGCCCACCCATCATCTTGTGTTGTACTGACTGCCCATTTGGAGTGATCTTTACTGCTTGTAAAATCGTTTTGTAGTACTTTAACCGATCTCAAATTAAAGATTTTATAAGGCGATGTGCACTCCGATAGCATGTCTCCAGGTCCATTCAGCCATGTCTCGACGTAAAACGATGATCTAAGATCTTTTGCCACAAGATCAGCATACAGATCTGAAGAAAATAAAATTAATACTTTGTACACACGACGTATGTATAATCTGTTACCTTTGGCGAACTTTTTGTGTTTAGCAAAGCTGATGAAACGTTGTCCCGCGAGACTTGTGATATTAGCCACACTAGAATAAACTGATCCCTTCAAACTTTGGTGTTTCACAGCTTTTTTGAGTTCTGGATAATGCTTTTCGTAGGACGAAGTCATCTGATATTCGAATACAGAAGCTTGGATGTAGAGCAGTTGTTTACCTATTAAAAGAAATTATTCATTACAATAAATATATTTTTTACCTATCGTATCCAAATCAGCCGAAGAAAATGACACGCAGATGAAGGATTGGCCAAACCTATAGCCTGTCAATGGATAAATGTATCGGCCAGACTTAGTGGAGGGGAACAATGGGACAGAATGGATCAACCAATACCCTGAGATGTCATCCGACACGACGACACCCTTGGCGTGGCCTCGGTAACTATCGGTTTTGTTGGTATCCGGATGTTCGTCGTTGTAGAGAACGTAAAGGTCTTTCTATAAAACCTTCGGTACTGCGTTAAGACTTAAGTCAGTTAATACCTTGCTTTTCTTTGCTTGAAAGACTTGGTTAACCGTTCTGGCAATCGCTCCACCGTCCCCAATTCTGTCACTTGACAATTGCCATTTCGGACTGCTACTATCAGCATAATAAAAGACGGCTCCATCGTCCAAATCCTTGCTTGAGTCATCTATCATGGGCATTTTGTAGGCCACAAACCAATCCACATTCTTGCCTTTGTTATTCTTACAATTGTAAGCCAGCGTCGAGGGGAGGAGCAGGAGGAACAGATGACCCCACATCCCCTACAACTACACATCAAGGGCAGTAACAACCAAGGTATTTCGCGTAATAAACGTGTTGAAAACAAAAGAATCCTGAGATGAAGGCAGATAAACGAAAAAAGCAGAGAAAAAGAACGGCTCTCTTCAGATATGATAGAATTATTGAAAATTATACAAGCCCAAGATAAGATCGTGGAAAAATATTTATTGTCAAGGATATATAAATACTGACGCAATAGACGGTTATTCGGCCATTCCACTCACGATTGACCCGTCTTCGTCTGAAGAAAGTTTCTCTTCTCGGTAACACGCGTCGTAATCTTTTTCGTCCCCATAATGATCTAAAAAAGGCGCTGTAAAGATTGGAAAAGGTCACAATAAACAAAGTTTAATGCAGCTAAAAAGGTCATGGAATCATCTCGACGTATGAACGGCGTCTTTCTTCTAAATATCCAGCCCGCTCTTTCATTTAAAGTCGTATTGTTCCCTAAACTCACCATAACTGTCATCAGAAGACGTTTCATCGTTTTCCAAAGACTTATCCAACTCCTCCTCGTCCGGATAATCGTTAGCATAGTAATTCTCCGCATTGGAATCGTCGTCAGCATCCTCACTTTCCCCATCATCTTCATGACCAAAATATAATTGAAGCTCTTCATCTGTGGGAAGACGGACGTTCACCATGCTGGCATCACCCCGTGGAACATAATCCTCAGTGTGATAGAAATCGTAAACATAATCCTCATCTAATCCAGACTCAGGCCGTGCTAACGGAGCCTAAATTATAAGTAAAATCAGTAACTAAACTTACTTCATCGGGAATGGCTAGATAAGGATCTAAAGGAGCATTCAGATCTATTTGATTGACTTTTTTAACACTTTCATCAAGCATCTGACTAACGTCATCTACTTCCACCGGAACGACGGCAGCAGATTGCACTGGGACATCAGTGGTACCATCGAAGTCGACCAATTCAACCCTCTGCGATTAAAACTTTATATCAAAGTCGAATAGATTTACGACATAGTTTTATAAAAAGCCTTACTTTAGGAACATTAGTATTCAAGAACAGACGGGCTGCATCCCTAACATCTGGTAATGGTAATGTCCCAATTAGTCTGAATGCGGTCGTCTGATCTAAATCAAAGTCCGACTTTGCCCTCTTCGATGGCCCGGCTGTGCCATCGAATGAATCCGATACCAAAAGACCACTATGGGGATTAGCACTGCGTTTACGCCGAACACGGATAATACGAGAAGTAGGGCCGTCAGCTAGAGAATCCATTGGAAAGAATAACAAGTTACGATAGGAAAAGGTAATACAAAGTAGAAGCAGTTGGTGTAAAAATTGAAACAGTCAGTTATTCGTTTCTAGCGTCACGAATACATTCCTAAAAGTAAAACAATAAATTACCTTTGTCTTCACAACTTACATTAAATCTCTCATCTAATACAGATAACTCGGCCAGTAAATCGTTTATGGCCTCGATTAACACGTTATGTGGAGAATTGTCCGCCGTCGTCTGGATTCTGAGAACAAACTTGTGTTCCAAAGGATGGGGGTTCCGATAGCCAGCAAAGAGCACTTGAGGGTTTTTCAAAAGCTGACTAAATACAAATTCAATTAATAAAATCAAAACGTACTTCTTCAACAGATTTCCCAAAGTATGGTCTTCTTTGTTGAAGGTGAAGATGGCAGCGTTAGGTACCTTCGTATCCTTTTCGACAACAACTTTTTTCTCCCCGTCAAAAAGAAGAAAAGATTCAAATGCAGCTGGTGCGTTCATTTAATGGTAACTATAGAATACTATGTTTCTGATCCCGTACATCCAAACCGTAAGAACGCTTGCAGAATGATTCGTGCGACAGCACAGAAAATGCCAGGAATTAGCGAAAAGGCGGGGAATAGAAACGGCAGACTGCGCCCGGCCCTTTTCGACTTGCCGCGACATTTTATACGATGAAACATAACGAATTCAAAATTTTTCGTCTCGTCGAAAAAAGGGCGCGCGCACCAAATCCCCAGCCGCGGCTAGCCGTTGCAACGCGATGATGGGCGATTTCTTCCAGATCGCAGAAAAAGAGGACATTCCTAATAAAACCTTCACTTATAACTCAAATGCCTAAAATGAAAAATAAAAATATTACGATTTCATAATAACAAGCCCTTTTTGATTAGCAGTCATTAGGGTTCGGACGGAGTGTATACCCGGGGTATATTCCCGGGTATACAGTGAGGGACCTGATCCAATGGCAAAAAACGTTTCCTTTTGCATCCCGGAAGGGGCCAAAATGACTCCAAACCCTTCCCTTCTCTAAGCTAACAAACTCCGCTTTGAAAAGCGCGCCCTTTCCTTCAAGGCGGGCTCTTGAAATCGGGGTTTTTTGGCTTAGAGAACGGAAGGGTTTGGAGACATTTTGGTCCCTTCCGGGATGCAAAATGAGTCGTTTTTTGCCATTGGATCCCGTCCCTCACTGTATACCCAAATACCCGAGAGGCCGGATATTTTCGGGTATTTATGGGTATATTCAAAGTACATTTGCATTCAAAAAATGTAAAAAAGTCGAGTTTTGTCATAAAAAATGAATAAATGTTGACATTTTGTCATAATTTGTTTTTTGCCACTCAAAACGTGGTTCTAACAAGGGTTCGGCAAAACCTCGTCCCCTGGTTTTATCTTGAAACATAGGGGATTCGAACCTGATCCGCAGGTCCTCCTTGTGAAGCGCCTTACCCTACTAGGCCACCGAAGCACTGCTCCGCTGTGCTTTTGAAATCGATTGCGTTTCTTTTCTCAAAAGACGAGTGACAAGGGATCGGCAAATAGTTGCACCCTGCTTTCTTAACGAAACATATACCGTTTGAAAGAGCCTTAAAAATAGTGTACAACACAAGAAAAATTAGCTGCCCAATATATGTTTGGGCAAAGTTATGGCCGTTTTATGATAGGGGTTACATGCGGCCAAAACGCCGGTTTCTTATATTACAGTAACCCTGACGGATTGCAATTGTCTCCATTGTCTTACTAGTATCCCGAAACGTCTATCACGGTCGTTTCATGGCTTTATCAATCGTTGGCTATGAGTTATTAGACATTATAATGTCGCATTACTGCCATTTACAAAAAATTGTAAATAAAACTAGGTTAATGGGAAAACTGGAGCAAAAAACTTTGGAAATACATTTGTATGATCGTCGTGGCCATTTACAAACAAAAATCTCAAAATCAAAAATTTCTTATGTCCTAGCCTTACCGACGGTTAGGCCACTGTGTCAGCAATAGTGTTTTAGCCGCTTTTGTAATTTTCTCTTCGTATTTTTTTGGGAAAAATTATATTTATAGGCCCTTGTAAATTGAATTATCGTCCAGTAATCATAATCAATCAGGCTAAAGGCATGACACCCTTGTAATTATACGATAGGCATGCTCTCATCACCATCAAATTTGTGGTGATTGCAAAAAAAACCGAAAACTCGAAAAAATCCAGTAAAAATGTATTTTGACTGCGAAGGAACAAAAATTATTTAAAAATATCAACATACCATGGTTTTGTGGCATATAAGAGACGAAATGCAAAAAACATTGCAGAGCCCGGATTCGAAACCAGGACCTGTTTCACCGGAAGTGGGGTCACTACCATTCGGCCAACTAGACACAGTTCTACCGTCGTTCCAAGAGCTTATAAATTGCCGCGGAAATTAGGCTAAAATACGTATTTTAGCCATAACTTTGCCCAAACATATATTGGGCAGCTAATTTTTTTTGCGCTGTGCACTATTTTTAATGCTCTTTTAAATGATATAGGTTTCGTTAAGAAAGCAGGGTGCAACTATTTGCCGATCCCTTGTGAGACAAGCCTAGAATTAAAAAATGCTCGCTAGCCAGCATATAAGTGAATAATAGCAGCTAATTCAAGGTGATCCTAGACCTGTTTTTTACGCTCTTTCAAATGGTATATATTTCAAGAAGAAACCGGACGAGGTTTTGCCGAGCCCTTGTAAGGTTGAAATTTACTTGGCCGGAGTCGGAAAATAAACGGGAAAAAATTCGAAATCTGACTGCCAAATATTGAATTGCTAACCTTTTTCATTGTTAAAATGCTAGTTTTGTTTGTTGTAGTTCTGAAAATAAAGCAACATGATTAGGTTAATGAACAAGTTGCCACTTATTCATTAACGACATCATATTGGTACTATATTGGACTAATTTAGGCTAATTTTGTAAATACCCGAATATACCCGAGATTTCGGGTATATACCCGGGTATATACCCGCGTGGTGAATATACCCGAATTTTCCGAACCCTAGCAGTCATCCAAAAATTTTTGGAACTTTTTTTGCCCAAAAATTTGAATTTGAACTTTTCAACCAAAAAATCGGAGTCATTGGTCATGAAACTTGTCATTATGAGAACAATTTTTCCGAAGGCTATGTCGAAGCTTCAAAGAAAGCTAGCCAAAAGGTTGGACTGGCTTTTACTAGCCGTTTTAATAACGGGTCTATATTTTTCTCCCAGAATTAAAAATATTTTTCCCCAGAAAAGAGCATTATAGAAAAACTCCTATTTTCTCCCAGAAAAAATATATTTTCTCCCAGAAAGAAAATATTTTTCCCCAGAAAAGAGAATTATGAAAAAAATGCTATTTTCTCCCAGAAAAGAAACTATTTTCTCCCAGAAAGCACAATTTTGTAAAAATAAAACACGGAAGTAGTAAAAATTGATGAATAAGTAACTTTACTAGTAAAATAAATTAAGTAGTAGTGTAAAACAATATTTGCAGTAAGTTTTTGAGGAAATACTGGAAATCGATGTAATCGACGGTGCTGATTTCGAAAATGATTCTCATTTTTTGTGATTTTTACTTTTTTGTGCTCAAAGAGTGCATTGAAGTGTACATCGACAGCATTTACAATAAGAGAATCCTTATACTCATCGGGGAAAAAATACATTCAAGAATAAAACATGAGAGATATTCAGAAATTACTACCTTCTAAACGATAGTGATGTCGAAGACGTAGAGAGACCCTAAAGGTTTAATTCAGAACGACAAGTCAATATGTCAGTTATTTTGAATCCAATATTATGACTTATCTGGGGCCCATGCATCGTATTTTACATTACTACTTACAATAAAGTTGGAAATCCCACGTTTTTCCAATCTTTTTCAGATTTTCAACTTCCAGATGATATTACTTTAGACGACTTCTGAATTGAGTTTAAAAACAAGTAAGATAACGATTTATACAAAGACATGTATGAATAAATTCTTTAATGGTTTATTCTTGGATATCTTTTGTTCCCAATGGAAATAAGGATGGGTTTCTCTTATTGTAAATCTGAATGTTCTTCCTGGCGCAGAAGACGACACAGACAGGATGTCAATGCACTCTTTGAGCACAAAAAAGTAAAAATCACAAAAAATGAGAATCATTTTCGAAATCAGCACCGTCGATTACATCTATTCCCAGTATTTCCTCAAAAACTTACTGCAAATATTGTTTTACACTACTACTTAATTTATTTTACTAGTAAAGTTACTTATTCATCAATCTTTACTAATTCCGTGCTTTATTTTTACAAAATTATGCTTTCTGGGAGAAAATCTTTTCTTTTCTGGGAGAAAATAGCATTTTTTTCATAATTCTCTTTTCTGGGGAAAAATATTTTCTTTCTGGGAGAAAATATATTTTTTCTGGGAGAAAATAGGAGTTTTTCTATAATGCTCTTTTCTGGGGAAAAATATTTTTAATTCTGGGCGAAAATATTTTTCCCTTTAATAACTTGGCTGTCATTTGCAACCTTTTGACACCCATTCCAATTTTTTAGATAGCTATTTTTGAGGCTTCGGAATTTCCTCGACGCGAAAATCCATGATTTTCATTTTTTTAGCCGATCAAATTTCGGTTCAAAAAATACCTTTTGTGGTTCTTTAACGCCATTTTTACAGTTTGGCAATCTGATCTAATCGGCTAGCTGGTAAAAGGATTTTCAAAAATCAAATATCGGGGACAAGAACGACCCGGGGACAAAACCGGTCGGGGACAAAACCGGGTGCAATCTTGTGTCATCCAAAAGTTTTTGGAACTTCTTTTGCCCGCAACTCTTATTTTATTCTTACAAGGAAAGTACTTTTATGGGGGCTCCTACTTTTTGACGGGACATATCTCAAAAAATCAGAAAAAATGTGCTGATCAAGGATATATAAATCTTAGCTGCCCATTTTAGGTTTTTAGGGGTGAAAACTCAATCGGAAGTTGACTTAAAGTCCTATATGAACCCCTTTTCGCTTAATTTTTCACAGGTTTACAATTTTTATTTTGGCTTAAAATGATGTTTATTGAGTTTTTAAGACGTAATAAATCAGTCTTGGCACAAAAATTTGTTTTTCCGACCTTCAACTTCAAAAAAAGTTGATTCGGCCCAAAAGGGAAATCGAACCCGTGCGGCGTTCCCCCTCTTGATTCCCAGACTACGGCACTAACCACTCGGCCACATCGCTCTCTTCCGAAGGAAGAGACCGACTGCACGGCAACCCGAAATAGAGGAAAAATGTTCCCCGCCCACTTTTGAGTTTCGTCCAAACGAAGTGTCAAAATTGACAAAAGAAATAAAATATCAGTCTGTCGGAAAAATAACGGCGGATCGTCGCAGCAAAATGTCTCGCCTCGCCGCTATCGCGCACCAAATCCCAAGTCGCGACTTGCAGTCGCAAAGCGATGATGAGCGACTCCGAGGCGCGACGATCCGCCGTTTTTTTCCCGACAGACCGATAATTCCGAGAAAAA